ACAAGCACTGTGGCAGGAAGTACCAGGTAGAAATCTGATGCAGGTACAAAACTGTCTTCCTGTGAGCTGATGGTGCTAACAAGGCTGCGAAAACAGCAGCTCAAATAGTTCTATTCATAACTTGTTTATGACATATGCAAAAAAAAAAAAGCTTTTAACTTCAATACTTACATAATACAGTCTATAACCTCACAAACTCCATTTTAAAAAAGCCCGACTTTTTGTTGCTGCTGTCACATCTTATTAACTATCAAAATAATGTTTTCAGATAAACAACACAGTCAAATTTTATGCCTCTATAAGCAGCTCATACTCACAATCTGGCCATGCAGCACACACACGACACCTTGCTGAGTCTGACTCATTTGTACATTTTCAGTGTGGTAAATGCCAATAGCATTTCTGTCAAACCCTGAGCTAATAAAGCCCTGAAAACTCTCTCCCCCCCCCATCAAGAGAGTGTCCAACACATATCTATTAACATACCATGATAATAGCTTTCAGAAGATGTTCTTATGTAATAATGCATTCAGATATTAATGATTTTGAGGTGAACAAAATAATAGAATAATTAATCCTTCTTCTTGTAAAGTCCTTGATATTAATAGCACTCAATAAACACACAAATAAAGCTACGTGACACTGGCAAAGCGGACCAAGAGTACAAAAAACAAACAAAACAAACACACAGATCTGTAAGACCAAGAAAGCTAATAGCAGATCTTATTTATGTGCTCCACATACTGGATGTATGATTAAGCTGAACATTTATCATTACCACAGAGAAGTGAGTCACAGTTTGGGCGTCTTACCTTCTTTCTTTGCTCTGAGTTTCATTGACACAACATCAGAGCCAGCATTGGGCTCACTCATTGCCAGGGCTCCAACATGTTCTCCTGTCAGTAACTGGCAAAGGAAATAACACGATTAATGAAATAAGTAAACAAGCTCATTACGTTCAATGTTTTTCGATAATATTTAAACATGAATTGTTTGATCCTGACCTTCGTCATATACTTCTCCTTCTGCTTTTCATTGGCGTGGCGTACCAGCTGGTTAACGCAAAGGTTAGAGTGGGCGCCATAACTGAGACCGACGGCTGCTGACACTCGTGACAGCTCCTCCATCACAATTATATGATCTAGATAGCCCAATCCTGTGCCTCCACATTCCACTGAAAGGGATATACAGTGTGAGCTGAGTGTAAACTCGCCTAATAACAGCTAAAAAAAAAAAAAATAGAAACCTTTATGCCTTGATATGAACCATAAAATATGTGTTAGACATAACTGTAACTGTATGAACTGCCTGCTACATAAAAATCACAGCTGTCACACCTGGAGCAGTGACGCCAAGAAGTCCCATCGTCCCCATTTCTATCCAAAAATCCTGTTTAAGAGGGAAAGCAGAAAGTTAGTAGAAACAATACACTGGAGGTACAGTTGAACATGCATATCTACTAGAGCTCAACCAATAGTAACAGCCGATATTAGCTATATATACATATATTGGTGTCATGCAGCTGTGGTCAGATGTTTACATACAGTCATCATGGGCATGAACGTCACGACAAATTTGGTCTTTTAATGATTTCTTTGAACTGTTCTCTTTCCAGGAATGCTTGTACAGCATCTTTAGAGACTTAAAAAATACAAGTGGTTGTTTTCCTGTGGCAGCACAAAGAGGATTTGTTTGATTCTCCACTCATTGGCTTGACCAATGCTCAGAAATGACTTGTAAGTAATTGCAGATTCGTCAGTTCACACAGTTGCATGCAGGTAGAAGTAAATTGGATGTGTCACAACTTTGCCAAGTTCTGGAAGAAGACCCAAACTGTCACCCAAGATGAGAGGAAACTAGTTAGGAGGTTCAGGAACAACCCAGAAACCACCAAAGCTCAAGCCTGAACTGGAATCCCCTGAAAAGAAGCCCCTGCTCCAAACCAAGTTTTAGCAGTGGTTTATGTATATATTTGAGCCTATACATGTACTTTTGAGCCTGTGTGGATTAGAGAAAATCCAAAATAAATTCAAACTTGTGAGCCAAATTCTTGTTTTTTAAAGTTATTAAAGATGTAAGCTTTACAATCGCTCCACCCTAGAAAAAGAACAGCTTAAAGAAATCGTTGAAAGTACAGTAAGCTTTTGACAACCACATTTTCCGATATGATTAGATATAAAAGTGCTTTTTTAAAGCTCAAAAAGCAATGCCGATTCCTTTAGAAAAGCCAGCTGAGCTCACTGGATTGCTTACGATACTCAGAAGTGGTGGTGCAGGATACAGCAAGTAAGGAATGTCAACAGATGTATCAACAATGTGTTGTTTTCTTTTACCACCTAGAAGTACTGTCCCCAAGTTCCATTACTACTTGGTACATCAGCTGCAACTTTCTGAATTTTGTCACTTGTGCATTTCAACTCACCCGCATTCCTGGGAACTCGTTCTTCTTATCGATCTCGTCGGCATGAGGTGCAAGTTTTTCTACAAAGAATTTGCGAACTGTTTGCCTCAGCTGTGGAAAGGACGTAAAACAATTACTTAGCAAAAACCATACCTGTAATGACTGTGCTGGGAGGATGAAGATCATAAAGTGACGGCTTGAGAAAGCTTTTCACCTGCCTGGAGATGGAGGTAAGTGTGTTGTTTGATTTACAGGTGGACGTGTTGTTTGCCCAATCATACTGAAATGTTTTAACTGGCATTGCATGTATATTTGACTTTATAAAAGGTCTGGGATCTGAGACAACTCCTTCCATCCAATCAAATCCTGTATATGAACCCCACCCACCCCCTGCTCTCCTTGCAGCCTCGGGTCCAGTCTCCTTCACTTTGCGCAAAAATATACCCGGCCTGCAGTCACCTTTGATTTGATTTAATATCGACTGTAAACCAATGTCGGCATCAGTCACTCCATTACTACCATTTATTACCACAACCTACTTTGTAAAGTCATACGTGGAAATTTAATAAAATTGTTTAATAATGTAACTAGTAAAATTAGTTAAATAGACCATTTTCTAATTAGATAAATGTAATTAGATAAATTAATCGAGTATTAGTCGGTAGCTTTTGATTTTTTTCATTTAATTTGTAGCTGTTAGCTAACTTATGTCATCACGTAACGGGGGACGGTGTCCTCGCAAAACTGTCTTCTTTTATTGCCCTTAAAATTCACAAAACTATACAACACACTAAAAATGTTGGTCTCTGAGAGTATGTGATTGTTTTAATGCCTGCGGTTGACACGCACAGACACAAGTGTGCACTTTGTTTTGCTAGCATTAGCTAGCTAGTGTGGCTAACCTGTATCTGCTCCTCTGTGAGTCCGTTCACTACGTCGTCTATGGGGATGGCAGCTCCGGCACAGCCTCTTCTTGTCACCGCAGGGATGAATAACCTGGAGCCGAGGCGAAGTGCATTTCTGACAGCAAACATGGTGCTGCTTGCAAAATAACAAGGATGAAGGTTAGACCACGGATGAACGTCTGAGGTCTCCTGCCTGGCTGTCTTGTAGCAGATAAAAGGGAAGAGGTCTCACTCCGCCAATATTTCCTAGTCCTACAAAAGTAGTCCACGCTGTCGTTCTTCTTACCTGAAGGGTCGCGCAGGCACAGGAGTGCGCTTAAGTACCCCGCCGCCCCCTGAACCGGTGAAAAATAAAACCACATCATATCTTCCACTTCGTCTTCTTCTAGTGCGATACTGCAAATTTTGGTATCGATCAGATATCCAGTAAATACAGGACCATCGATAACGATACCTATAACTTACAAACTGTAGGGGAGGAAACTCACAATTTCTGAAATGAATCATCATTAATTTGCAAATTTAATGGCCACTAAATCACTGTGATATTTCCTTTTAACAATAATTAGTTAACACAAAAACGCATCTTTCAGCTTTTCATTTATTGTTTCCAGCATAGTATTGTGATATTTTGCACGGCAATATTGCATTTAGATACGGGCTGTACAACAGCTTTGTGTTAATGTACAATCCTTATGTTTTATCTGTGTGTCTGTGTGTCTGTGTGTGTGTGTGGGGGGGGGGGCGCCAAACCACTGGCTACGTTGCGTTTGGCGTTTCGATGGTTTTTGCATCTTCTTTAAGTGCACGTCATTACATCTCGGAATTCGACAAGACTGGTAAGCTCTCAACTTGCTCTCCGTCTGATATGATCAGGGTTTTTTGTGTGTTTTCTTGAGGTTTTGCGACGCTGCGTGTTAAAGGCCTAGCAGCCGTCATTTAGCCAATGTGAGCCACTCTGTAAGAGCAGGTGGGAGGGAACAGCTGCTTCTGTTGTAAACGTGCTTCCGACTTGGAAATTTCCTCGGTCGAGTGGGTTATCTGGCATTTCCCCTCTTGAGTTTTCTAAACACTAATTTTTGTCGATATTTTAAGCTTGTTAGTTGGACAGAGTTAAATTAGATGTCGAAAGTTACTCTTGTCTCCTGGTGTTTGTTATTTAAAAGGAATCTGACAAGATGATTCAAATAAAAACAAAGGGTCAAAAACAAATATTTGGTCCTCACTTATGCTAGTCTGTTTTTGAATGTAAACAAATCATCCAATCTAACACAATTTCAGATACTTGTTTGCTGAAAGTTTAGTCGATGGTATGAGGGCAATGTTTAATATAGCGTTATTTAACTATAAGCTATAAGAGACTTAGAGCTTTTTATTGTCATTGTGCAGTTTCTTGCACAGCGAAATTGGGTATAATCTGTTAATGTGGCTTTTGTATTTAGTTGTTGTTGTCCAAACTCACTGTACTGCTACCTAACCAGTGTAGAATTGATGTAGTATTTAAGTTTTCTTTCCCTTTCCCTTTTTCCAAATTAACAATGAGAAAATTCAAACCTAGCAACGACTTTGTTTTGTTTTTGTTTGTTTTTTGTTTTCAGTTCATAAACGTATGTGTCTTTGTTCCTAATGCAGCTATGAACAATGACCATAGTTGACAGATCTTCAGAAAAGTCTGACCACGAGTCAGCCGGATGTAACCGATCCTCCTTCACCAGTGGAGACGTGGGGATGGACGGCAGTTGTTCCAGCAGCTGGGCAGTGGGCCCCACTGTACCCAGTGACTCTCCAGACTCTCCAGTAGGCTGCCTGGCCCCCACTCCTGGAGCTGCTGTGTACAACAGTACACCCTCCTCTGTGGACCGGCCCAAGGACCAAGGTCAGAGCAAAGCCTGGCTTTTTTTCAAAATGTCTTTTTAAGCTGTTTGAAGATTTTTATTGTCAGACAGAATAGTTTTCCAACCTGTTTTAGCAAATATGGAACCACACTTTTTAGCCATTATTTACCCATATTTGTCAGAATTGGTTTTAGTAACATACAGCTAATCTTTTTGCTTCTGCTTTCACACAAGTTTGACAACTGCTTTTGTGGGTGTTGTGTTGCTGCTTCCCTTCTCCATTCATTCATCCAGTTATGTAATGCATCCAGCTTTGCATGATCAGTCACTTCAGCTCGTGATGCAATTGCTGTTTTTATATAAAGACCGGCAGTCCAACTTGTTTAGCAGAAACAAAGGAGAAGGCAAACTGTCCTGTCTTTCTTCCTGAGCCTGTTTAGGAGTTGTTCACAGTGGCCAGAATCACATTATATAACTGTTAATAGTTGTAGCTATTACTGTGATGTCCTGACATGACTTTGCCATGTGCCAGTGTGTGGTTGTATAAGTAAGGTAGCATTAAATTATGTCCTTTTTAAAATGTATTGAAACAGATTTTTAGTAATAATTGTGGCTCTGTGTGTCAGTGATGAGCAGTAGCGATGGAATTGACTTGCCCCAGAAGGTGCTGTTCTCACCAGATCGGCTCAGCCTAAAGTGGGCCGAGGTTCACCGCATTGGTGCAGGCCTCCAGAACATGGGGAACACCTGCTTCCTCAACTCAGCCCTGCAGTGTCTCAGCTACACCCCTCCTTTAGCAAACTACATGCTGACGCGGGAGCACTCCAAAACATGTACGTTATTTCACCAACAGTGGTGTTACGCAGTCCTGCGCTGATTCTCACATTGTATCACTCCTTACTCACTCAGTATTTTGTCTCTGTCTCTGCACAGAAAGTGTTGGAGCACTCAAGTTCATTAAAAAACTTGATATAATAATGAGGTATTATATCAACCCAGTGTGGGTGTGGTAGCTTGTTTTGGTAACAGGGCTTGAAAAGATCAGAAGCAGCTTAAACGTGTAGTAAAACAGGTGTCTGGGATTATGGGGGAGAGCTGCCAGACTTATGCTGGGCAGACACTGTGCGATTTTTTCAGTCGCTCGTCGTGAGGTGTCAATCGCTTCTCGTTACCCCACGTATACTATACGATGCATGACGCACGATGAAGGCCAAAATCGGGCCGATCGCCAAAACGCATAATGCTGGGCTTATTCTGGGCTTACACTGTGCGATTTTTGGCCCATTTTGAGCCGATTTTTGAGTCGTGCGACCGTCGTATAGTATACGTGGGGTAACGAGAAGCGATTGACACCTCACGCGACCGTCGTGAGGGTGTCACCGCAGTTTGTCACACTGCGCACGCGCAAACACAAATGTCAGCGAAAAAGACGGCGCAGCACGGCAGTGCAGCGTGTGATCTGGACACGACGGAGCGACAACTTGTAGAACTTTGGAAAGCTCATCCGTGGTGGTGTGTCTGTGTGAGTGAAAGACAGAGAGGGAGAGCGAGCGACAGAATTTCTATTATAACCTTCGTTTTATGTACGCACAGTGTGAGCACTCAGGTCGCATCAGAGCATCAGGCCGTATAGTGTGAGACCCTGCATCGTGACCTATGAACTTCTAACCCCTGCGAGTCAATCGTACAGTTTGAGCAGGAGCTGAATCGCGCGACTGAAAAAATCGCACAGTGTCTGCCCAGCATTAGTGTCTAGTATCCGGTTGTTCAGTCTGACGTCACTAGCCGTGTCTGGGCCTAAACTCCGCTGCAGGTCCATATATCAAACGATCACTGTGGCATTACTGAGAGTTGAAAAACTGTCTAAAGTCTTTCATCTTTAATAAAATGATCAGCGTTCTGCTCTACCAAGTGTAACAATTGAGTTTAACATCCAGGCATCCATGAAAACGGAATTTATGACATTTAACGGAGTTAGAAGTTAGCAGGGAGTTAGCTCGCTAGCTTCTATCTAAATAGAATAGAATAGAATTCAACTTTATTGTCATTGCACATGCACAGGTACAGGGCAACGAAATGCAGTTTGCATCCATCCAGAAGTGCTTTAGTGATATAGATATATTACAATATATATTAGCAATAATATAGATATGTGAGTATATTACAGAAATGGGTCTATTATGGTATGTTATAATGTACACGGTATGAAGTATGTTGTGAATATTCTATAACTATAAGTATGTACAGGCTGTAGTGAGTACAAGCTATGTACAGGCTATGAACAGGATATAAATATGAAAAACTATACAGAATATGAAATAAATAACTTTACAGAATCTGGGATATACAGCTATACAGAAATGGGAACTATGCAAGTTGTAAACAGTTGTAGGATTGAAGATTATCGAATGTACAGAATGATTATTTACAGAGCTATACAGTAGTGCAGTTAAGATAAGTGAGATATGTGGATAATTTCTACAGAGGCTATATAAAGTGCTAGTGGTTGTGAGTGGTGGTTCAGTCCATGTTATTATTGTGTTTGAGGGTACAGTTGTCCATTGTGGGTGTGTGTATGTTCAGTCCATGAGTTTAACGTGGGTCAGATGTCAGGAGGCAGAGTTCAGGAGTCTGACAGCTGTGGGGAAGAAGCTGTTCCGGTACCTGGTGGTCTTAGTCCGGAGGCTCCTGTGGCGCCTCCCAGAGGGCAGGAGGGTGAAGAGTCCATGTGATGGGTGACTGGGGTCTTTGATGATTTTCCCAGCCCTTTTCAGACACCGCTTCCTGTAGATGTCTTTTATGGCAGGAAGTGGTGCTCCGGCGATGCGCTGGGCAGTTTTCACGACCCTCTGCAACGCCTTCCGGTCCGAGGCAGAGCAGTTCCCGTACCAGACTGTTATACAGTTGGTCAGGATGCTCTCGATGGTGCAGCGATAGAAGTTCACCAGGATGTCTGAGGACAGGTGGTTCTTCCTCAGAGTCCTCAAGAAGAAGAGGCGCTGGTGAGCCTTCTTGACCAGCTTGGAGCAGTTGGTCGTCCAGGTGAGATCCTCGGAGATGTGGACTCCCAGGAACTTGAAGCTGCTCACACGCTCCACAGCCGTCCCCTTAATGTGGATGGGTGGATGTGGGTCAGCATTCCTCCTGTAGTCCACGATGAGCTCCTTGGTCTTCTCGGTGTTAAGCAGCAGGTTGTTTCTGTCGCACCACTCAGCCAGACGATCCACCTCCTCCCTGTAGGCGGCCTCATCGTTGTCACTGATGAGGCCAATCACCGTGGTGTCATCTGCAAACTTAATGATGGTGTTGGAACCACCAGCAGGTCTGCAGTCGTGGGTGAAGAGGGAGTAGAGGAAAGGGCTCATCACACAGCCTTGTGGTACACCGGTGTTCATTGTGATGGTAGATGAGCAGCGGTTATCCAGCCGGACATGTTGGGGGCGGTTGGTCAGGAAGTCCAGTAACCATTTGCAGATGAGGGAACTGATACCCAGGTCTGTCAGTTTCCTGATGAGTTGTGAGGGGTGGATTGTATTGAATGCTGAACTGAAGTCTATAAACAGCATTCTGGCGTAGGTGTTGTTGTTGTCCAGGTGTGAGAGGACAGAGTGCATTGCGATGGAGACTGCATCCTCTGTGCTCCTGTTCCGGCGGTATGCGAATTGGTGGGGGTCCAGGGTGGGGGGGAGACAGGATTTGAAGTGTGCTAGGACCAGTCGCTCTAAGCACTTAGTGATGATGGGGGTGAGTGCTACTGGGCGGTAATCATTGAGGCAAGATGGGTTGGAGTTTTTGGGTATCGGGACGATGGAGGTGGATTTGAAGCAGGCCGGTACCACAGCGTGGGCCAAGGACAGATTGAATATGTCTGTGAGCACTCCTGCAAGCTCCCCAGAACACGCTCTGAGAACACGCCCGGGGATGCCATCAGGACCTGCAGCCTTGTCGACATTGATCCTGCTCAGCACCGCTCCTACATCGGTGGGGGAGAGAGTCAGAGGTTGGTGGTCTGGCGTCATGTCTGCTTTGGTTGTGGTTGTGGGGTTCCCTCGCTCAAAACGAGCATAAAAGTTGTTGAGCTCGTTGAGGAAGGAGACATCAGAGGATGCGGGGGAGGGTTTGGTGGTCCTGTAGTCTGTGATGGTCTGGAGTCCTTGCCACATGCGTCGGGGGTTGGAGTTGGAGAAGTGTTCTTCTACCTTCTTTTTGTAATGGTGTTTGGCTTTTTTGATGCCCTTCTTTGGATTAGCCCTGGCTGTACTGTAGGCGTGTACCTAAAGGCAGTGTCCTGACCTAAAGGCAGTGTTGCGGGCCTTCAGGAGGAGACGAACATCCCGGTTCATCCAAGGCTTCTGGTTGGGGTACATGGTGATCCGTTTCTGGGTGGTGACACTGTCTGTGGTTTTGGAGATGTAATCCAGTACAGATGAGGCGTACTGGTCCAGGTCTGTGTGGGTGAACATATTCCAGTCTGTGTTTTTAAATCTGTCCTGGAGCACTGCGTCTGTCCCCTCTGGCCACACTTTAATTGTCCTCACAGCAGGTTTCACACGTTGGATGAGTGGTGAATACCGAGGTGTGAGGAACAGGGAGAGATGGTCCGATTGTCCAATGTGGGGGAGGGGTGTGGCTTTGTAGGCTCCAGCCAGGTTGGAATACACATGGTCTAAAGTCTTGTCTCCTCTGGTGTGGCAGGAGACATGTTGGTGGAATCTGGGGAGGACTGTCTTTAAGTTGGTGTGGTTGAAGTCGCCAGCAACAATAAAAGCAGCCTCGGGGTGTTTATTCTGGTGTTTGTTAATGGCTGCAGAAAGTTACAATATAGCATGTCCTGACTGCGGGGTTTTGGAAACAAATTAAAACGTACAGCTCTGCTATCACTTCCAACATAAATGAAGACAGAAAACTAAACAGCAGTGACGTTTGTAGGGTTACTGAAGTTGGGCTAGCTGGTATATAATGATGTGCTACGTGACCGCTAGCGACACAGCCATGTTAGCATAATATAAACAAGCTAACTTTTTTTCCACTCGATAAAAGTTAACGTGAGTGTTCTCGGTGGTCAGGAACAAATGTAATCGCATGGCAGGATGCTGTAAAAGGACCAAACTTCAGCCAGGAGAACAACTGAGATAATCCATCCACAATACGAGGTTAGTCATTCATATACTGCTGCATGGGCTGGGCTGTAGTTACATCCTAAGGTTTTAAAAACTGAGCTTAAATAAATGATTAGCGGTAATAAAAGCCGAGGGAGGTCAACGGGGATCACTGACTGTTTTAGGAGCTTTTTGAGATCAAATAGAAGAAAATACAAAACATTAAACATGTTAACAACACAAAAGCCATATTAAACGCAGACTACTTTAGGCCCGGAAGTAGGATTCGTCACGTCATCACTTAACAATCAGATAGATTTCTTCTGAGCCAACAGGGTAAGCAGTTTGAGCAGGAGCACTCAACCCCTCAGGTCATCTCTTATTCACCCTAATGGCATTCGTGCTATTATTGCAGCAGCAAAATTCAGAAAATCCAGGTTTTTCTATGTGTTACTATAGAGCTTCGAAGTCTATGTGCACATTTAACCAAAACTACACGTTTAACAGATGCACTGGGCTGAGTGTTGTGCTTCTTGTTAGACTCCTAAAAATAATTTATTAATTAATTTATTTTTTTAAGAACCTAAAGTGTCAATTCTCATCAAATCAATTCTTCCCGTGTAGCAGCAGATGGCCTCTTAAGTAATTAATCGTGCTCCAATTCCTCCTATTGTCTTTTCTGCTACTTGAATACTGTAAAGTGATCGTCTGGTTCCAAAATGCTAAAAAATAAATGGTCAATCAGTTAATTGTTGCACTGTCCTTATTAGTTAACTTTTGTGCTTTATCTTTTTATTATAGATTGGACAGGCAAACGCAGGCAACCTCTTTCATCCATCAAGTGTTTGGCGGGTACCTAAGATCCAGAGGTAAGTCACTGTTTTTTAAGGTTTGATTTATTTTTCTTTTATTTGTCTTTTTATGTCTTACAGCTTGTGTGATACTCATAGCACTGATTTCTGTTTCTGTTAAACGTTTAAACTGCAAAGCTGTCTCAGATACATTTGACCCTTTTCTGGATATCACTCTGGAAATTAAGGTAATTGGACAACATTCAAAGTGACGTTGCTACTATGTATTCTCTGCATTATGGAGTGTGAGGTTTTTCCTCTCTCTCTCTGTTCATATAGACTGCTCCAAATGTCTCCAAAGCTCTGAAGCAGTTTGTCAAGCCAGAACAGCTGGATGGCGAAAATGCTTACAAATGCACCAAGTAAGTCAAAGAGATGCCAAACCATGATGAATGTTTGTTTCCTTCAGGTGCAAAAAAATGGTAACGGCCTCAAAAAGATTCACAATCCATCGCAGCGCCAATGTGCTCACCCTCTCACTCAAACGCTTTGCAGACTTCAGTGGAGGCAAAATCACAAAGTCAAATGGCCAATAGTGTCTGCTTAAGTCATAAAGATACATGACAGATGCTTTGTTTTATTATAAAACAGGATATTTGCATGTAATGTTTGAAATTCTTTGTGTGGTGGTCATCAGGATGTGAAGTATTTGGAGCATCTGGATCTGCGGCCCTTCATTCACACCCCAATTGTACTTGATAACAAACTGTAAGACCCCCAAAGAAGCATGGGAGATGCTAAAAGCACAGTTTGAAAGAGATACTGTTGCTAACAAGCTATTTCTGAAGAAGTACTTCCAGTGTGAAATGAAGGAAGGAGAACATCTCAATGATCATTTAAAGAGGATGAAGGAACTTACTGATCAGCTAGGGGCAATAGGTTCTGTAATTGAAGAGGAAGATCAAATTGTCACTAGGGCTGGGCAAAACGATTATTTTCCTAATCGATGAATCTAGCGATTAATTTTTCGATGCATCGATTAATCTAACGATTCATTTTTCAATCCGATTCGATTTCGATTCGATTCGATTAACGATTTTTTTCCCCATTATTTGACTTGTATAGCAATTTCACATTTATTAATTTATGTATATAAATGAAAAACACAAATCTATTCATTTGAAGACCTTTTAATAAAAAATAAAAAAATTGCAAAATAAAGTTGTAGAGGTCGTACAATCAATACAATAGAGATAGCATTTAACAAGAAATGAAATGTGCAAACATATATAAAATTAAGGAAAAGTTAACAAAACATTTCAAATAAATAGCAACAATGGTGTCTTTAAACAAACAAAATGTAATATTCACTTTGCTTTCTGCCAAAAAGTGCTCTTCCTTCACAAAACAAAATCCACAATAACATTGTACTACAATCTTCTGTTTTTAACAAAAAATTAAATGTTTTGCAAAACAAATATAACAAAGGAAATCATAGCAAAAAATTAATAATATACGAACAGCAGCAATGGCGTCTTTGAACAAATAATGAAATGACAAGTTACCCCTAAGTAGGACTCTGTGACCAGACTTGTCCAAGCATCAGTGGTAAGGGAGATTTTGGATGTGGCTTTTTTTAGTTCATTCCTTAGTTTCTCCACTGAAGTTTCATACTTTCTCTCCATCATGCTTGTAAAATGACGCCTAGACGGCAGAGTGTAACCTGGTTGGAAAGTGGTCAGCATTTCTTTGAATCCCTCACCCACAGCAAGTGGTCTCTTGTCTTTTAAAATCATAGCTAAGACGCTCTCAGTAAGTACAGCCACCTCCTGGGGGGTGCATGGTGTACTTCTTCTCTGACAGTAGTCCTCCAGACTTTTCTGTTTATTCCTGAAATCATAAATCACACACAGCACACAGATGAATTCGAATAATTACAAAATAATTATATGGAAAGCATAATATCAAAATAATTTGATAAGGATCTGGTTGAGCTAGATAGATAGATAGATAGATACACACACACTGTTATGCCATGTGCTTTCATAGCATAACAGTAAGAGGTTAATAATAATCCCCAATGTTGAACATATGATATGCAGTAATCATGATGGCTGGAAAAGATAATGTTTAAACAGCCATAGCTGATGGCACCTTTACTGGTGCACTGCTTTCTAGTCATTAGATGGCATAACTTTGACTTATAAGATCAAGCTGGAGAAGCATAATGTATAAAAACAGCGTTCAAATAGGATGAAACACATTAAATTTGACAAATCAAGAGTTCATTGTCATTTTGCTTTTGCAAGCACTTTAACAATGTTGTAACAGTGTCCACGACGGCTACGTTTAGCAGGTGGTGCATTATCCTTGTTAACATTTCTCCTGCGGCCAATTCGCTGTCTCACATTTTTGTCTTTCGCCGATTCTGATAATCAGCCTGCGTGCATTCCGACTCATTTTGCCAGCATAGGCCACAAAAAAAAAAACAATAACAACAGCAGCTGCTATATGTTACTGCTCAGCAGCTTAAATGAGTTTTGTATTTACGGAGGTTGGGTGTTTATCTGTGTCTATGAGTGAGTGTACGTCTACGTGGGGGGGGGGGCGGTCTGGATGAATTAACGGGTAAAAACTAGCGTTAGTAAAAAAGTTGAAAACTTACGGTGGTTTGTCCTTTGCAGAAGCTGCTCCTGGATGCCGTCGTTTGAGGTGCTGGTGCATAGCCGTCGTGCTTTTATGATAGGCCATTTCCACCTCACAAAGCCGGCAAACGACTGAATCACTTCCTTTTCTGTTAAAATATCCCCATACTGTAGAACTGCGTGTTCGGGTGGAGTGATTTAAGTTGACTGCAACTGCCTCACTCATGATTCCGCTACTCGCTGCCGCCATGTCTTTTTTTGAAAGTGACGACGCATCGACGCAGATTTTTTTACGTCGACGTATTTTTTGCGTCGACGTAATCGATTACGTCGATGCGTTGTCCCAGCCCTAATTGTCACCCTTCTAGGTAGTTTGCCACCCAGCTATGCAACTGTTGTTACTGCTTTGGAGACAAAGATGGACAGTCTGACACTACAGTTTGTTCAACAAGCCTTGATAAATGAGGAACAAAAGCGAGTGCTTACTGACAACACCACTGTGTCCAGTAGTGTATCAGCAATGTCATCTCAGATGCATAGAAATGAACAGAGTGGATCAAAAACAGTGGGAGCAAACAGCTCCGACTCATGGAGATGTTACAAATATGGGAAGGAAGGACATATCAAGCGTGATTGTCCAAGCATTAAAAAGAAATACAAGGCCCACAAGGCTAAAAGCGTGGTGTATAAGGACAAAGAGGACGCATTTGAGGGAGCTTTTGTTGTAAATGAGTCATGTAAAAGTGATGCACAACAAGAAGAATGGTTAATTGATTCAGGAGTGTCAAAACACATGACATGGAATAAAGAAGCTCTACAGAACTACCAAGAGTTTTCAGAACCACAAACAGTAAAACTCAGTGATGGCAGAGTAGTTGAGGCTTTAGGTCTGGGCAACATAACAATGAAAATGTCATTCAGAGTTAGTAATGGAAAAGATGCCACAATGTATGATGTGCTGTATGTTCCCAAGTTATCAATGAACCTTTTCTCAGTGGGAGCTGCTGCCAAGAAGGGAAACACAGTGAAGTTCAAAAGGACTCATTGCTACATAAGAGGAAAGAATGGAGCTCTCCATAGAATGGGAACACAAAGATCTGACGGCTTGTATCAGCTGGATATTGAGGGAAACTGCACAACCTGTCATGGAGCGTCAACTGCTTCAGTTCCAGCAAGTATGTGGCATCAGCGCCTAGGTCACACTACAAATCTGAAAAGAGTAAAAAACTTGGTAAAAGGAGTTAGCCTTACAAATGAAGAGGAGGACATTTTTTGTGAAGCTTGTGTTGAGGGCAAATTATCAAGAAAACCTTACAAATCAGTGGGAGAAATACGAACAAAACGCAAGTTGCAATTAGTGCATAGTGACGTTTGTGGTCGTTTTCAAACTGAGTCACTACCCAGATAGCAAGGAGACATTGAACAGATGTTGATTTTCCATCTGAACCATCAGAATCGTCAGGATTGAAATATCAACACAAAACCAATGTTGAAACAACATTGAAAACGTATTCTACGCTAGATTCGACACAGCGAACACCATGAGACCGGACAGTGTGCGCACCGCGGATGACGTCAGTGTGCACACTGTGTCTGAGGAGGATGTGCGGAAGTGCTTCAGGAAGGTGAACGCGCGCAAAGCTACTGGTCCGGACGGGATTCCCGGCCGCGTCCTCAAGTCATGCGCGGCTCAGCTGGCTGGAGTGTTCACACACATCTTCAACCTTTCCCTCTCTCTGTCTGTAGTCCCAGCCTGCTTCAAAATGGCCACCATCGTCCCTGTACCCAAATCCTCCACCATCTCCTCATTGAACGACTGGCGACCTGTAGCCCTGACCCCCATCGTGAGCAAATGCTTCGAGAAGCTGGTCAGGGACTTCATCTGCTCTGCACTACCAGACTCACTGGACCCTCTACAGTTCGCATACCGCCACAACAGGTCCACTGATGATGCCATAGCCCTGACACTACATACTGCCCTGTCACACCTGGAGAAGAGAGACACGTATGTGAGAATGCTGTTTGTAGATTACAGCTCAGCATTCAACACCATCGTTCCCTCGAAGCTGGACAGGAAACTGCAGGATCTAGGACTGAGCAGCTCCCTCTGCAGCTGGATCCTTAGCTTCCTGTCTGACAGACGCCAGGTGGTCAGACTGGGCAGCATCACCTCATCCCCCATCACACTGAACACTGGTGCTCCACAGGGGTGTGTACTGAGCCCTCTCCTGTACTCACTCTACACCTACGACTGCACAGCCACTAACAGCTCCAACATCATTGTGAAGTTTGCGGACGACACTACAGTTGTGGGTCTTATCACCAATGGTGATGAGACGGCTTACAGGGAGGAGGTCAGCGCCCTGACCCACTGGTGTCAAGACAACCATCTCACCCTCAACGTCGCAAAGACAAAGGAGTTGATAGTGGACTTCCGGAGGTGCAGAGAAGTACACACCCCCATCACCATCAACGGAGCTGCTGTGGAGAGAGTGAGCAGCTTCCGGTTCCTTGGAGTACATCTGGCTGAGGATCTTACGTGGTCAGTACACACAAACAAAACAGTGAAGAAGGCGCAGCAGCGCCTCTTCTTTCTCAGGAGACTGAAAAGATTCGGCATGAGCCCCCGCATCCTCAGGACCTTCTATCACTGTGCCATTGAGAGCATCCTCACTGGATGCATCACCACCTGGTATGGCAACAGCACCGCCTACAACTGCAAAGCTCTCCAGCGAGTAGTGCGGTGCTCTGAACGGATAATTGGAGGTGAGCTTCCCTCCCTCCAAGACATCTACAGTAAGCGCTGCCTGAGGAAAGCGGGGAGGATCATCAAGGACTCCAGTCACCCCAGCCATAAACTGTTCAGACTGCTTCCATCAGGAAGGAGGTTCTGCAGCATCCGGTCCCGTACCAGCAGACTGAGAGAGCTTTTTCCACCAGGCCATCAGACTGCTGAACACTTCATAGACACCTCAGCTTCACTACTGGAACTTCAACATTATGCACTACATACTGTATATAAATGCCACTTGTTTTGCACAATATCCAACTACAAACCTCTGTATATTTTATATATTTTATTTATTTATTTTTTACTATTTAATTTGTAAAAATGTGTATACACACACACACACACACACACGTAGGAAAATATTTAGTATACACATCCAGAAATGCATACACTATTATATATTGTACATATATTTATTAGTTTCAGATTAGCCATTCTTGTATTTTGCTCGTTTGTGTTGTTGTGTTTGCACATCTCTGTTGCTTGTGGGGCTCGCACACAAGAATTTCACTCGCATGTGCTGTGCCAGTGTGCCTGCACATGTGATGTGACAATAAAAGTGATTTGATTTGATTTGATTTGAAATACTGATGAAACCTGACACTGACATTGAAATAACATTGATTCACTGTTGTTCTGTCATCGTTGATTGTTGATCTATTTATAGTTGACAAGGTGACAACAATCACGTTGAAAAATCATCAATTTATGGTTGAGCGGGAAATTAAAGCTGCTACCACTTGGACTATTCCGCAGCACCCCTATCACATTGGTACGTCCCTCCAGGTAACCATTGTCTTGTACAGTAGAGCGGGACATTAGATTTACTCTCAGCGGAATTGACCGGAGAAGGCATCAGTTCATGCACTGCACTGGCCTGCACCACGATTAGTATAAGGTAAGAATGAATGACTTTTGTTCTAGTCGTTATTTCCATGGTTGCATTTGAATAACAGTAAAAAAAACAAAAAAACAAACTTGTTAATGTAAAGTTTCGGATAAAATGTGGGAGCCCGAAATTTTGTCTACTTTCATCTTACAATCCGGCAACAAATAAATTGCACTGCAAACAAAGTCTATCAACAAAGAAAACATTTTCGTTTCATACTTTTCCGTTATATTCCCTTACAAAGCTAGCTTTAACGCTTCGAGGGTTCCTTTGTTCTTGCCGTCGCCTCGGCGCTTGACCCAGACTTTGGCTCTGTAGTTGCTTTTTAGCATAGTACTACAAAAAATTGTAAATCTGTGATATATGATTGATAAACGTAAAAGTAACTGTATAAATGTGTTCAATGACTTTGTTACTTTTAATGATTGGAGAGCACCCACTTCGATTCGCACTCAATTCAAACTCTACGCTGCACGCTCACCTACCTTGCGTTTGCACCTTTTGTCCACACGTAAACTGCGTTTTCATCAACTGAAAACCGAGATTTTTAACAGTAGAAGTCCCAGACTTTTCTAACCCTCTGTTAGCCAAGTGGAAGCGAACTTTGCTAGTCTTTTAGCATCAATTCAAATCAAATCAAATCAAATCACTTTTTATTGTCACATCACATGTGCAGGCACACTGGCACAGCACATGCGAGTGAAATTCTTGTGTGCGAGCCCCACAAGCAACAGAGATGTGCAAACACAACAACACAAACGAGCAAAATACAAGAATGGCCAACCTGAAACTAATAAATATATGTACAATATATAATAGTGTATGCATTTCTGGATGTGTATACTAAATATTTTCCTACGTGTGTGTGTGTGTGTGTGTATACACATTTTTACAAATTAAATAGTAAAAAAATAAAATAAAATAATAATAATAATAAAATATATAAAATATACAGAGTTGAATATGTGCAAAACAAGTGGCATTTATATACAGTGTGGAGTGCATAATGTCATATGTAAATTAGGTCGTTACCTGAGAATTCTGGAGGGGAGTGGGTGTGTGTGAATGATTGCTGATGTCTAACTGCCAACTGCCTCTGTGTGTGTGTGTGTGTGTGTGTGTGTGTGTGTGTGTGTGTGTGTGTGTGTGTGTGTGTGTATGGGGGGGTGGGGGGACTTCCTTTTGTGTTGAGGTGGATATAATCTCACTGCATTTAGCCTAATCCTTCATTGCCCTGAAGAATCCTGTGGTGTACGAACCTCCTCTCCAAGGAAAGAAAATGCAGCAGGCCTTGGAAATGATCCTGAGTGAAGTCAACCCTTGTGACTCGGATGGAGAAGACCTACAACTTCAGCCGGATTCGGACTCGGAGCTGTCTGATCAGTCTTCAGGTTAGGTTTCATTTCATATTATTTCCTATTTCATTTCAAACAAGTAAGTGAAAAATACTAAAAAAGCAGAGCAGGATTAGGGTTAGCTAGTAACCCTAACTCTAGTTGTTTCTTTTTATTTAGGAAGACATTTCATATCATTTCCTATTTCATTTCAAACAAGTAAATGGATGTAGTAAGTAAGATATTTCAGACATTATTCTGATACAGATGAGGAGATACTGGAATTATAATTAGTATCTATGCATGCATTTGTGATTTTTTTTTTTTTTTACCTTCCCATTGCTCACAATTTGAATTTGTTCACACTGCAGATGAGGAGACTGCTTCTCCACCTAAAAAGAGAGCTTGTTTGGGGACTGAGACAGCGAAAGATGGCACAGTGTGGCGCGAAGAACAGGTGGGGACCTGTCTCCCTTTCACCCCAATAGAAGCGTACGCTGCAGATGGAGAGCCAACGGCTAAGGCCAGGAGAAGTATCTCGAGTCGCCTTCAGAGCTTCCTGTGTTTCATCACTCTTGACATGCTTCGTAGCATTCAAGAATGGACTATTCAACATGCACGGCAAACGGAGCATGTTCATTGGTTCATGGACCTCCCTGAACTAATGGCATTTATTGCAATTGTCATCTTGCGGGGGGTTACCAGGGTTCCATCTGTAAATGACTGCTGGTCAGCAAACCTGGGAAACCCACAGATAATTGGAACTATGGCACGAAACCGCTTCCAAGACATCATGCAACACCTACGCTTTGATGACAAGTCCACCCGCAGTGATCGAGCAAAGACTGATAAGTTCGCTGCAATTTCCAGTTTGTGGGGATCATTTGTCACCAACTGCATCACGTGCTACAACCCTGGTCTACATATCACCGTTGATGAACAGCTTTTCCCATCAAAGACTCAGTGCTGTTTCCTGCAGTATATTGCAAGTAAGCCGGACAAGTTTGGGATCAAGTTTTGGGTGGCTTGCGACCTAAAATCCAAGTACATTTGCAATGTCTTCCCATATCTTGGCAAGGACCCCAATCGTCCCAGTGGGGAGAGACTGTCTGACGATGTAGTGATGAGGCTGATGGAACCATTCCTAGACAAGGGCAGAAATGTTACCACGGACAATTTCTTCACATCGCTTTCACTTGCGCAAAAACTTCTTGGACGGAAAACCACCATCCTCGGCACAGTCAACAAGATTCGCAGGGAAATTCCTCAATCCACTAGACAGACAGATCGCAATGAATTCACCACTCAGGTATGTTGCAGGTCTTTTGTGGTTCTATGTTTATGTGTTTCATTGTGTGTAAAAGGGCTATGGAAATAACAATTTATCTTATTTCTTAGGTGTTTTCAACCTCTGCTGCCACGCTGACGGCGTATGCGGCCAAACGGAAGAGGACAGTCTATATTCTTAGCAGCATGCACAGCGTGGTTCAGACTGATAACACTACCAAAAGGAAGCCAAACACTGTCACCCTTTACAACAAAACAAAGTGTGGCGTGGATGTGATGGACCAGATGGTTCGGGAGTACACTGCCCGCAGAGGAACACGGCGCTGGCCAGTTGCCGTGTTTTATAACATGATTGACATGGCAACACTGAATGCACATGTGCTGTATCAAGCATGCACCGGGACGAAGGAAAGACGGGTGGACTTCCTGGTGGCGCTTACAACAGAGTTGGCTCGCTCTCATGTAGCTGCGAAGAAGGCAAGAAAAGAACAGTTGCTTCGGACACAACCCTCCACACCTGGCCCTGGAAAAAGAGCCACGTGTCAGGTCAAACACAAATGCAAGAAAAATCAGGCCACTGTGCGATGTGTTCACTGCTACAGATACACATGTGGTAAATGCAGACGACAGATACCATGGCAGTGCCAGGATTGTGAGTGATTGCTGAAAATGTTGAAATGTACTCACTCACTTTTTATTATTATTTGTACATATGTGTACAAATGGTTGGTTTTTTGTACTGTTTTCATCAATAAATCTCAGCAACAAAGGACCTACACCCATGTGTGTTGATTTCTCCCTAAGATGGCAAACTGAAACACTCCACTCCCCCACCCCCTCAATCACTCACCCCCACTCCCCTCCCTCCAGAATTCCTAGGTAACAACCTAATATACATATGAATGACTAGCCAATTTAGCTTCCACTTCCAGCATTTGACTGACTGCTCTCCGGCTTTTAAAGGTAGAAACGCAAAATGATGACTCCGCGGGGGTCTAAGGTAGAAACCCAAAATGACTGCTCTCCGGGGGTCTAAGTGTTTAAAGACGCCTGCCAGGGCGGATATTTTCGAAAACTCCGTTTTAGCATTTACATGTGGACAAAGGAAGACGGAGAAAACGCAGCGTCAAAGGTGTGCGCCTATTTTGATGCCACACTGTGCGCCAAGTTTTTGTCTCGGTGCCATGAATTCCTACAATGGCAGACTTAGACAAAATACTGTTAATTTTATTATCTTCAGTGTTTAAATGCTTACATATACACACGCAGTTGTATGTTTAAAAAAAAAAAAAAAAGTTTTATCGGGTTTGCTTGTAATTGTTGCCTATATACATTTTAAGCTATTATTTATTATTTAGTTCAATCAATAGATCAAGTTTTGTAGTGACTATGAAATATATTGTAATTATCTGTTTCCTGTTTATCCTAGACAGGGCAAAAAAGGACTCCAAATTTTAAAAAAAGATAAAAATGAAAGACTGGTGCATTGTGCAGTTCAGCACTGGTGGTACAGAAATAGTCCCTAGTTCATGGATAAATGGGGAGAAATTGTCATGGCCTCCATATCCTCCGTGAGACACATTCAGGATCCACGCCACAGTAAAGAGGAGAGTTCATCCTGGTGCAACATGGCTCACCTATGCACCAGTCCGACTTCTAATAAGCCATGGTGGGTATCATCTGGATTGGTGTTGTATAAATGTAACAATAACAAGTTTTTCGTGTCCTAATTTATGTCTGGCCATACATTGTGTTTGTACTTCCAGACACATTTCACGAAGCAGAACGCAGTCTTCAGAAATATCTAAGTGAACACTGTGATACGTCTGACCTTCAGTCCGAAGCTGAAACTCAGACCAGTCATAAAAGAAAGCACAAGTAAAACTTTTTTTATTTCACAAACATATCTTTGATTGCTAAGAATTTATGATCTTGTCTTTTATACATATCTGTGGTGCTTCCTTACTGCAATATCACCACATAATATAGTCCAAAAAGTGGAAGCTTGTAAACTTTTTATAGATGCAAAGCCGTGTACACTTGTGCACTTCAAAAATTCCTTGTATACTGTACCTTCTTGCACATCTCCGTTTCCTGTGTGTGTTGTTATAAATCAAACTGTAACTTTAGGAATTAATATTCCAAAAGCACATTTGTAATTACTTATGACCGTTTTCAACTTTTTTTCAAATCCCCTGTACACATATAGTGACTCAGAGGATGAGCAGCCCACAAAAAAATGGTTTCCCCAGGCGCCTCGAGTGACAATACCAGGTAATAAAATACTGTCTGGTGTCTTTGTACATATCTGTGTGTGACACAAGGAAACTTTTGACAAGTTGTCTGTATTCTTAAATACTTAGAAAAAATTATCTTTTTCTGTCAGACCTGACAAGAGCTGTTAACGAACTCCGTGAGGAGGTCAGAGCCATCCGCAATACCGGCTGCAATGAATCGGTAGATGCTGGGGTACTGCCTCTGGATTTGCCCTTGCACAACATTGAGGAGCTAAACAATGCAGAGGCACCTCTTCAATCACAAGAGGCAAATAAGGCAATGGTAAGTATATAAAGGTTATGTACACTTTGTAACTATAAAGTGTAATAGCTGTCAGATGTGATTTAAATACATAACAACGGCCTGTTGATTAAACACACAAGCACTTGCATACACATTAAAGACATGAGACACGCTAATTCCATCTCTTAAAATGTGTCTATAGGTGAGACGCTTTACCTTGATTGGAGGGACCACACTGGAGGTGCGAGTCCGCCGTGTAATGGCTTATGCCATTACAAACGAGCTGGCCTCGGTACTAAACTGGGCAGGGAAAAAAACCAAGGACCAGACAAAGCAAAAAAGGGCATTTAAAGATACAGCGCTCTGCAAATGCATATTTGGTAAGTTTTACTGTTTTTTTGCTATATTACTTTGTCCTTCTTAATAACAAGACTTTCATGTCCGGTTAATCTGGAGATGGAGTCTTTGGTCTTTGGCTTGTTTAGTCCTCGGGTTGTAGTTTGTACAGCCCGAGGACCCCATGTTTATTTTGTTTTAAAGACAGTTAACAAGAGCTTATTCATGTGCTCTAATTCACTTTTTTGTGTGTGTGTGTGTGTGTGTGTGTGTGTGTGTGTGTGTGTGTGTGTGTGTGTGTGTGTGTGTGTGTGTGTATTTTTGTCCTAGATGGCCTGACGCAGCAGTTAGGGGCAAACTCTATGTCCGAGTTTGTCTTTGCACAAGCAGTGCAGAAATGGCTCCAATACGCCCCAGATCGTTTGGGTGGTGCAGGACGCACATCATGCATCCCCATCCCAGAGTAAAAAATTACAAACTTCTGTGAAACATATAAATGTAAATAGGAAACTGTCTTTTAATAAAGTATTTAGCAAACGAAACATGCCTATTGACCTTATTTTGTTTAGTTTTTTCTCTGTTACATCACATGAAATGCTTTCTTATTTTAGGATATTAATATTGATGCAGTAGTTTAGTATTGGTTAAAATACCTATAAAGAGAGGTAGATTTCCAGTCATGATTTAACTGTTGTTTTAATAAAAAGCAACTGTGCGAAAGAGGTGGAAAATCAACACCATAGCTCAACAGTGTTTCAATATCAGAATCTGACATTGTTTCAATGTCAACAGTATTAGAAAATATAACATTGAATCAATGTCAGGTTTCAACATTGATTCAACATCAAAACCTGACGTTTCAACGTTAAAAAAGGGTGCAAGAGTGACGTTAGGTCAACGTCACACTTCAACGTTGATTCAATGACATCACCTGATATTGACTCAACATTGTTTCAATGTTTCCTTGCTATCTGGGTAGGAGGAAAAAAGTACTTTGTGACTTTCATTGATGACTACTCCAGATGTTGTAAAGTGTATTTCATAAGAGAAAAAACAGAAGTCCTGAGCAAGTTCAAAGAGCTTGAAAGAACCTTCTCAAATGAATGTGGACAGGGAGTAATAAGACTCAGAACTGACAATGGTGGGGAATACACATCTAAAGAGTTTCAAGAATATTTGAAAGCTCAAGGCATCCACCATGAAATGACTGTACCACACACACCACAGCAAAATGGTGTTGCAGAGAGAAAAAACAGAACTCTAGTGGAATCAGCTAGAAGCATGCTGTCACATGCAAAGTTGCCAAACACATTCTGGGCAGAAGCTGTTGCTACTGCAGCTTACATACAGAATAAGCTCCCAACATCTGCTTTAAAGAACGAAACACCCTATCAGAGATGGTATGAAAAAAACCCCAGACATTAGCCATATGAAAGTATTTGGTTGTGTTGCCTATGCTCATATTCCAGACAGAGAAAGAAGCTGGACAAAAAGGCAGTGTTGTCGCAAAATGTGCAACAACAGGGACTGAAGGAATAAATACTAAAGGAGCAGTATCAGTCCAAGTATCAGTCCAAGCCTAGTTCTAGTTGCAATGAAAAACGATCTTCCCGAGACAGGAAAAGACTGTACTCTAGCTCTGGCAGAGATAGAGAAAAACACTACAGGGATAGGAGTCACGAACGAGAAAGCGACGATGATCGTCACCGGTACAGACGGGACTACAAAGACAGTCACCACCGCCAGTACAGGGATTGTTTCCCCCTTTCTGGACGTTACTACAGGGAATGGGAGGCCGATCGTCACCGGGAGCAAACCTTCCAGCACCCTCGGGAGCGTGATCGCGACAGGTGCTCTAACCATTACTACCGCTACCGGTCAAGAGAGGACATTGACCATGAGCGAAGGGGATATGGTTACTCCCACCGAGAGGAGTCTCGTGGCAGTCGGAGGTGGTTGCAGGATAGTAAAGACTCCTGGACAATTAAGGATAAGAGTAATGGCAAAGAGAGAGAAAATTACTCCTCAAAGGAAGGAAATTTCTCACCTTCTACAGCACCAGAAACAAACAAGTTCAAGGGCTCGCCTTTCCTCTCCAGACAAAGAGGTTCAAAATCGCAAGAGGACTCTCGGCAAAGACAGGGACGACAGCTCTGAGGCCCGCCACACTAAAAAACACAAAAAGAGTAAGAAAAAGAAGAAATCAAAGGATAAAGACAGACACCGTGAGAGTGGGTGAGTATTGCCATCTTTCTCTCGATCCTTTAATGAAAACAGAAGGAAATGTGTTTGTTTGTTTTAAGCTAGATTTTTTTTGAAAATAATATGGGGTTAAAGCTCACTATCAGTATTAATATTTTCTTAAAAACGGAAAGAATTTTCATCATTTTATTGATAATGGGTCACTTTTTCTGTCTTAGGCTGGCCGTAAAGCTTGAGATCTTGGTTTTGTTAAACAATGTGATTGGTTCTCTGTCATCCCGTAGAAGTTCTGACGGAGATTCAGACAGAGCTGCGGAAATGAAGAAGAAAAAGAAAAAGAAGAGACATCGGGACAGCGATCCCAAACTGCACAGCCCAGTGCTCTGAGCCAGGGCCGTGCAGAGAGGTTTAAAGGGGCGGGTGCTTAAAGCTAAAAAGGGGCACATTGAGCCAGGCTGAATAACAACAACGCACATTCATCAAGAATCTAATATGGGCAACAAGGCAAAGCAAACGTAGCCGATGTTTTACCTGATGGGTACAATGTTGCTGTTGAGGGGTTGCTGTGGATAGTGCTGGAGGGCAGGGCTGTGTTGATCTGAGACTGTAGACATTAAAAAGTCCATAGGAGAGATGGTAGCTGATTAAACAAGTGTCATGAGATAATAACTAAATGCAAAGATTGGTGACAGCGCTTAGGCTCTGCCTGTGAATCACTCTTTGCTTCTCTTCTTCCTTCCATCCCATCTTTTCATATATCACTCTCCACTTGCTATGTGAGAACAAGGCACAACTTGCTATTGCAATAAACTATAATTTAATCATCCACACCTAACAACTCCAGCACTTAATCTACAATAAAATGATGAGAGAAAAATGTTATAGCACTGCCTTTAGTAGCCTCACACAGCTCTGTTTCCTCCTCATGTCCTTACCAGGCATGTCTGGACAATGTTATATCATGAGTAATATTTTTTTTAAAAATCCATCTAAATAAAACACACACATGCACACACACAAAGTGACATTTTAGACCTTCTTCAGAATACTGTATATACTATGGGCATCATGGTGCTGATCCAGAATCCTTACATTATTATTTATTACTAGAGCTACAATAATAAAGCAAAGAGGAGGGGGAGTAATAAATATAATGTATTTATGATGATTCCATTTGTTTCACTATCCACTCTGTGCAGGGGCAAAGCTTATTACATTTTTAAACTATAGAGATACAATCATTTTACTGCTGTAAAATCCAACTTTTGTCTTATTTAAAATATAAATCTAATATAATCTGCTTCTTAATGTATGTTCTTTAAAATACAGCGTGTGTTTTTTAATATATTATAATTATAATAATTATTATGTGGACATGAATATTAGATCGTTTTTTAGTGAAATATAATCCCTCCAGAAAGGCAGGAAAAGCCCGGAAACTTACTTTAAAACTAAATATGTTCTAAATACTTTAAAACTAAATATGTTCCCTAAAACGGTGACAGAGCTACAGACCCATGACAGCCTTACACAGGTAGCCAGCAGCTATGACCAGCACTACTTGTGCAGTTAATAAAAGGACAGGTAATGTTTGTCGCGCTGTTGCACACACAGCACGCTCGTTTGTCAGTTGCAACAAGACAGCTTACCAACGTGTACGTAATAAGATAATACTCCTGGGTGCTACACACTACAGTGTACGCTGTACACCTACTTACTGGTTTTGTGGCATCAGTCTGTATGGAAGAAATATAGTAAGTCTGTGTCTCTGAGTTAACTTGTGTTTCTCCTACAGCTCCGGACCGCAAAAAATGCGCGTGCTCTTTGTGAGCTCGTTCCCGGCTCGTAACCAGCGCGTTCTGCCGTCAAGGGCGATCATTGGTTAAATGTGATCATGTGACTGATGTACGGTGGCCCCTAGAGACAAAGCACTGTAACGTGCGGTGGAGATGAAGCCAGCCGCGGAGGTGTGCAGGTGGATAGCGAATGAGCAACAGCTTCTGACTTTCCAAAAAGTACTCATTTATTTACAATATCAAAAATAAGTGCTACCTCTACCACACATTACTGAAGAGCACACTAGTCCGCGTACACACGGGAGCATCCATTACAGGAGGAGTGCGAAGAAGAACAAAAAGGGGGTGACACCAGTCGTGAGACAGGAGGCGCCGCCATGTGGTGATACACTGCATTACGATAGCAACTGTTACAGCACGTACAACCTCTTTCATCCATCAAGTGTTTGGCGGGTACCTAAGATCCAGAGGTAAGTCACTGTTTTTTAAGGTTTGATTTATTTTTCTTTTATTTGTCTTTTTATGTCTTACAGCTTGTGTGATACTCATAGCACTGATTTCTGTTTCTGTTAAACGTTTAAACTGCAAAGCTGTCTCAGATACATTTGACCCTTTTCTGGATATCACTCTGGAAATTAAGGTAATTGGACAACATTCAAAGTGACGTTGCTACTATGTATTCTCTGCATTATGGAGTGTGAGGTTTTTCCTCTCTCTCTCTGTTCATATAGACTGCTCCAAATGTCTCCAAAGCTCTGAAGCAGTTTGTCAAGCCAGAACAGCTGGATGGCGAAAATGCTTACAAATGCACCAAGTAAGTCAAAGAGATGCCAAACCATGATGAATGTTTGTTTCCTTCAGGTGCAAAAAAATGGTAACGGCCTCAAAAAGATTCACAATCCATCGCAGCGCCAATGTGCTCACCCTCTCACTCAAACGCTTTGCAGACTTCAGTGGAGGCAAAATCACAAAGTCAAATGGCCAATAGTGTCTGCTTAAGTCATAAAGATACATGACAGATGCTTTGTTTTATTATAAAACAGGATATTTGCATGTAATGTTTGAAATTCTTTGTGTGGTGGTCATCAGGATGTGAAGTATTTGGAGCATCTGGATCTGCGGCCCTTCATGTCTCAGTCCCACGGGGAGCCCCAGCTCTACAGGCTGTATGCTGTGCTGGTTCACTCTGGATTGAGTTGTCATGCTGGACACTATTTCTGCTATATTAAGGTACTGGCTGTGCCCGAATCTGTTTGAATGCTGCTGTTGCTTAGTACAAACAAACACACACCATAAACAACACATTTAAGCAGAAAACTGAATGCAAACAGAGAAAAATACTTTGTATGCATTGAAAGAAAGAAAAAAAAAAAAAGACCCCTATATAACCATAAGATTCTTCTTTTTAGCTCAAATTCAATTCAGAAACTGAATCTGCTGTGTCACATCTCTCTCATTCTGTCTCACAGGCCAGCAATTTGCAGTGGTTTCAGATGAATGACTCGTCCGTGTCAGTCAGTGACATTAGGACCGTTCTCAACCAGCAGGCATATGTCCTCTTCTACATCAAGTGAGTAAACATCGGTATTTTTAAACATTCTAGGCTTATTCCTTCAGTAGAACTTTTCCCATCATTATTTAATAATGTAGACATGTTTATTCCCACTTTTCTTGTAGAAAATGTATTATTATAACCTAATGTTATAATGTTGATGCTTTGTCATGGTTAATATTCTTTCCATGTCATCAGGTGCACAGATGTGAAAAAAACTGGGGACTACAGCCACTTGAACCATAACGCTGGCATATCTGGTCAGTCATCTCCCCGGCCGGTGGTGATCCCACGCACCATCGCCACCATGCATCAGAACAGTGTTGGCTTCATAGGTCCCCAGCTGCCACCACACATGAACAAGGTACTTCCTCACCTGAGGGTACTGATAATGTTGTTTTTGTTAAACCCAGTGTTTCTCTTCTAAAAACCTGTTGTTGTGACTTCTTGTTCCTTCAGAGTTCTCTTCATGTTAATGGATCTCTGAGGGACTATCCCACAAGCTCCAAGCCCAGCACGGTGGGGAAACCAAACCATGGACTAGCTTCTTCTGCTTCCATCTCCCACTCAGTAAGCCAGCCCACAATGATTCTAGACAGCGACAAACAACAGAAGCTTTCATTTTCAATTGGGCAAAGCAAACCGAACCGCCCATCTGCTTCTTCCTCCTCTTACTGCCAGCCGTCCTCCGCCAGCAGCTCCTCCTCCTCCAGCTCTTTGTCCTCCTCACAGTCTACCTCAGACATCCAACCAGACGTTCGTTTTATTCCGCGTCCACTAAACCAAGTCAGCGGCATGCCTTTCAGTAATGGGGATCAGAACCCTGTAGGAAGCGGGGCGTCCTTCCTGGTGCCGGATAGCCAAGAGGAATCAGACCAAGAGAACTGTGACACTCTGGATAACGGCAGTTCATCCAAGTCTCATCCTAATGAAAATAAAGACACAGGAAATGTCTTTGATAATTCTCCCAAAACCGCCAATGGGGAGTCAGGAGTGCACCATCACGGCAATGGATTAAATGGACAAGCGTATGGAGACTTCAAATCCAGCCAAAATGGGCACCACAATGGTCATCACAAAGTGAATGGACACAGCGGCCCTGACAAGGTAAATCTTGTCTTTATTTTTATAAGTTCAAGGGCTCCCCGCCACAGGCTCACCTTTCCTCTCCAGACAAAGAGGATCAAAATCGCAAGAGGACTCTCAGCAAAGACTTTTTTTTTTTTTAAACAAAGTTGCAAAAACTTAACTCAAGGCAACCCACTGCATTTACGTTTTTAGGTTCTGATGGATCACTTATAATTTCAAGTTTAGGAGAAAAGTTGCTTCAACTAATGTTTTTGTGTTTACAAGATTAATAACTGCTTTTTCTTCTCATATTTTATTGTTTTAAGCAATGTATTTCCTAAAGTTTACACAAGGTATTAGTTTTAGTTTACGCAACATTTTGTTTTGCCAATCAATTTCCTAAAGTCTAGAAAAAGTATCCTTTATAGTTTCCCTGTTGTATTAATGAATGTTTACACAATGTTGATTTTCAAATAACTTTATTGTATTCAAACACAATTGCACCACTGACAATGTTTTGAGATGAGCCATTTTTAACATACTGACAACATTCAGCCACAAATAAAGTCCTTTTCCCAAAGAAAAAAAAAAAAAAAAAGGTCAAATTTTTGTAATAAATGTTACAATTTTAAAAGGTGTGGTATTGTCAGACAGAATATCAAACCTATCTTGATTGATAGTCACTAACAAACAGATTCAAAACATCAGATGGCAGGATGTGAACTCTTCTATCTGGTTTCCATACAGCAAACAAATGTGTACTTGAGTTCTTTGGGAAACTCCATGTTGAGTCCATAAAGTAGGCCAGGTAGGCAAAGGCAGTGGGAAGGTCTGGCAGATCATCAAGAATAATGTTCTCTTCCAAAACAATGGCAGTGTTGACCCCTGTGGACTGCGAGTTGGGTCCCACGTAGTCCTCCAGAACAGTGAGGATGCCCACCGTAACACCTCAGGTTGCCCTCTCAACTGGATCTGTATCCTATGCAAAATTAACAACAGTACATATAAGTCTCTGTAAACTAAAACTGAAGATTGAGTAGATTTGCATACTCACCAGACATGTTAAGAGTTTGGTCTCGTCGTCGCGAACAAATATCAGTAACCCTTCCAAACTGATGGTTCGTTGATGCTGGACTATGTTTGAGACCTAAAACAAGGAAATCAAATAAGACTCAGACTCATTTATAAACCTACCATTTTGTTTTTAAAACACATTAAGTGTTGTTGCTAAAAATACAGCCTTATAAAATAAGATGTTAAAATTAGTTATTCCAGATAATTGCTCATGGTTTTGTCAGTGTTTTTAAAGTAATTTTGATGCACAACCAATGTAGCACACTTATGACAACATTTTTTGAATGCATTTATAACAAAAAGTGGAATGAGAGTTGAACTCTCCGTCATGACCTGCCATCTGCCAAACACACAACGCTGCTTGTTAGCTTATAATCCCCATTCAGGAGGACACACTTTTTGAAAACTAATTTTATATCAATTTGGGAACTTCATGCACAAGTTTTGCAAACAAAGTTATATGGTACTATTTACCTAAAAATGCAGCCAAGGCCTCAGGCGTCTTTTATATAACCATTTAAATCTATTTACAAAACAATCAGGTGTTCTGCATCAAATAAGAAGGCACACAAATTATTTGTGCCAGTCCAAAAATAAAATAAAATAAAAAAAAAATAAAATAGTTTGTGTTCAGTATAAGACAGGAGAACACCAAAGGCCTAAACCCTGCAGGTCTGGCAACAGGTGTATCAGTCCTGTTTTCCATGTGGGAACAGCGTTTACAATGGAATCTGCTTTTGATGGCTTTTTTTGAAGCAAATGTGACATTGAGCAGTATAACTGACACACAATACAAAACAATAACTACACAACACACTAACTACAGCCTCCAAATATGGTAAACGTCACTAATGTCTCACATATGAAAACTCGCGCTCTCTTTCTTTTGTTCGCCCGCTTTCCGTCGCGGGTGTCACTCCTAAAACGGCCCCTTCTTCCTAAACAACCAAGTGCCACATGTTGCCATATCATTTTTGATTGGCTGACATGGTAAACTCTAACACCAATAGGGAAGGGGTGTTTTTTGTTTCGCTTTTTTTTTTTACTCGTAAGTAGAGTGTTTGCTAGCTGTGCTAGGGCGGGGGGGGGTTCGCCGCCGTTGGTCGTCAGCCATGAGCGAGCTAGCCTATTTTGTGGGGGGTTTTCGTTCGGTGGTATGTCGGCCACAAGCCGCACTTAATGAAATACACGTAGGGGGTGTCGCGGAGGCTTGTCAGACATGAGCGCGCCTGTTTGGTAGGGATGCTTGTCGGATTTTCATTGTTTTGTGACATGGCGATTTTTATACGAAAACTTTAAAGCACTATTTTATGATGGAAAACATTCAAGTTGCTCACGAGGGCATTCAAGCAGCACGATTGAGTAAAACAGTCTAGGGGGAATCTTAAATGATGTAGTAAACACATATAAATACACAATAAAAGAAACATTACTTGCCTTAAGAAAGTTGAGAAGAACGACCTTAGCCGCATCCAGCTCCTGGTGTAAAAAGCCTCGTGTTCGCGTTAAAGCAGACGGCAAGGTGGCTTTCAGTCCTTGCAAAAGTGCAAGTAGACCCCGTAGTATCCAAAAATATGAGATGCACAGAAAGGCGCCAACAGCTTCAACTCATGTAAAACTTGAATTCATTCATTTTGCCAGCAATAAATTTCAGCTGAGACCAACTTTTGCTCCAAAACGTTAAATGATTAGTTGAAACCCTTAATGTATTTGAGTTTATGGGGCAACTCAGCTTTTATTGTTGAATTGTGAAAGAAATGACTGTAAGCTTAGCAATTGCAAGTTTGATTTTTTACAGTGCAGGGACGACAGCTCTGAGGCCCGCCACACTAAAAAAAACACAAAAAGAGTAAGAAAAAGAAGAAATCAAAGGATAAAGACAGACACCATGAGAGTGGGTGCGTATTGCCATCTTTCTCTCCATCCTTTAATGAAAACAGAAGGAAATGTATTTGTTTGTTTTAAGCTAGATTTTTTTTGAAAATAATATGGGGTTAAAGCTCACTATCAGTATTAATATTTTCTTAAAAACGGAAAGAATTTTCATCATTTTATTGATAATGGGTCACTTTTTCTGTCTTAGGCTGGCCGTAAAGCTTGAGATCTTGGTTTTGTTAAACAATGTGATTGGTTCTCTGTCATCCCGTAGAAGTTCTGACGGAGATTCAGACAGAGCTGCGGAAATGAAGAAGAAAAAGAAAAAGAAGAGCCATCGGGACAGCGATCCCGAACTGCACAGCCCAGTGCTCTGAGCCACAGAAACAGAAGCAGCGAGGAAAGGGAGAGCCGCAAGCGACACCACTCTGACAGAGACTTTGAACATGACAATGGCTTTCCACCGGAAAAACGTCGCTGCACAGACTACGCTGACGGCAGCGGTGGCCATCTACTACCTTCCAATCATACCACACCGGCAAACTGTTCAAGTTACGGCCATCTCAATGGACAACCAGGTATTTATATTTAGTCTCCAAAATCACAGGAATGCTGAATTAAATGGTGCTGATGAGCTAGTCCAATTTTAAACCATCAAACCCTGTTTTGTAGGTTACAGCCAAATCAGCGGCAGTGGATTTCCCAGTGACCTGAAACAATGACTCTAATAGCTACTAATAGTTTCTCTTCACTAAGACCTCATCTTTGTCATTTCAGATCCATCAACCGAATTTTAACAACAGCAGAGGAATGACATCAACTTTATTGACGTGGTGCTTCTTCATTAGGAATAAAGTGTTTTAAAATTTAAACTATCCCCCTTTCTTTTTCTTTCTTTTGTTTTCTCAAATGGGCTTATTTGCTGTAATTTCTCCTAGCTATCGGCTAAAAAGAAACCTGTTGAACATTTATGATGAAGAATATTAATATATACTTGTATGAACACAAAGCCTGGAGCTTAAACATCTCAACTGCTGCTCAGTGGAACTCAGGACTTGGAAAAAAACGTGTTAACATCAATCACAGAAATCCACCTGCTTCGAAGAGGAACGAAACAAAGGGAATGTGTCACGGTCCGCTGTGGCAGACCGTGTGGAGAGTGTGTGGAGGACTCAGGTGCAGACACAGGCGAGGACACAAAACTCAGTTCGAACGAAAAGCGAGCCTTTATTGTGGCTGATGATACGGAGTGCAAACAAGGCAGAAGCGCAGTGACAAGACAAAACTAAACTATAACCAAACTGGGAAACTGATGCTATGATAAACTATGAAGACACAGAAAACCATAACTATGAATACAAAGACTGGCTGTGAAAACATGGAGGGTGGGAACACAGACGACGCGACACAGACTGTATGAAACACAGAGACTAAATATACATGAGGGATGATCAGGGGAACTGGCCACACATGGGAGCACAGCTGACACACATGAACCTAACGACAGGAGAAGTGAAACTAAATACCCTGACATTGAATACAGACTTTCAAAGTAAAACAGGAAACATGGAGATTAGACATGACATGAACTAAACATAACCACGCAGACGTGACGCATGAACCAGGGAGACTTAGTACAAGGGAAGATGACTTAAACAACTAAGGAACAAAGGACTAAACAGCAATCTCAAAATAAACTAGATGAGCTAAACTAGGGCACAAATGAATACAAAAGATACATAAAACTCAAACACTGGGTTGCTCGACCCAGGACCATGACAGAATGAACAGGTAAAGGCTACAGCCATTATGATTTCCACACTACGTGAACACAATACAGAAAAAACAAAACAGTATGTAAATTATATACTATACATGCATAATGTGAGTTGCTTTTTTTGTGAAAAGATGAGAAAATAAATACAAAAGAAACAATCGCAGAGGTGGATCTTCACTATGTGAGTTAATATGATGCGTTACTGCTGGCAGGCTTTGTTACACACGACTTGGTTTGCCTTTAAAAAGGAAATATCGTAAATGGACGTGTACGAGCCCATGTTGAGTATGTTTGCATATACAGGTACAGTCACTTAAAGGCTACATTAATCAGACCAGCTGACTGATGAGCTTGAGGCTTTCTGTAGTTGCGAATTATCTACAAAATATTGTTGGCAGTTGTCGAAGGAGGTGAAGGTAATAAAATGCTGAGACCAGACAAGTTGGTCTGAGTGGCTGGGAGCTGGACATTCAGCTTTCAAATCCTCCCAATGTGTTGCAGCACCTTATGTGTCCAGCAGGGGGTAGTCTCACATTACGGCATGACGAAAAGACTAATGATTACAGCTATGGCTATCTCCAGTTACATGAAGTCCTCATGCTGTTCTCCATCGTCGTCTAGTGTGGTGAGAATTTACCTTCTTTTTTTAATTATATTTTTTGCCTGTAGCAGACTGAATTTGAATCTTTAATTCCCAACAGCCAAGAACTGAGGTGCAGACAAATCTTCAGGCAGAAGTAGGGATGATCCACGTCAGTCCCATATGTTTTACTGCATGTCCCGCAGGGCTGACGGAGAACGTATGAATCGGACGCCTTTGAGACTCTTAAACACACACACACATACACACAAGGATTCCTCTGATGACAGAAATGCTGCTGACACTTGACGTAAGTGAGGGTGAGTCATCATCATTTCTTGTTGGCTATCCTCCTCTTCCTGGTGGCCAGCATGTCGTAGAAAGGATCCCTGATGATGCTTGCTCTGTGGAGGACAGGAAGGAACAGATTTAACAACGACAACACCTATTTTTAATATCAGCAAAACTGCTTCTATCTAGTCTGTCTGTGTCAGCCCTGTGACAGGCTGATGGTTTTTCCGGGATGTACCCTGCCTCTCACCCCATGACAGCTGGGGAAGGCTACACCCCCTCCCATCACCTTGAACTGGATATCTCTATCCTATCCATCCTGTTTTGTCTGTATAGTTGAAATAAATCACCCATCTACAAGTTCATCAGCACCAAAATCTGGCACTTACACTGAACGCTGTTCTTCACACACACACACACTCGCTGAGCTAGAAATCTGTGCGACTGATAATTGTGTATCTTAGTTCAGTGGAAGTCAAATATTGAGTAACAGAATTTTAGGATGGAGCAGACATGCTGCAAGCTCATGAGCTTTTAAGTTGATGTGCATTTTTTCTTCTCCAATATTTCAGTGAGGTAGTTGCTAACTTTGCGTGCATTAAGCACTGCTGTGCTGTGAAGGTGAGAGACTGAACCAAAATGAGCTGCGGGCTGTAAAGTCAACACAAGCTAAAAAAAGCTCCAACACGTCACGAAGCAAAGTGGTACTGTGGGTGAAAGTGCGAATCATGTGGGTTTGTCACAAAGAGCATCTTTCACCTCGCACATGTGATACGGAGCTGCCATAAAATTGTAAAAATTACAACTTCAAGTTTTTCCATTAACGCAGCTGCTCGTCAACCACGGCGTATTTAACTTGGACTTCTATAGCGGAGTCACAGATCGCTGATGGGAATAACGCTGAGTAATTAGCCGCTTTCCCACCACCATGACGGCTGACGTGTGCAAGTGCAGAACAGTTTCTACAACAGCAGTTTCCAGCCTTGCAGGTTGAATCAGGGCCGGACAGTGTGTGTGTGTGTGTCTGTGTATAGTCGCGTGCTTGTGTGAAATCTGCTGACCACAGGACAGTCTGCCGCCCCGGAGTGTGGTTGCGGCAGCACAGCTCTGCCCCGCTGAGTCTAATGTGTAATCATTCCACTGCCAAAGTGACAGGAGGAGACTTCATGATGTGCAGCCACGACAAGCCAGCAGTCCCCCCCCCCCCCATGTGAAATTTTCTAAACCAAGAAAATTAGCAGTTTTCAGTCTATTTAACCATACCCCAGGCCATGCTCACCAAAATAAGATTCCAGTAACTCACCCTTAAACCTTCCCCACTTTCATCAAACATCTCTCCACACCAAGGGCTTTTAAATCTCATCAGGGCACGGGGAAGATTCAGCAGTACAATTTTTCGCCTGATATTGATCGCACTGAAACAGAGCCGATCATAACCAGCATGCTCGAAAGTTACCCAGTGGGTCCAATTTGCAGCAGCACCTCCACTCCTCTCTGTGTTTAACAAGTGTTTGGATGGGAATGCATTAAAACTGTCATTATGTTTTTAAGTGTACAGCAGTGCGCCGAATCTGAGCAGGTGTGTGTGTGTTCCCCCCCCCTTTCTTGTTGCGCGCTAATCAAAGGCAAGTGTGCTTATCCAGCAGAGCAGACATCACCTCCGAGTGTTATCTGCATGGAAGTGTGAGAAAATGAGTCAGTTAGTCACCAGCCTGCGTGTGTGTGTGTACTCAAGCCTCAAGCATAGTTATGATTAAGCTCGCAGCTCCGTGTATGTGTGTGCGCGTTTGGGCTTCTCACAGTCAAGGTCAGACATGAGAAAGTCCCACATGGGAGCAGGCAGGCGTTGGCTAAGTGCCCTCTCAGTGTAAATGGATCCACACTAACGCAGCGTCTCTTACTTGATGGATTTGATCCACTCTTCTTTCTCCTCCGGGGTGGGGGCAGATATCCTGTACACTACGTGGTTTCCCTCGACGACGCGTCCATCCGCCTCCGTTTTGCAGGCCTTGATTACCTGACCTTTATGGTTGGGGTTGTAGAGCTCAAAGCAGTTCTAAAGAAAAATCATGAAACTGTTGATTTACATGATGAAAGAATCCGAGAACACATTGTTTGTGTGTTTTGGATTTTTTTGGCAGTGCAAAGGTATTTAAATTTAAATGAGAGGAGGATTTATTCGCAGGGACAGGAGGTGTTTCTTACAGGTTTTCTCGGCTCATCCACGAGGCTCTTTATCCTGAAGAGACACAGAAAAACAGTCCTCAGTATCACTTATTCATTTGCATGCACATCATTTTACCACCACATAAAATGAAGACAATAATCATATCTATGTGCAAATGAAGTCACAGTGACAAAAGATCCGCCTGGATCATTGTCACATCACCTGTGACACCTTTAGCCTTATGCTGTAGCAGCTAGCATGGCTGCCATGACCCAGTCACAGACTGTATATAAAAGATGGATGTAGCCTCCAATTTTTAAAAAGTAGTCTGGACAGAAACTAACTATTTGCTAACCTGATTTATGAATTCAATAAACACCGTTCCGGTGAGTTTATGGTCTCAGTTGCATGTTTCAGGTATGATTGATATAATATGATGTTATTCTATAAATTATGGAACCATCATGGTAAAATAGATGATAAAGCAGGGCATGATGAGATGTGATTGACAAGATGCTTCTGGACGAGTGTTTCTGAGCCAGATCCTCCCAAAAATGACAAAAACCAAAATGTGATTTTTATTTTTTTTTAATTATCCATCTTTCATATACAGGCTATGCTGGCTGTCTTGTTTGTTGGTGGGACAGAATATGATTCATTAAAAAAAAACAAAACAAGAATTTGTAAAAAACGTAATTGCAAACAACCTTCACACTTTTATCATCACTGGTAATATTGAAGACATTTAGTATTTTTTGTTTTCTAGCGTGGAGTTTTACAGTTTCAAATAACAAGACCTCAAAAATATGTGTGTCACAAAAATTTCCCAGAGTTTTTGATGCAACACATTTGCTATTTAGTTGCCATTTTTAACCTTTATGTTAAGTCTGAATGCATCTAAGTAAAAATCAAGGTTCGATTAAAGCACTTTGAAGGTTTTTAATTCATCCTGGTCACCCAAAGGAGATGTAACCCGACTCTCTCCATCCCCCCATTGTGTCTGCGGGGCCAGATGTGTGTGTGTGTGTGTTGTGAGAGCTCTTGAGGAACAGCCCCATGTCCTGCTTGTCATCTTCCTTCTAATAAGGTGGCAAAGCGTGGGGGGGAGGAAATGTCCTGGGAGAGCTGCTCACAGCTGGCTCTGCGTATGCCCCCCACCACAGAAGGCGTTTGTATGTGCTGAGGGATTCATGGTCGTGGGCTTGAGGGAGACACTTGGCTTATCCGGTCGTTAAGTCTGACGTCACTAGCCGTGTCTGGACCTAAACTCCGCTGCAGGTCCATATATCAAACAATCACTATGGCATTACTGAGAGTTGAAAAACTGTCTAAAGTCTTTCATCTTTAATAAAATGATCAGCGTTCTGCTCTACCAGGTGTAACAATTGAGTTTAGCATCCAGGCATCCATGAAAACGGAATTTATGACATTTAACGGAGTTAGAAGTTAGCAGGAAGTTAGCTCGCTAGCTTCTATCTAAATACAATATAGCATGTCCTGACTGCGGGGTTTTGGAAACAAATTAAAACGTACAGCTCTGCTATCACTTCCAACATAAATGAAGACAGAAAACTAAAAAGCAGTGACGTTTGTAGGGTTACTGAAGTTTGGCTAGCTGGTATATAATGATGTGCTACGTGACCGCTAGCGACACAGCTATGTTAGGATAATATAAACAAGCTAACTATTTTCCCACTGGATAAAAGTAGCGGTAATAAAAGCCGAGGGAGGTCAACGGGGATCACTGACTGTTTTAGGAGCTTTTTGAGATCAAATAGAAGAAAAGCACACCTTCACCATTGTGCACCATGAAATGGTCAAATTCTGTCCTGACACACACACACGTGCACACACCAAATTGCCTACTTACTGTTGTGTATTCAAAGTAATAGAGGCAGTTGTCAGTCAGAATAAACCACCTCCTCTTCCACGTCTTCACTCGGCCACCTGCGAGGGAGAAACAAACAGCGTATGACGGTAAACTGAAAAGGTGAATCTGTTCGTGTATGTGGAAGCTAACCTGCTTTGTTCCACATTCCACATCTGGTTCTAATCAACATTTCCCAGCATTATAAGACCGAATCAGACCCTTATCCCTCAATCCCTTGGGACCGATGCCTGCAAGGGCAATGGTCTGGAGGGGAATGAAGGTGTTTCTCCTCCAGGAGGAATCACAGACACATACGAACACATACATGCGACAGCTAAGAGAAGCAGCGCCCTGACCCGATTTGAGAAAAGCCTGACACTTTTTAAATAGAAAGCAGCAGGAAAAAAATAAATAATGGCCTGTGATTGTTGCAGTGACAGTCTTGGAAACATTTTAATGCATCCATCTGCTTGCGCTTGTCCTTTTCAGGGTCGCGGGGGAGCGCTGGAGCCTATCCCAGCTGTCATAGGGTGACATTTTAATGCATTATGTCAACATATAATCTTCATAATAACTTGTTTGCTGACTGGATGAAATGTGCACAAAGCAGCTGTCACTGATGTAAATAAATAACGTAATGCTTATGTGACTCAGATTATCATCCTAACACCCAGTATGATTTATTGGACTAGTTAACGAAATAGAAGTTTTACTCTGCTGCAGTCCAGGGAACCACATGTACACTTAATATACAGAGCTATCATCAGTTTGTTTTGTTTACAGAAAGCTCAAATAAATGTAGTTTTTATGAAAATTTGTTGCTATGATTAAACTTTAAGAGTTTGAGTTGGTGGATGAATGGATGGGCTGGAGCCAATCCCAGCTGCCATAGGGCACGAGGCAGGTACAACCTGGACAGATCGCCAGCCTGTCGCAGAGCTAACACAGAGAGACAGACAACTGTTTGCACACATTGACAACAATAGGAAATTTAGTATTAACCTAACCCACTTGCATGTCCAAAGAGACACACACACACACACACACACACACACACACACACACACACACACACACACACACACACACACACACACACACACAGGCCTCGGCCAGATGGCCTAGACCAGGGGTATTAAACTAACATTTGAGGAGGTCCAGTTGGAGAAAATCTTCTCAAGCAGAGGTCCGGGACATCATAATGTCTAACTTACGTTATGATTGTGATAGAGAAGCAACCTTTTTTTTTTTTAAATTTATATCTGAACTTTTGAACAATAGACTTTCAAATCAATGAAAATACAAGTTAAAAACATTTCAACAAAATTTATTGTTAACACTGAAACACACAGTAGGCCTACATTAGATATAGGGCTGCTGTTTAAAATGAATTAGAGAAAATAAATAAACTGGCTAAATTGTGCATCTTAAAACAAAGTGCTTAATTTCAGAAAAAAAAGTTTCCCTTTTTCTTTACATTTTACATCTCGACTTAACAGTCTCAATACATTTTCAACAGATAACATCAAAACATTTTAACAATTTTACAGTTTCTCTGTCTTTCACCCCCTTATATTCCACTTCCCCACTTTCTGTTGTTCAGTGAGAGAACTGAGCTTTAGTTTGCCCTTCCAGGATTTTAAATTTGGGCTGGAATGGTGTCAGGGCCATTCTCACACACATGTGTAGGTGCTCGTTGGTGAGCCTGGAACGATATTTAGTTTTTATTATGTTCATTGTGGAGAAAGCTGCCTCACAGCTGTATGTGGAGCCAAACATGGTCAAGATGTACAGGGCTACTTTTCTCAAATTTGGGAAAGCTGTCTCAGACCATTTGGAGCCAGAAAGTGGCAGGTTCAGTTCTTCCAAACTGCTCTTTCAGGGCCACATCTGCTTGGAGATCAATCAGCTGCATTTGAAGAGGCCCAGCATTTGCCCACTTGAAGTGCTGTGTGACTTCCTTTGAGAACCCTCTGACATCAGTGATGGCAAATGGGTTCTTTATGAACATTGTGAGCTGCTGTCCAAAGCTGAAGCTATCAAAACGTTTGCTGAAGTTTTCAATCAGCTTATCAACAAAGTCAACAAAAGAGGACACATCTCTCTGTCCCTGAACCTGTTCCTTCACTGTTGGGAAGTGTGCATAGTCTCCTTGCAGGTCTTCTTTGAACACTTCAAGTTTCCTCTGAAAGCAGCAGACAGCTGTCATCAGTTCACAAATTGTCCTTCCCGTGCAGGGAAGAGGTAGAGAGCATGAGATGACCCGTTCAGCTAATCACGATGATTCCTGGCATCTACAAACAATTGACGTTCTATTGACGAGTAATTTGGCCTAACCTTTTGGGTGACTTGCTGATATTTTCATGGCTGTTATATAATTTTATGCTTCCTTTCAGTGAAGTTGCAGAAAGGCTTCCAATGGTTGTGTGCAGGTTTTGAAGCTAATGCTACAGCTGATATTGGGCCAGCTTATACAGCTTTTTTTGGTATGGAAAAGGGCTCTCGTAAGAACGAGCTTAGCTGTGTCCTTTGTGCCTTCTCAGTAGCCACAAGAGGAATAATACAGCCAATCCCCACGCAGAATGAGCCAGATCATTGACCTCTGACTTAACTTCGAATAAGATAATCCATCACATCACATTGCTTATACACTTATTTTCCCATTTACAGCTATGATACAACAACACAATTATATGAGCAGGTCAGCATGTTCAAGGGCCTGTTGTGCTAAGGAGATAATGGCAGCCAGTGTCAGAACGAGGGCGCTCGGTGATGAATTGAGCAGAGGAATGAAGACAAAGTGTTACCTTCCACCTAATACAGAGATTTAAAGAGGGCGCAGCCATCACAGAGCAAAATGGAATAGCAGAACGAAGAGTGAAACAGAGGTCAGAGAGAGGGAGGGAGGAACCAAAACATGGGAGGAAAAAAAAAGAGAGATAAAAAACACCATGGCAGGAAGATGAAGAGAGAAAATGCAGAGATTACTATAAAATGAGAAGAGAATAGTAGACAAAACAAAGAGGAGAGGTCACAAGCTGATGGATAAAGACAAAAACAGACATGCTGCAGGTGCACCACAAATTTCCTTTGAAACCTTTTGCCAAGGCCAACTTAGTTTTGCCTAGCTCTTTGTTTCCTTGTGATCTCACTTGCCTGACAACCAAGTCTCCCCTGTGTTTGAAGCTCATGCTGCCCGCAAATCTGTCTCGCACCATCATGCTTCCACCTTCAGCACGATCAACCCCAGCCCTCTACATTTGCTATTATTTTGCTTCTCCAAGGTTTTAATTATTCTGGAGTGAATCTGGTGAAATATTTAATCGAGTCAGTCTACCCTAGGTGCTTAACATTTATTCTTGCATGCTCGCATGCGACAGCGGTAACAGGCAAACGTCATTCGTTGGTCATAGGCACCATTTTTGTAGTTTTTTGTGGCACCTCACTATGTGATGTCTATCACAAATTTATGTTAATCTATTAACAAAAATACAGCACACGTTTGCAACTAACATGAACCACCATGGTGAAGGTTAATTTTACACCTCTGAGGCGCCCCATACATACCGAGCTTTAAGAGCCAGCCTTCCCTGTCGGGGTTGAAGAAGGTGTGCGTCAGATCGTTCCCGTCGTCTAAATAAAATAAATGTCACCGCACAGCCAGGAAACTACCCGTCAGCTTGCTGGTCCGTAACTACGCTTCTCTGCGCCGTGTCAGCCAGCGTGCTAGCTAGCAAGTAGGCAAGCTAGCTAGCCGCACAAAATGCTAGCACAGTTCGATAGCTACGTTTAGTAGCGGTTTTAGATACGGGCGGTTGCCCGGGACGGCATCACGGGCATCGGTTAAAAAAAAAAAATTGCTCGTACTCATGCTGCCCCGACGTCAGCCAGCGCATATTGGGAATGGCATAGGCACCGATCGGTTTTCTATCGCCCATTTGCTGGGAGTAAGGGCGCCCTTCGTTTGTGAGGTGCACCTGCTGCTTGCGGCGCAGAGAGAAGAGGGCGGGGCGGCGGGGGATTCTCTGACCGGCTGGAGCAGCATCTAATAACCAACTCGCAAAATAAAACAAAATAAACACAAACCAACAAACACGAAAACACCAGACATTATAATACAGACTTATAATTTGCACCAATGTTTTTTCGAAATTCTATACACGAAAAGTGAGCGCGAGAGCCCTCGGTGCGCCTGCTTGCTGCTGAAGTCAAAGTAAACTTTATTGTCATCTCCGCTACAGTCCAGTATATAGAGACGAGACGACGAAGCTCCAGTTACAGCAGTGCAAGTAAACAAACAACATATATAAGAAGAGTAAGAAAATAAATGTACACTTTAGGACTCGGGATAAAGGGATCAATAACAATTTAAAATTTACAGTTTGATGATTTAAAGTCTCACCCCGTCGAAAGGGGAGGGGGGCCGGCTGCTTCCAAATAGAGCGCATTTCATTCATAATGATGTAAATCCAAGCCCGTTATGTATTCATGATTTGAATCCTGGGTTGTGTGAAATCCCAGAAATACACCTTAGACAAAGTGAATCTGTGAACTAAGGTGTCGGTGTGTTAGATCATGTTGTGGTGATCCTTGGGTTGAGGGATGGGTGTTCATACTGCAGTGCAAAATTAAAACCAATGGAAGATGGACAAGAAAAGTTCAAAGCCATCAGGTCCTCAGTTTAGAAAAAAGAGAAAAGAAGAGGAGGAGAAACGAGCAAAAGATACAGGTAAGCAGATGTGTGATTGGATAATGGCAGGACATCCTGAAACAATCAGAATCAGAATACTTTATTAATCCCTAAGGAAATTATGTGCATTACAGTTGCTCCAAGAAGAAATGGTAAAAATAGTAACAGTAATGGACTAAACTCCAAACAATACATTATGTTACAGATTTTAATATTAATTAGTCAGTGTCAATTGTTGATTTGTCCTGTTCTCATTCTATGACGAATTATGATGGCTGTTTGGTAGCCGTTTGCGTACCATGCATACTCTCTCTCACTTCATATATATGTGTGTGTGTGTGTACAACAGCTTTATGTTAATGTACAATCCTTAATATGTTTTATCTGTGTGTGTGTGTGTGTGTGGGGAGGGGAGGCAGGGGGAGTGTTCGCCCAGGGCGCCAAATAGGCTAGGACTGCCACTGCTTCCAGTGACAACATTGACATCTCAGCTGCCTGTCTTTTTGTCGGTGCCACTGTATCCAAACTACATATCAGAGCAGGTGTCACTACCACAGGTGTCACTTAATTCAAGAGTGTCCCTTTCACTCTTGAATTAAGCTTCCACTCCTTTGTCTTTATGAAGACGTCCTTGCAGCATTCCCAAAATCCATTGCAATGTCCATCCTCCTCTTGTGTCAGGAACGAAGATCCTCTGTTATTTATATTTAGCAGTTAAATAAAGGCTTGATTTAATGCAGTGTTCTCAGGTCTTCCTTTTCCTTTCTGTATTTTCCATTTGAAGTCATGACTCTGGTCGATTTCTGTGTGCTGTAGCAGTATCGCCTCTTGATTCAAGTGTCCATATCTTTTGCCACAAATCCTTCGCTGTCTTTCTTACCAACAACTTACCATAAACTTTTCAACAGTTTCCTCATTACCTTTATAAACTTTAGCTTAAGGCTGCCTTCCACACCATCATCGGCAAGGAATCCCACAGAACAGCAGATTAACTAGTATATACACACACTCCCTCATGACTACTCCCTCCATTTTTAGATCCATCAGTAAATACCGACATGATTAAAATAATTCTTCTTTACATAACTGGAATTCTTTCGTTTTTTCTTCTTCTTTGTTCTTGCTTTACCAACCGACTTATTGGTGCATTAGCGCCGCCTGCTGGATAGAATTTAAATTCAAATTTTATCCAAATTCAAATTTTATTTGTCACGTACACAGTCATACACAGTACGATATGTAGTGAAATGCTTGGACAACTGCTCGTGACCTAAAGAAAACAAAAAAGGAAAAGGCTATGAATAAGATAGGAAATAATAATTTATAATAAAATAATTTAATATAAAAATAAAAGATTTCTGGGTTAATCTGCTTGGGGTCCCCAAATGTTCCATTCAGCCTGTTTTGCCATACTTTTCCAGAATTACGTTGACAGAATTTAAAACAAACAAGCAAACAAACTACACTGATTAAGGACTTATATTCATTTATCTATTTTATTCAGTATTAGCATAGCCTCCATAGCCTTCTGTTGCTATAATGTAGTGTTTTACTCATTTGCCTAATAAGTAAGAGAACTCCGAGACACAAATTCCTTGGGGGCTGTGTCAGGAAGGGCATCTGGCAAGAAAATCTGCCAAATCAAACATGTGGAACTACCTGCTGTGGTGACATCTGGTGAAGGGAGCAGCTGAAAATAGCTCTAAATGAGCATAAACTTTCTCTGCTCAGTAGTCTGCTTATGCTTCCATCTGTTAACCCATGCCTTCTGCAGAGAAAGCATTAACAATGCACACCAACATCAGCTCAACACCACCTTGACAATGAGTGCAAGTAAACTACTGTAATCACTGTTTATGAGAGTAAAACACTGAGATTTTTTTACTAAGCACATGCAGGTTTTTTGTGATGAAGATTTTTTCGTGTGCATGAATGAGCTGATTTTCCAAACTGTATCTTTAATCCCCCCTTAACTTTAGAAAAAACACTCATTTAACCCCTAACCTCATGTCCTGAGGTATGTATCAACTTCCAATGTGATGATGAGCAAAGACTTTCTCCTTCAGACTAGCACACAGGTGTGGTTCATCCAACAAGATCATAGAGCCATGCCCAGAGACCATCAAAGTATTAATTATTTCTAGGGCTACAGTAAAGTGGAGGTGGCCTCCGATGTGGCATAGGGGTGTGGTAAAGAGGTCCACATCAGGGCTGCTTGTAAATCGACTGAAGCAGAACCACCAAGGCCCAGAGGCTGAAGATGTTGCACAACAGCAGAAGGCAGTGCAGACAAAATGCACAGTACAGTTTTCGCTAACATAATTCAGAATTTCTTACAGCAACATTTCGGTATGTAGGATTATTAAAGGTGGCCAGAGTTGAGCCGCCAAGTGGTCAAATCCTGACCAATGGATGGCTTTGGAAAATGAAAAAAGTGGAAATGAAAGGAAGGCCTCCTCACAAGTATAATTTGTGTCTCATTTTAAAATAACCCCAACATGCTCATTATTTATAAAATACAGTATCATTTGAGTTGTTTTTCTTTCCTTTTCAAATAAAACCAAATGTAGTCAGACAGTAATACTCAATAAAACAAAAACAGCAACCCTTACTCACAGGGGGACACCACAACCCCACATGTTTGAGTTTTACTCCAGATGTCCTTCCTGAAACAAGCCCAAAAGGACTGTTGTATCCAGCATTGAACTAGGGAGCTTTTGCACATCAGGCATGTGTGTATACCACTAAACTACAGAGCTACCAAAATCAAACAACCAACCAATCAAACCAATAGACAAACATTCTCACACTTGCATCCATAAGTTTTAATGACACTATTTGTGTTATAGTTGTGCCTTTGTACACCAGCACAGTAGGAGTGACTGAAGTGCAGGTCAGCCTTAATCCTTAAAACTTAAGTCATTTTATAAAAGTACTAAAATAACTGTTTAGGAATTGCATGCACACTGACACATTTCCAGAGTAACTGGATGAACTCACAGAATTTGAAACATAAAACAGTTTTTAATACTCAGCCTTTATTGCAGTCGCCTTCAGATCCTGCTTGTTTGTGGGTCTCTACCCTCAGTTTTGTCTTCAGTAACTGAAAAGCATGCTCTTTAAATCAGGTGACTAACATGGCCACTAAGAACATTTCTTTGCCTTGAGAAACACTTGGATTGCTTTTTCAGAATACTGTGGAGTTGCGTCCAGTCAATTTTAGAGCATTTGTCTGAATCTTAGCAGAAAGTACAGCCCTGTACACTCCACACTGGCTACGTCTTCCATGCCATAACATTCCCTGCGCTGTGTTTGACAAATAATCATGAGCGATTCCTTTCCTTTTCTCCTTTTAGAAATCTTCAGAGGTGGGACCAAGTCATTGTTTTGCAAGTCTCAAGTAAGTCTCAAGTCTTTATCCTCAAGTCTCAAGTCAAGTCTCAAGTAATGTCAGGCAAGTCAGAGTCGAGTCTCAAGTCACTGGTGTAAAAGTCCGAGTCAAGTCACAAGTCTGAAACTTTGAATTTCAAGTCCTTTCGAGTCTTTAAAAAAAAAACGAAAAAATAATGTTGCAGTTATGCTAAATGTAAATATTAGACCATGTAATTTTAAAATCTGTGTTTTTCTCAACACATGACAAAATAGTGAACTTAGAAAATATACACAAATTGTGAAATTGCACCTCTTTAAAATGCAGCTCAATTAAACCTAGCTCCAAGAATAATTTTCACCGACAGTTCTGAGATACGCTGCATGTTATTCTTGGATGCGGTTGTAGGACCAGCTTTAAAATCGCATGACAAAAATATCATACACATTAAAAAGAACTGCATCACCAACGTAGCCTGGACAACATTTGCTAGTTAGATGAAGTCAGCTATCTCATCGTAGCATATTTATATGCATATTTATAATCATACGGTTCTTGGAGTGAGTGCATACACTCGTGAAGTTTAGTAACTTCCGGTCACTGCAACAAGCCCAGGTACAGCTTACCGACGGATGGGTACAGGACCTTGAAATGCACCGTGTAGAACGAAAGACCATCGTACGTATCATAAGTTTACCAGTCTCACAAATCGTCGTCATAAATACACATTCCTTAACCGTTTATTAATAGGACCTTTGAGCTCAACGGTAATTAATTAGTAGTGGAAATAATTTCTGGTACGCGTTACAGAAATGTAGCAGTGACAATAATATTGTATGCTGTAATCGTACTGGGCAATTAGTGATACAAAAAACCTGTTTTATCCTGTGAATAAAAGTATATGTTTTTGTCAATGTACCATAATAACAGAAGCGAAACAATATTCTGTCAGGACAATTCACTATTTATGCACAATAAACACAGGAGCATAGCGCGACAATTTCTGTTCAGCGCCAGACTTGCTTGTAACCTATATCACTAATTATGTTATGAAAATGACGTATTAACTACTAAAAAACACTGACCTTCGTGTAAATGCTTGGAGCAGACTAACCTGTGAGCTGGAGGGTTCTGGGACGTTATATTTGATCTTTGAATGGCTGCAATCCAGTCGCGTCTTTGTTACTTCGGAAACATGGCCTGAACAATTTCTCTTCAACGACGTAATCCGATAACAACCGATCTCTTTACCCGTCGGCTTCCCGTGGCTGTCATGCGACCGGCTATTGCAGTTAATAATACAACAGCTTCTTGACATTTTTGTGTTTCTTTTTATCGCTGTGTGACTGATTTCAATTGAAAGCCTGCGTGCGCTACTACCGCTTGCCACGAGTTCCCAGAATCCTTTGCGGTTCTACCCGTGAATGACGTCACATTTTCAATCTCTATATAATATGCATGTTAAATTTTATATTTGGGGTAAAATATCAAGTCTTTTCAAGTAAACCGGTTCAAGTCCAATTCAAGTCCCAAGTCATTGGTGTAAAAGTCCAAGTCAAGTCACAAGTCTTAGAACATTTTTTCAAGTCAAGTCTAAAGTCATAAAATTAATGACTCGAGTCTGACTCGAGTCCAAGTCATGTGACTCGAGTCCACACCTCTGGAAATCTTATCACCTCATTTTGATTTTTTGCTTTAGTCTCATTTGAAGTTTTCATTTCTTTTTATTGCAAATGCTGCATCTGCGATGAAGGTGCTTTACTCTGGTGAAGAAAGCTTGCTGCTCTTCTAGAAGCCCATGCACTGCCCCATGCAGTCCTTCTGTCATCGTGATTATGAGATGATAGTGAGAAAGCCCCTCTTTGAACCAGTGCTGATACAGGGTTTCCTCTCATCGCAGTGTGACTTGTGAACAATGCTGGAGTTCATATTTATAATAGATGAACAGGAGCTGCAAGCAGACTCGCTTACACGAGTATCATCTCCGCGCTGCTTGAGCGAAGGAGTTAACACATTATATATTTGCTTACATTTGATTACTGAGCTAGAAATAGTCACGAATCAACATCTTATGCATTCTACTACTTTGTGTGTGTGTGTGTGTGTGTCCGTGCGCGCGCGCGCGTGTACATCCTTTGATAAGAAAACTTAGAAAAAAAATATTTCGAAGTTTTCACGCAGTTATGACAGATGCCCCCTTCTGTGGATGTGAGCGCGTGCGTTTCTGTTTCTTTAGATTTAGCATTTTTTCCGCTCAATGTGTCCGATTGATAAAGATCGATTTGAAGGTGTCCGCTGATGTTTCGGCTCAGGTTTGTCTAGAGAAGCAAGTCAGAAGGAAGTCTGCAAACCTTAAAAAAAACTTAACGTGTCAGCTGGTTTAACGTTTCAGTCAGGAAGCAAGAAAGACAATGCGGAAGATAATAAACGCCGTGCAGTTGTGTGTGGGTGCTCGCACAGTGGCGCGCGCGCGTGAGTAAACCGCGTAGAAGCGCGAGCCACCAAAGAGGGGTTCCCTTTACCTTACAGTCGGCGAAGGGTGCAGAGCAGCGAGCCTGGCTCGGGCTTCTTTTTCTTCTTTTTAAATGCGTTTACGCTTGGACAGCAGCGACGGAGAGCTGCAGAGCACCGAGTGGATACGCGCTCCTTTTGGTCTCCGTCGCGTTTGAACTTTTCTCAAAGTGAAATGACCAGATTTGAAGGTTAGAGTGACGCGTCTTTGCGCCTGTAGTCGTGCGCTCTCACGACGAATTCAGCTCGCCAATGCCCAAGGAGTGCAGGAGAAAGAGCTCCAAGGACTTCGGGTTCTCGGTGAGTGGAATAAATGAGGCGTCTCGTTTAGAGCGAAGAGTGGCTGCCAAGTCTTCGCAGATTTGCGATGAGCTCATTGAGACAGCCGCTCAGATCGCTCCGTCGTCCGGACCGCCGATTGTGATGGATGCGCCCCGGGTACCGCAGGTCACCATCACCCCGGAGGGGGGCGGCTGCTCCCGGGAGATGCAGCAGGAGGACTGGGATCGGGCGGTGGACGGTACGCTGCGCAGGAAACTGTCCAACTCCTCGATCTCCTCCACGGGATCCTCCGCCGTGGAGTCCGAGGATGATCTACTGAGTGACAACGAGAGCAAAAGCAAAGGCATCGTCACTTTAGAGCATCTGGTGGAGCCCGGAGAAGTGAGTAAACTGCAAAGAGATAGCGATCTAATGGTCGGTGCAAGGTCGCCACGACGGTTCATTTTCTCTTAAACAGTGAAAAATAACCGAATGCACAGCTAACAACAGTAAAGGTGGAGAAATACCACTCTGGGTTTTTTTTATTTATTTCTTTTCAAACTGCAATCCTGACTCCCATCTGTGTGCCTTTGCAAATGTGCTATTACACCGTGAAGAGCTGAGGGTTAAAAAAGAAGAAGAAGAAGAGGGCAAAGCAATAAAATAAACAGCACTTAAACAGCAAGCTACTTCCTAACGAAAGACCCACGGGGACTGTTTTACTGCAGAGAACAGGCAATTACAGAGTGATAACAGCATCCTTTCATTTTATATTGTTTAGTTTAGTTTTCAAACGACATAAACACACAGTCTGATTTCTCCAGAAACACATCCCCCTGGGAAACCAGTCACATCTACATTTCAAGCTATCTTGCATCTCTTGTTTTGGTCATGGAAGTGTGTTCTGGGAAATTTCAGTTATGAGTTATACTGGTCTGACAGGTGTCTCTTGCTCTCTATACAAATACATATGTATGAAGATGCTTTGAGGTCTTTCAATAGCATTGGCAGAAAGCACAGGAGCATTGTGAAACTCTGGGTGACTCTCACCCATTTAAGTGATGTTATCACTCCTTATTTTTAATTGGTCATTAGAGCCTTTCCCATTCTATTAATGACCAGGCTGTAAGTAAAGAAACTGACATGAAAATGCTGCTAAAAGCTGGTTAGCCTTTGTTGCATGGAATGTGTTGGATGACTGATGTCAGAGTTATGTATCATCTTATTTACTGGTTTTTATCTTCAAGGCCACATGAAACTCCTTGAGAGAAAAATACAACCTTTTTTTCAATGGGATGTTTTGCACAAAAGATTGTGCACAGCTCAAGTAATGCAAATTATTAATGTCAAAAACGGACCTGTTGAACGTCAAGCTTGATATATTTTGATACTTTAAGTCTCGGCCTTTTCCCTCCTTAAGCACACAGGCTTGTGTTGAAGGACTGGCCTTTCACCCTCACTGTGGGTGGAAATTTGTTTGTATTTCACATTCTTGTGGCTGGCAAGTGTCAGGGGACATGCTTGCGTGGGCATTAAAACTGAGCTGTCTATCAAATCACATGATCTCTCTGATTATTGTACAATTACATCCGAACAGAATGTTTTTGCAGTTCTGGAGCTCGATAGCTGTCGCTTCACATGAGCTGCTGGGAAGTTGAGTGCGATCACAGTGAGTCACATCTGTGTTTCTTCACTCTGAAAGCATAATCTGCTTTTTGTCTTCATTGTCACCACTCTTAGATTCAGACTTTCTCTTGGCTAGCGTGCGCCTGAAAAGCTGACCGTTTCTCTTTGCTTTTCCATACAAGGTCCGGATCTGTCACTTTCTTTTAAACAGACTGAACACACATGGCCCGTGTGACCCAGAGGACGATCTCGCTGAACGTCACGGTGTCCAGTCTGTTAGATTCCTTCCTAAATAAAAGGTCGTTTTCGTAACTTAAAATGGAAAGAAAATGTCACTTGTGTCAACGCTGATAAAAGCTACTGTTATGCTCCTCTCCCATCAACCCACACTCCAGCCCACACAAGGACGCCCACACACAGAGTAGCATAGGCTAACTTGTCATTGTGTAATAAAGTTTTTGTGGTCAGTACCCAATTTTAGATTTGGCCTTTGACATTTAACAAAGAAGTGCCTCAGGAAGTCAAATACACTCACGTATCAGTAGCTTTTACTTGTTTACATTTCAGGGCAGACGAGATGTTTTTAGTCGACTAAACAGCAGGTGGACGCGTTCATTTGCCAATCTCGCAGTGCTTTGCATTCAATTACCACGTCAAGGTGGCTTCACGTGGAAGGCATGAGTTATCGTGGCTGGTTTAGCAGAACCTGACTGAGTCACATGAAGTCTGATTTCAGCTATGTGTGTGTGTGAGTAAGAGCTTTTCTTTTTGGAGTGTTGTTTTTGACTCCTTTGTTCAGATCAGCCTGTTGAGTCAGTGTCTCACTCACACAGTACGGTGTTAAAAAGAAAGGTGCGCCTGACGGAGCAGAAAAACATTGTTGAAGGGTGACCTTTAAGCAAACATTACACTAGTCCTGGAGCTGGATTCCTTTTAATTTGAAAGAGCAAACACGCATTATTCCACAGCTGGTGAATAATTATGAGACATTATTTGATAACTACCTAACTTTAAAGCACTTTGCTGCAAAAAGCAACTAAAATGCAAGACACTGTTAAGGATTCAGCCACTGTTTAAAAAAAAATCTTTTTGGTATCCTGCTCTTATTAGATCTCTATGCAATTACTCAGATGATGGAGAAAGAGAAAAGCTTTCTTCTGCACAGTTTTTCAAGTTTTTCTCATCTTCACTTTTGGGTTGCATTTTTGTTTTAAGATCTAAACTATACTTTTTATCATTAAAAAAAAATTCCATGCTTTTTAAAATTTAACATATGTTCTTTTAAGCTCTGATATGGTTTTATGACCTGTGAATATCTCTGTATTGAACCGAGTTAGTCATCTAATTTAACATGAGTCTCTGTGTCTGTGGAGGCTGATCTCCTTTAGACAAAATCAGAGTAACATAATCAGTCATGGAAACATGCATCGTTGCTAACAACCTCATAATGTCATGCATAATAATAGGTATAGGTCACAGATGTCAGCTTACCACAGAATAACTCTTCATTAGACTTTGCTAATATTAGATAAGCAGAGCTCAGAATGCTGGCACTTTACTTGCAAACGCATTTTTTCACTGTTGCGCCATTGGTGCTTTTTTCTTCCTAAGTAAAACTCTTAAGTGCTTTTCTTTTTTCCATCACCTTTGCTGAGGCATGTTTTGAGCTGCTATTCTTTCTCTAGCAAAAACGCACTGTAAGCAGGTTCCAACATGCGAGTGAAACCAGTATAATATCCAGTGTTATCAGTCCAAACTCTTCCGTCATCAAGGTCAGTGCAGCGCAGGGTGAACGATGTGAAGTTTCAATGTCAGACTGTGTTTAAAATCTAAATAATGCCCTAAGAGCTGCAGGGTCGTTATGTTTACGATAAAGCGCAGAATTCAGATCTAAGCCTCTGGTTCCTCTTGCTTGTGGATGACAGCAAATTATTCCTAAATACTAAGATTCCACTGAATTTCAGCCAGTAGCCACTCGAGCTTTTCTCGCGTTTTTTTCCTCACTAATGTGCTGAAAATGTGTGCACTTAAAGTACTCACATTAACTGATAAATCAAGAAAAGCATCTGAAATTAAATCTGCTTGCTTGTGGAAGTCTTCACAGTGCAGTCTTATCAGCAAACAAGTAAGAGTAAAATCAAGTGAAGCATATCACCTGACATTTAAGAGAGCCCCGGCTGGTCCCTGAAGACTTCTGCTATTAGCGAGGATGGTAAACTGTGAGATACTCAAGCATGAGCTGAGGGTTTCACTGAGAGAAGAGCCCCTGTTTCGTTTCCTCTTTTGATCAGAGCACACAGAATGTAATGACCTCCCAAGGCTAAAACCTAAACTCCAAGGACATACACTGGTCTTTCTATCCCAAAAGTGGGAATGCACTTATTTTGCTTTAGTTGCACTTCTAATTAGTTTTGAGATGATCTGAAGAAGCACAAAAATCTTAGTGTTTTATTTAAGATGTGGTAAGTTTTCTTGGAGGAAAGATAAACAGGCAGTTCCATGTAAGTGTGAAGCATTTTTGTGTTTCTGTAAAAATGCAAGCTGTTAATGTGTTTGTTCTGAGCGTGGTGTGAGACAGAGAAAGAGAAAGAAGAAGAAGTTGGGGATGATGGTAAAAGCAATCCATAAAAAACAAAACAGATTCACCAAGAAAACATGGAATACTCCTGAGTCATGTCATTTTATTTTTATCTCCTAAATTTTTATTAGCTAAGATGACAAATCCTACTTAAAGGTGCATTCCAGATTTTTCCACTGCAACCAGGAAATGAATTAAGCTGCAAACAGGCTCCTGGTTTTTCAGCAGGAGGTTTTGGAGACTTAGATTCTCTCACTGTGAATCAAAGTTGTCAGCAAATCACCACGCCGCGTTGGAGATGCTGAATAGAGATGCTGAATGAGATAAGAGTTTCCACTGAAATGGCATTTAACTGACCTAGATAGGGGGTTTCATGCAGAGGAAAACCAAAAACCTGGCATCAGCCTCACTGGGCAGAGTTTCCGTGTGATCAGATAACTACTCAGTGAACAAAGTGGAGTGGACGAAGGCCCGTTAACGCCACTCCTTCCTGCTATCAGACCAATAAAGAGCCCACAGTTAGACCCAAGTGCTTAAAATAATTCTTAACTTTAGCAGGTTTTGAAATGTTGTATTTCTTTTAACTCTACATGAATTAATTTCCTTTCTCTTTGTTCTCTTGCATGACTTCACCAGAGCAAACCACCGTGGTGGAAGCTAAAGACGTTCGTCCACTGGCCGTTCAGTGTGTCCCAGAGGAAAAGAATAAACTGGGTCCAGTTAGCCGGGCATAAAGGTGTGATCTATTCACATAAACCACACTTGACTCGGACAAATTACATAATATTTGTCCACCAGTTTAGTGGAAGTAAATACTGAAGTTGTTTCCCCATATTTATTGCTGCCCTGAACTTTGCTATACATTAATCATGTCAGACCAGACATTAGTCATTGAACTGCCACCTCTGTATTACAGAGGTTTGTGATGCCCAGTAGAGAAGAACACGTAGCAAGGGAGTCATGTCTTATGGTGCCTACTCATCCTCTCCAGGTGCTGCCCCCCGACTAAACCAAAGCATTTCCTGAAAATCTGCTGTTGTATGAAAGTACCAAATTCTCCCAACATCGCCTGGTAAAAGCTGACAGTAACTAAAAAACAATTTGGCAAGAAAAATCCATTACAATTGCACCCCAGCTATAGACTGTATATAAAAGATGGACGTAGCTAGGACTAGTTTTTGAAAGCTCTTTCTGAAGCTTCAGGTTGCTTTTTTGGAACCTGATGTGAACATATTCAGACAAGAGGCTGGTAGGCTGCGTTACACGCTAACTCTAGCAGTCCTGGTTAGCGACTGTGTGGGTGACACAATGCCTGCTAATTAGTACTAAGTAACTATCATACTATTAAAACAGTAGATTGTTATGCAACACATATACATTTTGGACAGTCCATTCCTAATGTTGTTTGTCAGATAATCGTATTAAAGTGCTCCAGAAAACAAATACAGTCAAAGCACAAAGTTCTATGGCTAAATTAGGTAGATGAAAGGAGTTGAACCTAGTAAAAGAAGCCACCTGCCATTCAAAGATGTCACACACTGAACTTTCTATAGGATTTCAGTCTGTGTGTAGTAAGGATCAAAGTTAGTGGCATGGCATATTTGACTGATAGCCGCTATTATCCTATTATTCGTTTAAAATAGCCTATATCAAGGCTTTTATTGCGTCTTAATACAATTTCAGCCCTGTTTTGTTGTCAAGAAGAGGCAAAGAAATGGGAAAGACTAAAGCCATTTTTAAGCATGACTGAATTTGGTATTTGTTACATGAGGGTCAGAGGGCGGTTCTTTTGGAACCTGCCTCAAGTGACCGATCAAAGAACTGCAGCAACTTTAGGTACCTCCTTGTTTTTCATCCACAGAAGTCTTTGCTTGGTTACGAGTCATTTAATATAATTTAAAAGAAAATGTAACATTACATTAGAGTACCTACTTGTCACAGACAATGAATTTACATTGAAGGACACTTTAATTTCCCAGTATCTCCCAAGTCTTCACATGCAGGTATATTTACCTCACACTGGCAAAATCAGGCCGTTGTTCATTCCTGTCTTCATCTAATCTCAGGCAACTTCAAAGCAGCAGATGAGGGCACCATTCTGAAAAAGTTCTCAGAGAACGAGATGCAGTGTTTCGAGAAGCTGAGGAATGACGCATTGCTCCCGTTTGTGCCTGGATACCACGGTGTTGTGGAAAAAGACGGAGAGTCTTTCCTTCATATGACTGATTTACTGGCAAACTTTGACCTTCCTAATGTTATGGACTGTAAAATGGGAGTAAGGTATGAAAGTTATGTCTTCACTGTCTTATTTACATGTAATTAATTTTTATGCACTGTTTTTATTTTTTCTGCACATGTATTTTTTGATAATAGAGCCATACATTCACGTAATACATGTAACTGCAGTAATATGTATATATATGTATGTATATATATATATATTATCACTACCACACTATTCGGCTAGTTGTTAGTTGCTAGTGTTTTTTTTAATGAATTAATAGGAAAGTGCAGGCGAGTGATGGTACATACAGCTTAAAGTGGTTTTGCTCTACAAGGGAACACCTGTTCTAACTGCAGGCTATATGCTTGGCTTCCTGCCACAGCGGGTGGGGTGTCTCAGTGTATCATGTGCACAAATAGGCAAACACACACATGCGCACGCACACGCGCATACAAACACACAATGGCATACATATATGCTTGAATGCACACATGAGCGTATACATGCATATGTTAGTGCATGCAGAGGCATGCAGGTACTGACACTCACCCCTCTGAGGGTTTTGTTTCCGGTTCAGCAAAAAAAATACGCAGACGCACATACGCACACGGACTTAGAGACACTGACTCACAAAAACACACACGCAGAAGAGTTACACACACTACACTTACAGAAACACCCAGCATAGCGTTTCATTGCCTGTTTGGTGTTTGCGTGTCTTTATTTCTAAACTATTCGTATGCATACACAGAGTTTCACACACTCAGGGTGTCCCTGGAGACTCCCCTTTGTCAAAAACACTCTCAACCACACAGTTGCAAAACCGCTAAGTTGCACAAACACACACTCACGCTTTCACTCAGCTAAATGCTGCACACTGGAGTCTCCTCTTAGCTTCCCTCTTCAGCACAGAGGAAGTGTGGCTCGCAAACTGAAAATGAAATTAGCATCTGTTTGCACATAACTTTATGCCAACTGTGAGTGTGCTGCTGGAATGTTCATAAACAGAAATAAAGGCTTTTAGAGTTGCAGGTTTTCTTCCCCCCCCCTCTTCTGTGCACTGATAAGCTCTTCTAACATTTGCTAGAAGGGTGTAGATCTCTTTGGCTTTTAGCACAACTTAAGAAAAATTGCTCTGTAAAGTTGAGCATGAAAAAGGAGTAGGCAAGTATTGACTAATCTTACTTATCTTTCATCTTAATTACTCAAGATAAGTGATTAAAGCCAGACAAACCCTGAAAGTCCACTGACATTTCTGTGCCTTTAAACTTCTCACTTCAAATGCCAATAGCCTAAATTCAGCACCTGAAAATCCTTTGCTCCATTCTTGTTGAAGGACCTACCTGGAGGAGGAGCTTGTGAGAGCGAGGGAACGGCCCAAGCCGAGAGAAGACCTCTATAACAAAATGGTGGAGGTAGACAGCGAGGGGCCAACTCCTCACGAGCATTCCCAGCGGGGGGTAACCAAGCCTCGTTACATGCAGTGGAGGGAGTCCATGAGCTCCACTAACACCCTGGGCTTCAGGATAGAGGGAATCAAGGTAAAAGGAATGATGTGGGATATTTTTAGTGTAAAGGAAGGAAAAAATAAACTTACACAAAGGATCAGAATCCATGTGTATATAAGTCATATCAGGCACTGTAAGGTAAAGCATATAATATTTAATATTTGAATTTCCTTACACCAGTATTTGGACAACAACTGGGGAAATAACTGCCTGTAACATGAAGGCTTTCTCACTGACAATGAACTCAGACTGAACTTCTCTGCTCTTTGGATCTTTTTTAGCTTATTCAAGGTCGCTCTTTTAGTTGCCTTCAATGTTACTCTTTTTTTCATTCTCACTACTCTGATCAGTCACTATTGGCTACACCAAGCATCCCCTTTTTGTTAAAGATCTTTGATAAGCTTACTGCAGCTACGCAACATCAAACAACAGCAAAACAGAGACAGCAATAGGCACCGAATGTAGTTAGGCACTTAGCAGTGGTGCTGATGGAGACTGAAAGAAAGTGAAAGTGAATGATAGCGTGGCTTCATATATATTGAGTCTGCAGCCAAAAATTGTTTATTAATTGCAGTTTTAAATCTGAGTTTAACATCTGAGTCATGTGGCCTCCAAGTTACTCTTCCTGTGCTACACAACCTTAAATTCCAGCTGACACACCAGATAATTATCTTGAGGCATGGTGCCACACTGTGATTAGAATTGTGGCCTCACAGCAAGAACGTCTTGGGTTCGAATCCACCATTCCTGTGTGGAGTTTGCATGTTCTCCCCGTCCAAAGACATGCAGTTAGTGGGATTAGGCTACTCGGTGCATCTAAATTGCCCATAGGTGTGAACGGTTGGCTCTCTCTCTTTTTTCTTTAGAAAAGTGACGGCACATGTCGAACTGACTTCAAGAAAACAAGATCGAAGCGGGATGTCATCCAAGTCTTCAAGGACTTTGTCGGTGGAAACGTCAACATCGTGGTACGTGGCAGTCAGTTATCCCCTTCACGCACATTTTTATTCATCCGTGTAAGGACTCGGGAGTAGACACACAGTGCAGCGGTGCAGGCGTTAACCTGAAACGGCTCATCAGCTACGAATGCAGCAGCCGAATAGGCTCCCACATCCGCGTTCAGTGTTTGAACAGATAGAAATTGTTTGTAGGCTCTGCCTTTACATTTGAAAAAAGCTCTAAAGGCAAACAAAAACAGCCTCGAAGCGATCTACGAGAGTAAACCACAGAGCAAATATTCGCACTGTGATGCTGTTTGAGTTTTCTATTAGGGAGGAGGTTCTCAAATATACACTCTGCCTACATCCTGTTGTGTTCCAGCTATCTAATACCAGCTATCTAATATATGAAATATTTTAATTTTGTTTTTCAACCACAGAAGTCATATTTGAGCAAACTGACAGAGATCCAACAAGCCCTGAAGACATCAGATTTCTTCAAGCGACACGAGGTGAGAGCTCCTCTGCGTACAGTAAAGATGTGTGGCAAATTAAAGGGAAGCAAACAAAGCAGCCAAATAATATTTTTGCACCTGGCACTTACATAGATACGCGGCCGTGTATCCGTACTGCTTACACTGAACCGTGGCTGAATTATCACATTATTTCTGGCCAGTTGTACGTCATGTAACAGCTAACGATGTGTTGGATTAAAAAGAAAAAGTACTGCTGCAGGGTTTTTTTTAATATGTCGCCCATCTGTATTGATGCAAGAGTGGTTATTAAAAGCAGAAGATGAAGAATCAAAAGCTAATACTAACAGCTTTTTGTTTTATCAGGTCATTGGCAGCTCCCTCCTCTTTATCCATGACCATACGGGCAACGCGCAAGTCTGGATTATTGACTTTGGCAAGACCACGGCATTACCAGAGGGCCAGACATTAAGTCATGACATTCCCTGGCAGGAGGGAAACCGGGAGGATGGTTACCTGTGGGGTTTGGAAAACCTCATCCACACACTGGAGTCTGTGAGCAGTGCCGCCGGCGCAGAAACCGGTAGCTCGGTTACCAAAGAAAACAGCCAAAATACAGAAACACACAGCCAGTGACCTTTGATTCAACGGGTTTAAGGAACAGCAACTATATTGATGGACACTGCGGGATGGTTTCAGATATGATTGATTGGTCGGGGTTACTTTTTTTAAAGCACAGAATACTAAAAATGAAAACAAGAACATGACGGGCATCAAACGTAGATCCGAAGCTCAGGTTTTCACCGTTTTAAATGTAATGTGACCACATTTAGCATCGACACCGACAAAAAAAAACGACGCTGTGCGACGGATGCTGAACAGAGGGAAGCAGGAAGTTTTGTCACTATAAAGAAAATGATTGAGAAAATGCACTGACACTAATTCAGCCTCCTACATGATGAACAGAAGTAGAAGTGCAGGCATTGTGCATTTCACTTTCAGGATGTTACAAGTGAAAATGTGCCTGTTCATTGTCTCAAGAAGAGAGCGAACGAGCACAAGTTACAGACTCATTCTCACGTTACACCACTTACTGTAACCATCAGCCTTCAGTGTATTATTAAAGGTTGGGGCGTATGTTCAGTATGTAACTGTTTGGCTCACAGACCTCACAGTTATAACTACAAAATATAGCACATTCCCAGTATAGCACAGTCTACTGCGTAATGACTGGAGTGTATTATGTGTGTTAGTCTCTGGTGAACTGTCTTTCATTGTATAGCAGATTATTTCTCTTTAATCAAGTTCATTCCTGTGATCAAACTTGTAATCGTTTTTATTTCCGGTGATGGACGTCATCAAATGTAAATGAAATTAAAATGGGAACAACGTTTTTCTTCTATCTTTAGTGGTGGAACACTATTTCACACTATATGTGTTACGCGTGTTAGTCTGGACAGAGTTGACGGCCTTTTGCAGGGATATAAATGTGTGTGACTGATCATACTCACACAAGTGAGGTTGATATATGTTGATTTATTTGGGGCACAGTTAGGTGAGATGAAAGTAAAGACGGTATATTGCATAGAATGTCTTTGCACTTTTGTTTGAGGCATCCTCAGCTACAAAAATACAGGAATAAAAACTGAAATGAGTGTGAAATAAAATCTACCGGGACATAAGAAATATAAACTATGAGTAAGATGAGGGTCTTTTTTTTTTCTTCTTTAAGAAAATGAGAAAAAAAACAATCCACAGTAATCAGTATTGCTATATGGCACAAACGTTTTTTTTCTTAAAGAGATAAACAGCAGATAAAGACACAAATATCAGCAGGTCTTATCTTATAACACACAGTAAGCCTACAGAACTCTTACATAAATGTAACAACATATCAAAAAATATAATATTGCCATGTTCAGGCTCAAAATAATGTCACACACCAAGTACAACTATAAACTTGATTAAATAAGAATAACCTGAAAGCATAAATACAGCAACTTGTTTGGTATTTCAGAGTTGAATACCTCCCCCTGTTGAGTAAACGTAAGTACTACCAGCACTACATCTATAGAGGCAGTGTAGCAGTACGTATCGAATGGCAGTGATCGATTACAGATTCATCATTAACATGAATGAATGCAAATGCAAAAACAAAACATCAACAACAAACAGCTACAAATGTAATGTTAGTCCAGTGTAAGCAAGTAGGAGCAAGTACAAAAATAGCTTTCCTGTTTTCTTAGCTGCAAGGTCGTCATCAAACTCGAACTCTTCAAACATCTCTAAAGCCAAGTAAATATTGGGACAAGGGGAACGAGACCTCATCCACAAAAATAAAACCCTCAAAGAAAGCAAATGTGTCTAATTTGGTGGGCCGGCTTCTTCAGAAGCTAACATCCATTATTTCAATCTGGAGCGGTGGTTCTCAGACTGTTTCTGGTACACTCAAGCTCACGACCCCCATCCCACAATTTTTAGCGCACTGTGAAAAAGATGCAATTCAACACGAAAGCATTAGCATACATAAAGTTATATTTACACCTCATTAGATTTAGATACACCTTACTAATGCAGGGGTAGACCCCATGTACCCTCAGAACTACCTCAGTTCTTCATAGTATAGATTCAACAAGGTGCTGGAAACATTCCTCAGAGATTTTGGTCCATACTGTCATGACTGCATCACAAAGTTCCAACATCCAGGATGTGAATCCCTTTTTCCACCACATCCCAAAAGTTGCTCTATTGGATCAGAAGATGGGTACAGCGTGGTCATAAATCACCTTCCTTCCCCATTCTGATGCTTGCTTCAGCGGGTCGCCTTGACCATGCCTAAATGCCTAAATCAAGTTGCTGCCACCTGATTGGCTGATGAGATGTTTGCATGTTGAGTGTACCCTGATTCCTAACACCACTCCTGCAGTGGCTCTTTGCTCCACTGGGTGGGGCCCCTCCCCAGTTTGAGAACCACTGATCCAGAGTCAAAAAGAGTTTAAACCCCCCAAACTTTAAATTTATAGACCAGTATCCAGTTAGCTGAGAACAAGGCTGGAAACAGGCTCGTGCTTCACCTACCAAGTCAGAAAATACACGTTATTGCCAGAGGAAGTGTTTTCACATTGTATGGGATGAAACCAATTATATTAGAGTACCAACAAGTAGTATAAGGTCCTAAAGTGTATATAGAGCTGTAATTCTGCCCATCAGCATCAAAAGAGTGGAATTACTTTTCAAAAAATTTATACCTATGAAATTAAAACGTCTTGGAGATTCTCCTCCCAATGACTCAATATTCTTTTAGTCTTTTATGGTCATACACTAAATACTACAAATTCACATATACTGCCAGCAAAGCTTTCATGAATAAAATACAGCAAAAAGAAAAAATAACAGGTATAAAAGGAGTCCATCAACAGCAGTACGTTTTGGCAGCCCTCACCCACAGTGTGGACACTGAGGAAGTGCAGGGCCGCCAGTCTCCCAGTGTTTCAGCATCAGTGTTCAGCTACTATGGTATCAGAAGCCTTTGACAGGGTTCCAGTGTTGGCTCTCTGTATTACAGAGTGTTTGTGTGGACGGGAATGTTCAGTTGTGTTTTCCAGCATTCTACGAGCTGTAAAAATCAGACACTGTGGCACTTGACAATGAAGGAGCCTTCATGGTCATGCTTTTTATTCTAAAAATTCCAGAGCTAAAGTCTCAGTTTCTGAGAAACGGACTCAGGTGACATTTGAATCCTTTTCTTAGATAGGAGTAACACTGAGGTCTTCAGACAGAGAAAAGCCAGAGTCTCTGTCACGTGTGGGTTTCTCAGCTTTGGTGTGTCTCCTCACATCCTCATGCCCGTAGCTGGCATGACGCTTCAGCAGCAGCAGCTTGGGCATGCAGGATGAGGGGGTATGGAGGCCTAATGCTAGTCCCAGGCTACTCCCTGATGAGACACTGGTAGCAGAGCTGGTGTTTTTCACATCTTCTGGGGCTTTGGGCACAACCAACGGCAGGCTTTCTGCCTCATAGCTTTGCTCGTCGTAGGCATAGTTGACGTTGCCACATGGGAAACTCTGGAGCTTAGCAAGGTCCATAGATTTTGTGCCACCGCCTGCTGGTGTCTTATGGGAGGACGTGCTAGAGGCAGCCTGAGCCTGGCAAGAAGAAGATGAAGTCGAGGAAGTGCAGAGGCTTTTAGGGCTGAAGTAGGTGCTGCTGGTGCCGTCACTGCCAGCCTCGTGGTTTTCTGAAGCTGGGCTGTGGGTCTGCGTTTTGGAGGTGGAGCTCGAGAGTGGCATGGACTGGGTGTGAGTGAGTGCCTTCTTCCCCCTTAAGTTATCCAAGACCCAGGATCCATATGTGGGGTTCCAGAGGTTCTTAGTCTTGTTCTTCAGCCTCTGGTTCTCTGAGGAAGAGCTGTTTCTGGAGTAGGGTCGGTGATGAGGAGGCTCAGGGTGGAGCCAGTTGGAGACCGCTGACAAACCAGGGGCAGGAACGGGCTCAGCCCAGCATGGCTCCAAAACCTCGCGACATGATGTGACTTCATGGTGGACAGGTTGGGTCCTTTGCAGGAGCAGACGGGGCTTTGTAGGCTGCAAGGGAAGAGGGGTGGGACCCAGGCCCATGGCTGAGAAACCCAGCTGGGAGGGACAATCCTGGGAGGGAGGGTGTGAGACTAGAAGTGGAGTGAGGCAGGTAGATGTCGGGTCAGTAGGACGGATTACAGTGCCTCCGTCATCATCCGTGTTGGGGCCATATTCCACAGGTAGAGGCGTGTTGATCACATCTGGATCCTGAGAGAGAAAAAGAAGAGTGAGGATTAAATGATAATCAGAGAAAAAACATTTAAAAGACACAAAAAAGCAACCTTAGCAGTCTTAAATATCTAGAGAAGATGCATGCCTGAGTACAGTAGTTGATTCTCTCCAGGATAGTCGAGAAGTTGGGCCGATGCTCAGGACAGTGCTGCCAACACTGGGTCATGATCCGATAGCTAAACAGTAATCGACAGAAGCAGAGAAACAACCAGCAAATGAACAACTGTTGAAATTCTGAATTTCTCCTTAATTCCCGTTTATCACTCACTGAGTAGACAAAAGAAGCAGGTTTAATCAACATCACATCAAAGGTGGAAGATGAAGCAAACATTATTATGTCTTTAAAAAAATACCAAGAAAAAAAGCCCACAGAAACCGCAACTTGAGTCAGTACTCACACAGGCCCTGGGCAGGCTTTGGGAGGATCCATCCTGCCTCCGCTGGTGACAAACTCCAGGACCTCCTGGTTGGTTTTACAAGGATATGGCATGTAACCCAGCGAGAGGATCTCCCAGAGCAGAACTCCAAATGACCTGAAGAGGGAGACATCGATCAATAACTGAGTGGATGAAGTTGTCTTTGAGTGCTAAATTTATTCTACTGTAATGTTCCTCAGACAAGGAACAACAAATGCAAACAACACGAACAAACACAAAACCAAAAATTTTTTTCTGAATAGAAGTTGACACCATTCAGGGTGATTCTTTTGTTTCTTTTGACAAAATAAATGCTTGTAATTGCCCTTTTCTTTCCCCTGCTGAATTAAGAGTGCAGTGAGTTTAAGTATTCGTGTAGAAATCTCCTTGTTTTTGTTTTTCTAGCTCTCTGTTTTCTCAGTTGTGTGCTTGTCATGACCCCCTGTGACCCAGATCTCAATCACTCTGCTTCCTGCTCCCGACTCTAACTGATAAGAGTCCCCAAGAGACCCTGAAAATGTTCTGTAACATCTTTTACACCTTGATAACCATGTCCAACACTGTTCAACACCTGGCAATGACCATGGAGGTGTTACCCAACCAGAACAAATATATAAAAAAACCCAGTGAATCTCCCAGTACAGCTACTCTAAAGTGTATCTACAGTGCGCCTCTGTCAGTGCGCCCCAGGGTGGCTGTGGCTACAATGTAGCTTGCCATCACCAGTGTGTGAATGTGTGTGTGAATGGGTGGATGACTGGTTGTGTAAAGCGCTTTGGGGTCCTTAGGGACTAGTAAAGCGCTATATAAATACAGGCCATTTACCATAGTAGGTGGTTTTACTAAGGTTTAGCTCTCCCATTTCCACAAACTTGACTTTCACTAGACAAAGGATCAAAGATTATTCATTGTTAGTGACATTAGGAGTGAGACTCCTGCTGTGGTTTACTTTGTTTTGGGCAGGGTATTATTTTCTTCTTCTAAATTAGTATTCTAGTGGAACAGTGTTAGTAACCACCTCTGGTTTTATTAATTTCTTTGGCTTTCTAAAACCCTGCAGGCCTTGTTACTCCCCGTTGTTTGCCTCTTCTTTTGTAAGCCTTTTTTTTTTTTATTTGCTTGTAAAGCATCATTTTTGCATTTGAGCAAAAAACACTCTAACCTTACCAACAACATCCAGTTACAGGTTGCTACACCGAACAGTGCAGTATAGGGATGTCAAACTCATTTCACATTGTGGGCCACATACAGCTCAGTTTAAGTGGGCTGGCCCAGTAAAACTACAGGTTAAATGAATAAAATTGTTCTTGTAGTTCATTTTTCCAGACTGCTCTGTAATTCTAATCATAAAGTGTTGGTTCATTCACAGAAAAACAGACATTTCCATAGCAGACAGTGTGAAAACAGGGATTTTTCCTGTCACATAATCTGTTAGTTAATCACTTTGTTCTAATATGAATGCCAATGGGGGAGGAGGGGGAGGGGGGGGGGTCTTGATTAATAGGAAAAGCTTTAAAATCTATGAAACACAACTAAAAGTTCAAAAATCTCTGCTTCACTGCTTCACATTTTCCAAAGCCGTCCAGTGGGCCGGATTGGGGTCTTTGCTGTGCCAATTCAGGCCCCCCGGCCTTATGTTTGACACCCCTGGGGCAGTAGATCACTGGTGTTGAGTTTTGCTAACCAATAATAATAATAATAATGGATTGCATTTATATAGCGCTTTTCGGGACCCCTCAAAGCGCTTTACAATTCCACTATTCATTCACTCTCACATTCATACATGACTGGAAAGCCGCAGCAGCTGCAACACTCGTGTGTTTTTTTTGTTTTTCCTTCATTTGTTCAGAGGAGATATCTTGCCGATGAATGATTCCCCGTCTAAACAGCTTTGAAGGGACGAACTGCGGTGCAACTGTAGCTGCCTCTGTGCACGTTTCCATCAATATCCTCGGATTTTAATAGACTGCTGGTCAAATCGATTATGCTGCGGTCTCTCCTCTATAAGGGTCTAACTTTCTGATCTGCAAACAACCCTCTCTTTCACTCTACCAAATAGAGGTTTTGAAATGGTTTGCCCCAAACTAAATATTTGACTTGCACTGTCACAGGAGAAGCGGTTTGGACGCCGCTCCTCTACCATTACAGCCACTGCGCTTTCCTAACAACAATAGAGTGCTCTTTGTTTGGCTGGCTCAGTGTCTTGAATACAAATGCTGTCCTGGTTTTGAAAAGATGTTCACTTGATGTAACGCACCCTAGCTTTGTCTACTAGGAGTAGACATGTTTGGTTTGTGGAAACCTCCCTGCAGGGCATCGTACTGACCACATATAGGCTTTTAATAAAATCGAATTCAGTTTCGCTGGCGAATACTTTTCATGCCTCGTGAGAATTTTTTTTCTTCTTGTTGTTTTGTTTTGTTTTTTTGCATTTTGACACCGCTGCAAAGTAAATTTCTTTCATTGCCAGCGTCTGTTTTCGATTACAATAAGTTCGCCATCTGGTATTAGTTGTTTTATTGTCCAGAAAATTTTTCAGACGTCTGAATAATCACTGTAGTGTTAGAACAGTTAGCATGACCGCATGATATTTCCAAAGACCTACAAATGTGTGGCACTTCTAAATGATATATTTCCGAACATGGTGTCCCAGTGTCGAGACAAAAGCAAAGTGTATACAGTTCAAAATTAACAACAGCTGTCTTGTGATTTTCTTTGTCTACTGGTATTTAGTGGTAGACTTTATACCATGTGTCAGTTTTGCAGGTGAAGATCCCCTCCATGAAGGCCTCTGGTGGCATCCACTTAACTGGCAGCATGGCCCGGCCACCCTTCCTGTAATAGCTGGCTCTGGAAAACAAAGAAAGAAAGGCAGGGTACATTTAGGCTGAGTTAAGAACAAATGGTAAATGCTAAAAGGCCACGAACTGAAATGTAAGTAAATTACGTGGCCCTGTGGAGGGAAATGAAAAATCTATTTAGCCACACTCCAATAACCACATCAATCCATCTTAAATTATGGGTGGATAGGGTGCCACTGCAGATTTAGAGTAGCGTATATGAACCTGTAAATATCTCGTGCCATGCCAAAGTCTCCAATCTTAGCCACTCTGTCCGACCCAGGGCAGGTAAGGAGGCAATTTCTGGCAGCGATGTCTCTGAAAAACACAAAATCCTTTACATGATTTATCTGTGCGATGACACGAAACAGAGAAGCTTGTTGCTACTTTGTCAAATTTGTTGCCGCAGAAACTGTTCAGAACTGTGGTTTGCAATGAAGAAACGAAGGCCTTTGAAAAACCTTCAAATGCATGATTGATCGTGCTTGCAAATGATTGTACACATTTTTCAAATTAAGAGAAGCAAATTGCTCAAAGACAAACTCAAACTGCAGTTAAAATGAAATAATAGTTGTTGATGTGTTTTTTGTCGCATTGCAAGAGGTTTCGTTTAAAGCAACATATGCAGCGTTACAGAATGTCTAATGAATCATTTTTATGCAGATTTCACCACAGCGTAGCTCTGCTAACACATTTCCTTTTTGCCGTGGCTGAAAAACCGCTTTGAGTTTGCACTTTTATGAGCTCTAAGCTGCGAAAACTGGGTGCGAATCCGAACCTGTGTATGAAGTGGTTCTCCTCCAGATAGCGACATCCACAGGCGATATCTCTGGCCATGCGCAGCAGATCCCGCATGGTGAGAGACGAGGTCTGGCCCTGGACATAGCACAGATCAGTTTAGTGTGCGACGTAAACACACAGAGCTTGCAGGCACAAACACACATGTAAAGGTGTAGTACAGACGCACCGCTCGTGGCCTGTTTCTTCTCAAAAAGCTCTTCATGTCTCCTCCGGTCATCAGCTCCAGCAGGATGAAGCGCGGCAGGATGTTCAGACTGACGCCAATGCAGCGCACGATGTTCTCATGGCTGAACTTGCTGCATGGACAGTTAACAACAGGGTGTTTTGTTTAGAAGGCTTAAGATGACTTTGACGTCCTTAAATATACATTGATGGTAACAAGAAAGTACAATTGTAAGGTTTTAAGATTTAATAAATAATAAAAACAATCTGGTCCTCATGAGGTCTAAAAAATAATTTAAATACAACCTCAAAAACCATCAGAACAACACATGTTAATGCAGTCGTTATGTATTTAACAAAAACTAAGCCAGAATGAAGAAGCAGAGTGTGAAAAATCAAGCGCACCCCATGATTCAACTCTCCAATTGTTGTGGAGGAATTCTTTCCTTTACACTCTGGATGTCAAACTTGTTTACATCATACAGCGAAGGTATGGATGCACGCATTTGTACGTGTGGTAAAATTGCTGCTTATTTGTGTGTGGATTAGAGCATGTGCTTGTGACTCTTGTGACACATCTGTAAATCTTAGTTTAGCTATATAAAGGAGTTCACGGTCAACTCCTTTGAATGACCGCAAGGTGCCGAGGTCCTGTGACCGCAAAACAAAACCTTTCCAAACCTTTCTTTAGTCTTAGTCTACAAAATGTAACTAAAGTGTAGCTCTTGGATTTTTTGCCGTTATTCTGAGCGCTGGAGGGTCTGAGCTTGGGTTGAATTTACTGGGATGTCTGTCACGGTCCGCTGTGACAGACCATGTGGAGAGTGCGTGGAGGACTCAGGTGCAGACACGAGTGACACGGGAGTAAACTTTAAACAAAAGCGAGCCTTTTATTGTGGCTGGTAACGCAAGAGAAACAAACAAGAATAAGGGCAGCTCAAAAGCAATAACTAAACAGAAACCTAAACTGGGAATGAACTAAGGTAAGGCTATGAATACAACAGACCGGGCATGGAAACATGGAGGGTGGGAACACAGACGACGCGACACAGACTGTAAGAAACACAGAGACTAAATACACATGAGGGATGATCAGGGGAAGTGGCCACACATGGGAACGCAGCTGATATACATGAACTTAACGACAGGACAGGAGGAGTGAAACTGAATACACTGACAGTGAATGCAGGCCTTCAAAGTAAAACAGGAAACATGGGACATGAACCGGGGAGACGTAGTACAGGGGGAGGTGACAGACGCGACAGCATGAACTTGACAATACAAGACACACAGACATAAACACACGAAGGGCAAGGGAGGCTTGATACAAGGGTAACATAACTACAAAAGGACTGGACTACCTTAAAGAACCTAAACAATCAATAAACATCAAAATAGACTAAACACAAAACACTGGGTCGCACGACCCAGGACCATGACAGATGTCCACTCCTGGGAAGATTGGCAGAAGTTTGCGACTTAATTTTTCACACGCTGCTTCTGCATTTTGGCTTAAATTTTGTTAAATAAATAATCACACTGTGTCATATTGTCATATCTTGCCTCTTTTTTAGTGTTTATTTTTTTAAATCTCATTAATGATAAACTTATTATACAACTACAAAAAAGTCTCAATTTTCAATCAGCCAGAATACAAGTATTTAAAACTGTCACTTGCTGACTGAGGGATGGACCTGTAAATAGAGTAGACTTTAACAAAATCAGACGGGAAATCATAATACTTTATTAACACCTAAGGAAATTAGGTAAACTAAGCACGCCTGAACAGGGACTTGAACCCTGGACCCTCAGATTAAAAGTCTGATGCTCTACCGACTGAGCCACCCAGGCCCGAGCCACCCAGGCCCGAGCAACCCCCGCTAGAAACCAATTAACGTCACACATTTTCCTGAGCTCAAAATTTACCCCTGCAGACACGATTGTCTTTGAGGGACAATTCTTGTGTGTGTGTGTGTGTGTGTGTGTGTGTGTGTGTGTGTGTGTGTGTGTGTGTAATGCACAAAGGAAGTGTATGGTTGCTGTCTCGTGCACCTCATAATCAGAGCCTCCATCAGGAAATCCATTTCATCCTGCTCGGAGCAGATTTCTGGTAGAGTCTGCAGAATAGAAAGAGAATTTGAGTGTGTGCTACTTTTAAGGGGAAATATAAATTTTCAGACCTAATCAGCAGAGCATTGTAAGCAGGTAACCCCATGCGGTGCTCTCTCTGCTTTTTTGCTTTTCCCTTTTTAAACTGTGTGCCTTTTAAAGCATCTTATCCAGGGACGCTGAGCAAATCTGCATTCTTCTTTTTTAGTCATTTTGTGCTGCAGTCTTTGCACAACATAAGAAAAGCCAACAATCATTTTGTAAGTGAAAGCATCTCCATGACCTTTAGCTCTGAGAAGCAGAAGCACCACTTATGGGATTATAAGTACTGAACATACATGCGAGGTGTCATTGTTAAACATTTAAGTGCAAATATTTAAGAAAATATGAGTGGCTGACCTTTATGGCCACCTGCATAGCACTGCCATCACCACTCATCCCCAGAACTTGACCTTCATAGACTTCACCGAAGGCTCCGTGACCAAGGGCCCTAAAGAGGAGAGAAAACACAACGAATGAAACGAAGGCACACGTTTGGTGGAGAGCAGAAGCTTAAACTGGCACTCTAACATTGAGTCCGCTTGTGTCATACCTCAGTAGGGTGATGTTCTTGCGTGGCACTTCCTTCAGCTCACTGAACGAAGCGGCTTTGCCGGTGAAAAAGTAGTTTGGGTTGTAGTCCGTCATGATGGTGGAGGAACGGATTTTGCTCAGCTTATACTCGGGACTCTGAAGACGCCCCCTCACTGCATGCAGGTCGTTCTTTTTGCGGTACCACACTGCAGAAAAAGATGAGGCAGAGGGACGAACAAGCTTGTTATATTAAAGAGTCGACAAACCCTTGACAAAAATTATCAGCAAACTTTAATCAGGACCCTACAAGTGCATGTAAGTGGCAGAAGGATCTTCCTGACCATCTGTCTGAATGTAGGAGCGGCAACACAAGGAGGGATCAAGCCACATCTCAATAACTTTTTCCAATCCTAAAACAACATTCTTAGTGGGAATAAAGCTATAAAAATATGGCAAAAAGGGCTTCATTTTTGTTCTTAAAGAATACTCCACCAATTCTGCATAGCACTTCTCCAACACTGGAGTTCTACCTCTTCAAACACCACCCTCAGTATGGATCTGTAATTCACACGTTATGTTATGTTAGTAGCAGTTATTGAAGCCTCAAGCAGAGACGATGAGCTGCCTTCAGAAGTCAAGTGAGCTGGCTTCTTTCTAAAGCCACTAACCTAACTGACATGCATGTGGGATGGCCTCTCCTTGGTTACTGCTCCTATACTGTCTGTGCCAGTGAGTTTGGACTCACCCGCCATGGAGGCAGCCCATGTCCCCGATGCAGGTTGGTAGTCTGCCAGGGAGGGGGGGCGTTGCGTGCAGGTAAGAGGTGCCGTCGAGCCATCGCCCGGTGCAGATGCTAGGGACTCAGGAGTTGGGATAAGGGGAGTTTTAAGGAGGAGAAGCAGGAGAAGGAGGAGGAGGAAGAGGTGGGGGTGAAGGACATGGGGCGCCCAGGGAACAGACTACCTCCCTGCATGGGGGAGAGCTCAGGTAAGGAGACACCATTAACCTGAAGCGTGTGTGTACGTTCATTGCCTTTTTTAAAAAATTAAACACGCTCCAGTAAAAACACCCCATCCTCCCCAAATATGTATTTTTTTAAAGCAGATGTTATAAAAATGAATGTCATCAGCCTTTGTTTAGGAACTGATTTATTTAAGAGCAAGTGCACACATTTACACACAATGCAGTTAGTGTTCCATTTTGCATATAGTGGCCCAGTACGCACCACTAGTAGCACCGCCGTATCTGCAATTATCGTCTGTCAGATTACACTCTGATAAGCTGATTGCGGGGTTGTATTTATGTTTAATTACACCGAGCTCAAACTTTCTTAAGGAAGAACTTCACAGCAGAAATGCAGACTGCAGTCTTTTATCCTAAAAGGACATTTATCTGATGAATAACTCGCCTCTTCCAGCTCTCACACGTCGCTTTTCACCAAGTCCGCCGCACTTTATCGACATATTCTCTCACTTCTGCTGACAGAAAACCAACCACATCCAACATAAATCGCCATCTTTTAATGGTCAGCCATTAGCACTTACTGATAACAAAAAAATAGAAACACTCGACTCCATCAGAGCACTGTTTCACTGCACTGTGTGCGTTAAGGGTGTCATTTAAAATGGGAGGTTAAACGTTTCATGCTAAGTTATCATGAGATATAAGGGATTCAGAATAAAGCTTGTGGCGAAACGGAAATTTGAGGGGGGAGTGTGAAGGTGGAGGTCACCACATAAATTTTCAAATACCTTCTGCTTCAGGCTTGGCTGGAAAACGGACATTATTCTGCTTGGATTTCATTGCCAGGAGGTGAAATGTCCACATTACTCTTAAATCTGTAAGAGTTACTCCGTATCGCTTTCCTTACAGGAGGTTTTTACATGCATTACTTCATTAAAAAGTCCCAACTGTTTGGTCATGCCTGGTTTTCTTGTCAGGCTGCTTTAAACCCCCGGGGAGCTGGGAGTGTAGCTGTTATTCTGCAGGAAGTCAGCGCAGCGCCGATTCCTCCAGAGGCTCTGACACAAAGTTTACTCTCATCAATTCGCGCTGTGGGAAAATAGCTGAGCTTTGCTTAATATTTGAGTTTTCAGTGAGGTCATGAAAAGGACAACAGAGAGAGAGAGAAAGAGAACCTGCTATACACGCACACCTTTACAAAGCTCTTGTTAGAGGATTCCCTTCTCATAAAGTCTGCAGCACACAGTTGTCACAAAAGGTGACAAAGGTGCTCCGAGTGTTATTAGCTGTATAATCCCTCACTGTCCTACATTACTGGAAAATGACTCCACGTGTTGTTAAAACTGTATTTGTATAAAGTGTCTGGAGTTAATCAAACGAGATTTGGTATACAAAAGAAGGCACTTAACAGTATATTTTGCATAGCAGCCTTTGAGACCATGTTCATTGTCAAAATGTGGTTGTCTCAGAATCCCTCTCTTCTTTCTTGAGCTTCCTGTTTTAAGTGTGGTTGCTACAGAGTAGTTAAATTAAAGCTATACAAATGTAATGGTTAATTCCCTAATTACTCCTATTTTAGCATTTTACAGCCTGCCTGACCATCTGATTGTCTCAAACCCGCAGCCTACAAGAGAAACTCTGGTAACCTTGTCGCTCAGCAAACAAGCACCTACTTATTCTAATACTCCATATCATAGCACTTTGTGTGGATAGCATTTAACACTTTTAAAGAGGAACAATTTCTGCTCTATCCTCTTATCACGGAGTCGATGCCCGTGGGTTCAGCTCAACTCACGCTTGTCGCTGCGCGCTTCTCAAAATGACAAAAAAGGCTAATCTCTTATCACAGTTCTTCATTTTCAAATACTGTTGTAATCTTCATGTCTGTATAATCACTTCTGTGTTTGTTTTTTTGTTTTTTACAGACAATAAATTATAACAGCTGACATTTACCACTACAGAAACCCACTCATACTGAAAGAAACTTAAATGTCAACTCTTTCTGCTTGTGCTTTTTTTATAATCAGCATTTTTTTTAGAATGAATTCATGCAGCGAGACACTTACAGCACGTCTCGAAAATGGTTCATGCTTCCACGAGAGCAATCGTTCCACTGCAGGCACTGAATACAGCATATAAACAATACGGTATTTAACAGTCACCTCTTTATCGCCTCTCATCAGCAAAATAGTCTAGTTTCACCTACTTATACTGTATATACATACAGCCAGAGAAAAGAGAGCGTTACCTGGAATGAGTGCTTGTAATGAGTGTTCATACTGTGCTCACTGTCAGCGTCTAATAATTCACAACCATATCTTTGCCATCGCTCCTTTAGTCATCTTCCGCACAGCCAGCGAAGGGCATTTAAACCAACATTTATCAAAGTTGTTTCTGTTTCTGTTGTTAGTAACATCTGGAAGCATCTGCGTGTCCCAGCTGTGCTCACAGCCGGTGGAAGGTGGAGGGCACAGACTGCGCACAGAACTGGAGGAGTCTCTTACTGAGGATGACGCCGGCGCAGACCAGTGCAAAGCCGCTGGCGACGGTGGAGACCACAACAGCCAGGATCAGGGATGTCGGCATCAGGACCAGTGGAGTCGGGCTTTGAGTCGCTGGAGGGGTGGAGCAGAGATGGTCAATTAGTGTTTGTTAGCTGCTTAGATGGGAAAGAATTGTGAGGGATTAAACGTGTCATTAAAACTAACATTAAAACAAAACGTCTGACATATCATGGCTCACAAGTAAAAGCAAGACCGTTTGCTGGGTTTTACAGACATACTTGGAGGCCTAGAACATGTAACGTTGTCAGTGTCCAGGACTTCATCATCATCATCACAGAGGCAGAGGATGAGGTGAGTATCTGCTTCTCGTTTGCAGCTCTGCGTCTGACAGTGGCTGCAGTTCAGCTGCACCTTGATCTCACACTCACCGTGACTTTCCATTGCTAGAAAGAAGACAGGAAATAAACACAAACATCAAAAGGAAAATTATTTGTTAGAGAGTGAGGGGATGAAACCAACACACATTTAGCTCTGCAGCCTATTCATCTGTGCCATAGAGGGAAAAAGACATCTGTAGCACAGAGAAACAAGCTTTAGTATAGCAGGTTTTGGCTATAAAATGAAAGCCACACTGCTCCTTTGTTGCCCAGTAAATTCCAACTAGACCACCAAACTAAAAGGTAATCCTTAAACAAAAACTCCCACAAAACAGAGTACATAAAACGGTGTTTTTTTTAAATGAAAGCACAATTATGACAAATTAAAGAATAAGTAGATGGAGATGATCCAGATAGTACTTTGATCTTTTCATGACACTATAAAATCAGACTTGTTATTGTCCTAACACATCACATGTCAAGAACATCTTGTGCTTGTGATCAAATAGCTTTTTAATACATTCATAACCCCCACCTCTCTCCCTTTCCAAAAGAAGTGGGACACTCTGTAAAATTCTGCAACTACAGCAGTGGGTCTTCTTGGTTCCCAAGCTTTTACAGAGTGTTTAAAGAGTGTTAAATGATGAGATGATGCAACAAAGTGGTAAACGTGTTGCTGGCCTCAAATTCAAAATGAGCACATAAAATAAAAACAAAAAGAAGACAATTTCTCAACATCTGATGGGTTGCCTTGGTGAGTTATAGCCCATGGTCCTGGCTCTCCAACCAGTTATCTTGAATTTGTGTTGGACTTATTATCCGTTTCTTTGGAACTAGAAGATTTTCATGTTCTAGTTCTTGATTAATGACTCTTGACTTTAGTATTCATTGGTGCCCTTGAATTTTGTTATTTATATTTCTTCTTCTTGGTTCTTGTTCAATTATGTTAGATCCCTTTTTGTGTCTGTCCTAGTCGTGTCTCTCTTTGGCCTGTCTTTGTGGTTGTCTGGTCGAGTTCCCGTAATCATCACTAATCTTTGTGTTTCGTCTTTTTGGGTCCCCATTGTGACATGGCTGGACGTCTGGTCCTTGTGTCAAGTTAACATGTCTTAGTCTGGTTCTCAGTATGTGAGTTAGTTCCTATTTTATTTTGATTGTCGTGTTGTGTACGTCATGTACAGTTTTTCTTCCCCTGTCTTGTTAGATTCTGTTCAGCTGTGCTTCCAGGTGTGTCCACTCTCCTCTTGTGTCTATAACATCTGCATCTCCCTCTGTTCTTTGTTGTGCTCTCCCTCTTAGTGTGTGAGTTTCTGTTGGTCTCATTTGCCTCTTGTTAGTTTATGCTTATCCTGCTCCTGTTTTTCTTTCTGTTTACCTTGCCTGTTATCAGCTAAATAAAACGGATTTTGAGTTTATTTCTGTCTGTTGAACCCTGCGTTCAGTCCACTCTCTGCCACATGTGTGTTCCTTTTACAGAAAATGATTGTAATACATTCAGGTTTTCTGTTTTGTTTTAAACACATATTTTTACATTATCAGTGCATGTGTACACTACACCATCTACATATATGGTGGATATGAAAATGACATGATGTTACACATCTGAAAATCTGATGAAAATCTCCTGGTAAACAGGTGCTAAGGCTGCCTACAAAAGTCAGACAAACGTTGGTAAAAGTGTGTCCCACTGCTGCTGAAGTGTGTTGCTGGCATTAATATGTTATATTAAGTTAAATATTATATATATATATATATATAATTTGAAACTAATAAAGGATTTTAATTATTGGAAAACAATTACTGCAAATTTATGCATACAGTACAGCAGAGCTGCATTTTTTTAATGTTCTTTCTATAATTAGTTTAATTGATAAACTATATTGTGACGTAGGAAGAGCCTCGCTGTTTTAATGATGCAGTTTTCTAACAGGAAGAAGAATAGGGCTTCTCCATGTGTCCTCGATTTATTAAACTCATCCTTCAATTAAAGCGAGAGATCATTTAACTACATCACAGAGAAAAATGCATTTGCCTTGAAATTTAATTATTATAATAATGTCTCTCTCTCTCTCTTTTTCCCCCCTGATCATGCTTTGAATGTGTTTCATGTTGCAGACCCCGACATTGTGTTTTAAAGTGGCATGGCACACTGCATAAACAACAAAGTCTTTCACACGAGAATGGAGGCCTGTCTGTTGGCGCCGAAGGCAACAGGCTGCATGACGCTGTGAATTAGCCACTTTCCTCTTCCTCCCACTGAATAATGAGAATCAGATGGGCTGTTAGTTTCAACAAAAATAGGAAAAAAATAAGCCCATATATTCATGAGAATATACTCCTAAATGTTCATACAAACAGATAGAAAAGCAATTAACACACAAACACATATCCTTGCACACCTTTCTGAGGACTTGTCCTTGATATACAGGTAGTGCATTCCCTAGTTAATCCCCTAGTCTAAACTAAACCATCTCATCACAACTGATTGCCCAACCCTAACCCAAACAGCCACTTCTGCTTGTGGGATCCAGCATTTTTGGTCCTCACAAAGCTGCTGAACCCTGCATGTACTGTGGTCTCCTGGATTTGTGACCCCACAAATATAGTTCAAAGCAAACTTAGACAAAAGCACACCGAGAGACATTGACTGGTTTAGCTGTTAGAAGTATTACATGAACCTGAGGATTCGTCATTTGAGATTCACATTGCTGTCACAAAAACACAATGCATGGTGCTATCTTAGACCAACACATACTGAGCCTGCAGTTTGTAGCCTTATTTATGGCATTAAACATTAATCACACACTAATCAGGCAATGACCTCTGTTCTATGGGCTCAAATTGTGGTCATAAATATTTTGTACTTGTAAATCAGGTTTGTACGGAGCCCCGCAGGGGACATGGGAGAAAAAAAAATTAAGACTTTTGCGAGATCTCGCAAACCTTTTGTGAGATCCCAAGTTTGTTTTGCGAGATCTCGCAAAAGTTGAATTCCAACAACAACAGCTACTTAGTTGTAATATTACTCTTTCTGGGTCACAAAATACACTTTTAAGATATTTTGAGGCGTGAATGTAGTTGTGTAAACGTCAGATTTCTGCTCGGTTTACAAGACATCACATATTTGCAAAAGTGCTCCGACGTTTTCGGAGATGTATGAAACTTTTGCGAGATTTCGCAAAGGTTTTGCGAGATCCCGAGTTTGTTTTGCAAGAAGCTAGGTCCCCTTACTTTCAGCAGATGTTGAAATGATAAAGTTGTGGTATGTCAGTGGTTAGAAATACCAATATTACTTTAGGATTAGTTTAACACAAAGTCAGGGCTGACCCGGAACCATTGCTGTGAGTCACAGTGCGCAGCATGTGCTGCTAATGCTAACTGCTAACTAAAAGCAAAGGATCCAGAATTTGTTGCGCTGGCTGCTGAGCTCTGTGGGCTTTTGCAGCAGCTCTACCTGTACTAGATGCACCTGCTCCTTGTCGTTTCTATCTCTGACTTTGTCCTCTACAAGAGTTTCTGTTTTTTTTGCTGGTTCTTCAAATGTTCAATAAAAACATGTATGATAATTCATAACGAAGAAAGCTTTGTAAGTATCCCCACTAGTGAAGACTGTCATTTCCACAACACTGCCCCCCCCTCCCGCTCACGGAGGTTCGCAGCGCTGTTGAAAAGGTTCAGGAGGTCCCTGTATTAAGCACGTAAACCTGTGACACAAAAATCACCAAACTCAGACCACCACAGACTGTTTTCCTTCGTGGTGATGAAGGAAAACGCTGGGCTGGCATGAAAAAGGGCATTTATTCCCTTCAAGAACCTGCAGTTCAAAAAAGCACCCCGCCAACAGCCAAACCCATCTGTTCTCTAATTGGATAGTTAAATTTGTGATTGACATGACATTGGCCAATCAGATGAAAGGAAGAAAAATAGGGTCAAAATTCGTACTTGAAACTTGAGTGCAGACTTTCTCACGTATTTTTGTCCACACACAAATCTTTTTTACAAACACACAAATTCTTTTTACACATACAAATCCTGATTTACACGTACAAAATATTTATGACCACAATTTGAACCCATACTGTTCGCTGATGACATTTTTGGTAAATATCTGAGCGCACGCAGAGATTTTCATTACAGAGTTGTGTCTGTTTTTAATACAGTGTCGCCCGGGGGCCGAGCGAGCACAGCGAGTCGGTGTTGGTTTGGCCTTACATAGATATTATTAAACCGTTTAACGATGAACTCATGAGAGTGGGAATTTCCTGTTACTAGCAAACTTTTACTTTAGCTCTGCTGTTTTCCATTCTACTTTGCTGGAGTCTTCCTCTTAACTCTAGCATGATCACACAATTTTAAACCTATGCCAAGGTGCTACATGCTTTCAGCTGCATCTCATTGGCTTTATTAGCTGATAAAGTATGAAGCACTTGGTCTTTCTTGCTTTACTCTATTTAGTACTTGAATAAGCACTCAAATCTGATCTTGTACAAAGACTTGTACAAAACGTTTTAGCGAATCATCCAGTTATAACCTTCTGAAAAATATTCAGTAGCATCTCAAGGTTTCCATCTGGGAATGGTATTTGCTCTTTTGCGTCCTGTATCCTCCGCTAATCTCTTAAAACCTCTCGATATAAAGATGCAGGAGTAGGGTGCCACGCTCAGTCTCACCTGCCAGAGGCTGCAGAAAAATCTCTCCCATCGGGTGAATAAATGAAATTCCATTCTGACCATCAGCTGTGATGTCATCTGTCAATGCAGCATCGCCTCCTGTCAAAAACAAACCAACAAAAATAATAGTAATAACTTTAACTCTTGTCTAAACGACAGTTTTCTTTTGATGTAAAATATGATTATCAAGGCAAAAAAATACCTTAATCCTAACTCAAATCTAGTTCTTAACACTGCTTGCAACAGTGGAAATTGTACATGAATGTTACACTAAAAATGAAGAACAGATTGCTGGCACAGAAGTAATGAATCAAGCTGAGCAGTATTTTCAGCAGACTGCAGTCAAAATAACCCACAATCAGCTGATACTCCTCTATGCATTCAGTCATCGAACCTCACAAAGAGGTTCGATGACTGAATGCATTTGCTTTAGCCTTCCAACAGTTTTTACTCTCTTGCATGTCCCTCTGAAGCCCTGTCAGCTCTGAGTTATAAATGTTAATCTGCAGAGTAGAGTACTATACAAAGGACAATGAAGATGAGCTGCCAGGAAGAAGAGGAGAGAAGAAGAAGTCCATAGAGTAGATTCATGGATGTAGCGAAGGAGCACATGCAGAGGGTTGGTGCGAGAGAGAACAAAGCTAAGGGGACAAAGTGAGATAGATGCAACAAGTCCTTTGTGGTGACCACTAAATGGAGTCTGAAGAAGAAAAAGAAGTACAGGAGTAGGGTAGTAGTGCCAAGTAGCTGACTAAAAATTTAGTCTGGGTTGAAATAACAATATGATGACAAAATACGGTTACCTCTGTATCCTCCTCCACCTCCTCCAGCTGTGCACGCACCGCCTCCTCCTCCAAACCCTCCGAAGGTCGACCAGCTGAGCTTAGACAGCGCCAGGGGGCATGAAGATCCCCCCTCGGCACCTTCCACCAGGGATCTGCCAGCCATCAGGTGAGAACTTGAACTATCTTTCCAGCCGCCACCTCCACCTTTAAGGGAAACAAAACAAAGTCATTCACTGTTACAAGAGCTACTTTGGGAGCATTGCACAAGGTTGTAAAACACGGTTCGTGTGTTTGATGTTTGCTGCAGTGAAAAAACTCACCGACTGAGAACAACGAAAAAATGAGTTGCCATTAAAAATGAGTTTAATAAGGGTTCATAAAATAACCTGAAGGCTTACACTGTTGCTGTAATGTGAGCGAGCCAGCTTTGATTTTAAAAGGGTACTCGGGAGATTTCGAAATTATACGCAGGCCAAAGTATCCTGACTTTTAGGCCCCGGTGTGGATCAAGATCCAAAAACAGGCTCTCTGTCATAACTTTGCATTTACCAAACCCAAATCAGGTTGTATGGCTGATATCTTTTAGGCAGCTTTTTCAGACTTGACAAGGGTCTCTAAAGAGTAACTATTTTCACACTTCATGACTACTAAATGAATGTTTTTATGTTCTGCTCGGGTTACACTGAGATTCTTTGCAGTCTGGATATAAGCACAGACACACTCATCAGTGAGGTTTTATGGAGTATCTACAGCCACCAATGTGTGTAGTGTCTGTTGTGAGCTTGTCTCCGCTGTCACAAATTAGGCCCTACTTTCGACTGGTGATTCAGCATATTGAGTCAGCGGTGGAGGCAATCAGTGAGAGAGCTGTCTGTCTGTTAAGCCAGAAGGCACACTTTAAAGACAAATAAGTTCAGTCTTGTTTAGACTATAATTGAGAAGGTCAGAGCAAATCCACTCGGATGTGGAGCGTATCAAATACAGAAATGAGGGAGAAGTTTTAGCACAGGGCTTTTGATTTTTCCGGCTGTTTTTTGTTCTGTTGTTGTGTTTCTTTGTTTCCATTCGCAGGCAGCTGGTGGGTGGACAAAGGGTCAAGAGTAAAGCGTCAGCTATTCGGTCGCCATAAAAAATGTTAAAACTGAAAGGAGACTTTCCGCCCATCCACTTATACAGCAACAATGTAGCTATACTGCAGCTTTGTTTTGGGCATGAATTTAACCTTTGACTGCACCAAAGTGAACTGATGAATACAGAGACGCCTCGCAATGAATAAAAAGAGTTAACGGGTTCAACCATCATCTCTAATCTACAAAGACGGGCAGATATAAGCAGGTTTCATACAAACAACATATCAAAGGAAGACAAGCTTCACTGAAAGATGTTCCTCTGCCCTTCAGAGGTCTTTGATCAGTGATAATATACTGTATATATAGGGCTTGTCTCATGTGGTGGCACTTTAAACATCAGCACACATGCAAACGCACGTAAACAGAAAGACCTCATCTGCTCAGTACTTCGAGCTGCAAACTTGCCCTGACACGCAGATCTTTATCTAAACAGTCTCTCAGAGGTTTCAATAAGATGAGTTGATAAACGGTTCTCGTTGAGTCTCGGCTGGTCAGAAGGGATTTACTGAGAATGTTCCAGCGAAAGAAGTGAATTCCAGATACATCCCATTATCCACAGGCCAAACACATGCATGCCAACCTGCGCCACCCTGTGTGTGTGAGAATACAGAACAAATAAATCCTCTCATATCTCCGGCTACCTTTTGGACAAATGAAATGCGTGCTTTGGTATCAGATGACACTGAATTCAGTCAGAACAACGTCTTCTCATCCAAAGTTTACAGCACGTCCTTTATAAGAAAATGAAACTTTTCTTTGAACATAAAGTGTAAAGGGTAATTTGTAACCAAAAAGAAAAAATACCCACAATTGCAGCTTTTAAAGTTAGGGAAGAAAGTATCTGGACAATGAAACAATTTTTGTAATTTTGCTTTTGTACACCTCCACAGTGGATTCTGAATCAAACAATCAAGATGTAATTGAAGTGCAGACTTTCAGCTTTAAATGAAGGGGTTTAACAAAAGTGCTGCATTGACTAGGAAAACATAAAAGGACAAACTAAGACAAGTTTACTTATGAGGACTGTTTTCAATACTTGGATGAAGTTCCTTTCCTTTTGCACACTTACAAAAGAAATGTCATTGCCCCAGAAATCTATGGATCCAACTTTATATTAAATTTCATACGCTGCTTTCTGTAATACATTTTTGTGTGTGCTGCTAAGTAAAAAAAACCCTGTTATGCAACAAACAATAGCATTCCATCTAACTAATTCTATTGAATCTAGTTTTTAATAGGGAAAAATGCCAGGAACACTGATTCTGGAAAGCCGTTTCATTCTTTTACATAATTGAATAGAATATTTAATACTGTGGGCACAATAACAGTAACTTCATTTTCCTCAGTTATGCAAGGGTGGAGGGAGTCATCTTAAAGTCAGACATCTCAAGATTTGAACACATCAAAGTGAAGTTATTTAGTGAGGAGTGACCTTTGTGGCCTGTATTGAACAAAGACTCACCCCTTATTAATTTCGTTTTTGCTAGGAAAATAACAAAATATTTGTAGTTGTTCATTGGAAACACATTATAGAGCAAATAGTTCAATTATAATGAGTTTGAAGGCAAATGTTTGGTACAACCACCTTTATTCATTGACACAGAACTCTTTCGGGCTGCTTTCTTGTAATTTCCCTGGGCTCTTTGAAGGACATTCAAAGCTCTTCTTTGGATGTTGGATGCTTTTTGTTGCATTCACTGTCAAGATGAGCCCACACTGCTTCAATAATGTTGAGGTCTCAGCTCTGGGGGGACGAATCCATCACTTATAGTTATCGATTGTGTGTTTTTCTACCTCCATATGCTTTTACTGAATTTGCAGGGTATTTGGGATCAATGTCATGTTAAAAAATGAAGCCACTGCCAATCAGATGCTTTCCAGATGGTATTGGATGATCAAGATGTGATGGTACTTTCCTATGTTTCTAATTCTGCCAAAACCTCCACTGTGTTTCACAGATGGCTGTAGAAAGTTAATGTTGTACCTCACTCAATGGTTCGAGCCAAAAATGTAAAATTCGGATTCATTATTCCATTTGACGTTTTGCCATTGACTTTCAGTCCAGTTCTTGTATAATGTCGCATACCTCAGCTGTTTCTCCGTCTTTCCCTTCCTTAAGAATGGCTTCTTGATAGCCAGCCTTCCACTGAGACCATTTCTGATGAGCCTTCAGTGAACGGTAGATGACTCAACAGAGGGGTACTTTTGGCATTTTTTATACATTAAACTAAAATAGCAGTTTTTGCAACAGGACGCTAGCAACAAAGAGCTTATATTACACTACCTGCTGCACCAGTTTGGCCATTGCTACTGGGAGCTTCGGTGCTGTTTTCATACTGCTCCAGTGGTATGTTGTCCAGACTGGACTCAGGGTCCTCCAGGTAGGCATTTCCTCCTCCACCAGCTGCGATCAGCAAGGGAACCAGCTCTCCATCCTCCTTCTGAAAAGACCACGCACGAGTAAATCTTTCAATTTAATTTATTTAAATGATGATGAACACTTTATATAAGCTACACAACAACTTTAGAAGTCCCAATGGTACAATAGATAAGAGCGATCATAAAAAAGTGAACCTCGTGCTAAAGTTCCATGCTGCATGCAGATATAATCGATCTATATTTAAATCTATGGATTAAAGAATGAAACACTGCTGAATCATTTCAAATGCTTATGTGCCACAGTGCTGTATCTTAACAATGCTATGCACACAAACCCAGAGAAAATGCACACAGTTCTGAAACAACTCAAAGTGTCTTCTGCTACCTTAAAGACGTACGTTGCTCCCCCTCCTCCGCCTCCCCCTCCAGCCCACTCTACACCAGCCTGCAGCTTGAGGTTGTCTTCAATCACAGATGACTCTCCGAGGCAGATCTTTTGGGTGTGAGGATTTCTCTAAAACATGTGGAAGATGGAAAATCAAGCTCCACAAGATTTAAAAAAAAAAAAGAAAAAGAAAAGTTGCAGAAACATGAACTTGGCATTAAAAAAGGAAAATCAGAATTTGGGACGCCGTCTCGTCTCTCCTCTTTAAGACATCCCACTCATCCCACATCAACAAATCCTTCCAGCCTGTTCTCACCCTCACTATACTCACCCCTGGGCATGCGTCTTCTCCCTGGTGTCCCACCAAGATGTAAAGCATATCTCCTTTTTCCAGAGGAAAGATGGCAGAAATAAAGACCCCATGGTTGCGTTTGTTGTGGTTTTTGGCTCCTTTCCCTCCTGCAGCCCCATAAGCAGAGATCCTGAGGGGGGATCATTGCAACAGAAGGAGATTTAATCCTTGGTCTTAAAAGAAGTGCTTTTAGGCTTAGCCACGCACTGTATACCGTAATGGATAGCAAATACCTCATTACACTGAGCAAATGGCTGCAGATGTCTGTTGTAAAATGTGGATTATGAAATAGTTACCAGTGATCCTAATAAGATTCCGTATTACGAACTCACATCGTGTTAATGTGGCTAGGAATTACATGTGTGTATAATTTAACTACCAAAGTCCACTTTTTACAAAAACCGGTACATGTTCCCTGGCTCGGTATCACCAACCACTTACAGGTATCTGTTAGTAGCAGGCACCTTCCACATCTGAATTCCTTTCAAGTGTCCCTCCTTCCCCACGGTAACGTTGATATTTTTGTTCCTGTAAGTGCTGTCACACTGGGCTTGGGTTGGGCCCTGTGGTCCACTGGCACCGCATGATGTAAACCACCAAGTCATCAGAGAAACCTCTACAAAAGGCAATAGAGGGGGAAAAAATACTGCTTTTAGTTGTTTAATAAGCTGCAAAAACTATAACCATTTTCACATTGTTATGTGGAGGGGGGGAAAGTACCAAAAGCATGAAAATCAGTAAACAGCTTAGATAAGATACACAGTAAAGAACAGATGCATACATATGGCACATCTATAAGAGTCACAGGTAATTGCATTAAGGAGCTGGCATGTAATTGCCGAACACAGGCTGGATTAAAAGCTTCTGGTTAGCTGTGATGAGTAAACAATTGACCACCTGGTGTGCAAATTGTGCAAACAGAATGGATTAAAGATGACACAGTAGACTGGGACACTTCAGAAATTCACACGCTATACAAGATAACTGCTGGAGCTGTGCACTACCTGAGGCCAAAGGCTCTGGAAGGGGGCTTAAGAAATCTTCAAAGTCGGTCGCGGGCAGCAGAAAGTTGAGATCTGATGGAGGGGAGGGGAAGCCAAAGTAAAGGTAAAGGCAGGGGAAGAAAAAAAAAGAGAGGAGTCACAGTCACTCATCTGGATTTCACCTGATTATGAACTATATTTAGAATGAAAGTGGCACAGATTTCCTGAGAACAGGGCTACACCATGAAAACCTTTCTATCTTGGCAGTGTTTACCCACTGTGGAGCGTACAGACACGGGATTTTTGTCCGTTTATTGGTGGTAAAGGTTGTACGCTCCTCATTGCCAAGCCCTTAGGCAACAAGAGCCGTTAAGGTCTTATAACCCTCTCGAACACAACAAGATCCCCGCATAGAGTGAGATCATAAATGTGATGGGCAGACTCATTATTCTGAATTATTGCTTTCTAAATTTACTCTAGAAACCTGATTTAAAGCCGAAGTCAGTTAGAAAATGTTCCGTCCTCGCCCAACTGCAGAAGCGCAACAGACAACTGCGCCTCCCTGGAGGCTTCAAACCATATTTCTCCTAAATCCCGCCGAAACAAAAACAGACCTTTTCATGTCTTTGTTAGTAGCGTAGCACCATAGTGGCTTGTAAAAGTCTGCTCTCTACTTTGAGAATTAAAAGCTGAAGTGCAACAACACGGGAGCAGGAATGTTGGCACACACTGCTGTCGTACTGCGGCGCTACATTTGCAGCAAATCATGAAACGTCGGTTACCCACATGTCTCAGCCAATCAACTAAACGGGGCATCAAATGAATAGCTGAGGGCCGCTGTGGTGCTGAACAAAACACAGCAGTTGGGGAGGTCTCTCTGTGCTCCTCCCAAGCTCAGCCGCAGTTTGATTTCATAAAGTGCACCGATCATTATGAAAGCAAAGACTAAATATGCGGTAAAGCAAGACAAATGTGTGTTTTAGCCCTTGAGAACTTTTAAAGAAATCTGTATTGGCTTTACTTAATGGTTGTGTGATCTTAGCTTACCTGACTGGAAGCAGGCTGCTCCAAGTGCAATGTCATCTAGAGCAACGTCAGCATTGGAGCCTTGTCCCCACACAGCTGTCACTTTAACACGAAACCTGGAGCAATCAGAGAATTACAGTTGTCTTTTCTTATGAAAAAGCAGCAGGATTTCAATCCCAGCGAGTGTACTTAAAAGTAGGAGTGAAATCTCTTTTATTATGAGCACTAAATCTGATTACACATTCTTTAGATGAAAGGAGCAATTTTCCTTTTCTTATCACTGACCTAAAGCATGTACTCATCCCTAAGCTCCACTATCTCTGACAGGGGAAAACAAAGGAGAAAATGAAACTTTATGGAGCTCCATGGGAAAAAGAGGTGAGTAAACCTCAACGACACATCATCCCTTTAACACACGAGAGATCAGCCTTTATTCTTTCATTCCTCCCCCTGTTTGTTTTCCTCTTATGTACCCGTGATGAAGGTCAGTCAGTTCCAGGGCAACCGGTTCCCAGTTATCTTCGGCTTGACCATTCCTCTCCCAGACCGGTACCACGGCAACTGTCCCGTTTTCCTCTATAGCCACTTGCAACGAGCCATTAAAATGACCACGCAGGTACAGAGAGAAATGCATCTACACAAACAGAGATGAAGATCATTAAGATTTTTGGTGAGATATTTAGTATGATTTGAACTCCCCCACACAGACACAGACAAGACAATCAAACATGCTTAAATTGAATAATTCAACTACTACGTCAGGCGAGTAACTGACCTGGCAAGCAACAGAAGAGACTGGACGAGGGAATGCAGAGCTCTGAACGAACGCTTCTTTAAGTGAATTACTCTCTCTGACAGGGAGAAACAAGAAGTGCCCTAGGGGAAGACAATAAATGTAACACATTTACCAGGTTATGTGATTTAGCTAGTTAGTTAGTTAGATTTTTGAGCCGAACCCACATCAATCTTTCTTATTGATCAACATAAACCAGCAGCTTATAAAAGTAATGACTTTTATGGAGACGCAAATTGGCCATAGACGCGAGGCAGATAAAGTACTTAAAGCTAAAAGAATAAAGTGCTGTATGAATGTGGGGTTAAAATGTGACTTGTAGACTAAAGCGCATTGAGGTTAACAGAGCTGTAAATGTAATGCAATGCTCTGCTAGTCTCAATGAATGCCGGACACTAATTTGCTTGCTAAATGACTTGTGTACAGCCACAAGATGGTCAGCTGACATTTCAGTCAACCTGAATAGAGCATATTAACTACCAGTTACAATTACATCTTTTATTTCATCTTCTGCTGGCAATCCTGCTTTCATCCTCTTTCGACATGCAAAAAAACCTCCTGCAGTGTTTTACATTTGCCTGACAAACGAAAGCTCCACAGTTCAATCCTGGGAAGAAACTTACACCCCTTGGGGTTGCTTCAAGAGCATCCAGCGTAAAAATGTTGCCAGATCAAATACGTGGCACTACCTGCTGCGGCAAGCCCTTGTGAATAAGGAGTAGCACCCGTCAGGTCTTTCTGACAAGCATACATATGCTTTAAAGTTACACTGCGAACTAGAAATGACCTGACAATGCTTCTCAGACAATGCAGCAATAGCGGTTTTATTGTTTTTACTTACTGAACATCAAAACAAGCATTCTCGTCATTGGCTGTCTATCAAAAAAGAGTAAATGCAAAAATCCTGTTTGCAACAAAGGAAAATTAAGAAGTTTTGACACAAGGAAATGTGAGCTTCAAAAACAAATGAGGGTATTTTCCCATCACTCCACACTGCAATAATTCATCGGAGCTGGAGGAGATTCACCAGAGGAAGAGTAATTAAATTAGGGCATAATTCACATGTGCTGTGCACACACACGCACACACATTCACACACACATGCAGACACAAACCTTGTGTGCGCTGCAGAGCGAAACCCTGCATGTCTTTTCTCTTCATGAGCTCATCTCCTGCAACTCTCCTCCAGCCCGAGTGCTGGTTGGACATAGACCAACCACATGAATCCCCGTCAAACGAACAGTATGAGCCAAAGGGGAGAGCATCTGGGAAGGAAGCAGATTATCATCATACTTCAAAAAGACAGAAACCACAGCTGCTAAAAAGTCCATCTCCTACCCCGGATTCCTCGTCTTTCAGACAAGAATTATATTTTGAAAGAAATCATCCGAGCACAAATTATACGGAGGATGTTTTTCTTCACGTGAAAGTCGCGCGTGTGTGTGTGTGTTTTCTTCTGTCACTCTCCACACTTTGCACTACACGTGTACTGCGACACATTTCAGATCAGAGCACTGCGATTACTCCCAGACCTTTTAGGATGTTTTTTTCAGTTTCACCTTCAAAGTGAAAATGTTGTCCAACAACTCCAAAACATAGTGACTCTTATCAGTTTTGGGGGCTTGCAAATACTTCACTGGGTCAACATATACTGCTCAAAAAAATTACTTCTTTGAGAAGATGCCACATTGTTTGAAATGAAAATTCTTATCTTACAGAGGGTTGAAATAACAGAAACCCTGAAAATCTAGATTAAAAAATGATGCAGCAGGCTTGTCCATTTTCCTGATATTCCATTGCTGCAACTCAAGATATTACTTAGTAATTTGTATGGCCTACAGGTGCTTGTGTGCATGACTGACATCCTAATGAGACGACTCATGGTGTCCTGGGGGATCTCCCATCAGATCTGGACCAGGGCATCACTGAGTTGCTGGAACAGTCTGAGGTGCACCATGAACTAGTAGGAATCCACTGCAACAGCACAGGATCTGACAGAAGGTGCTGTTGCCTAACCGATCTGAGGTCTGTGTCTCCCTCCATGGATACGTTTCCCCAAACCATCACTGACCCACCACCAAACTGCTTGTGCTGAATGATGTTAAAAGCAACTTAATGTTCTCCACAGGTCAACCTGCTCTCATCTATGAAAAGCACAGGGCAGCAATGGCCTTCAGACCACCATCATGAAGTCTGTTTCTGATTGTTTGGTCAGAAGCATTCACACCAATAATCTTCTCATCCTGTGGAGCAGATACTGGTTGTCCTGGTGGATTAAAGTCTTTGTACGACCCCCTCCTGCTCTCCTAGAATAACTGTCTGTCTCCTAGGATACCTCAATGCTCTTGGAGATACCCTACCTGTGCAACCTCTGTAGGGTCCAGGTATTGCCTCATGCTACCAGTAGTGACACTGACCCTGGCCAAATGGAAAAACAATCAGAAAAGATGAGGAGGGAAAAATGCCAGTGACCTCCACCCGTAAAACCATTCCTGTTTTGTTGCCTGTTGTTAATTTCATTAATACCAGAGGAGCTGAAACTGATTAACGATCCCCCCTGCTGCCTAACTGACCAGATCAATATCTCAGGAGTTGAACTGGCGTTCCTTCATGTCTGAGGTAATGTATTTTGCTGAAAAGCTAGGACATGAATCACTTGTTGCATAAAATGCACAGCACACATGCAGACTATCCTTTGATAGTCAGCATGTGTAGGTTTAACCACCAAGAAGTATGAGGTCAAATAATCAATGTAAAACATATGTGTAGGCATATCTTTGAGCTTTTTAGGTACCTTGTGATAAGGCTATGTTTATGCTATGGAAGCTTCCCCGACTCCACCTTTGTCCTTGATGCAGACGGGAGATCGGTGTAATTCTTCTCCTCTCACTCTAAGCATGTATTTAATTGTGAAAGAAGCCAGAATACAGATAGAGCTGTTTCCAGTTTTTGTGCTAAAATAGACAAAACATGTAAGCCACCTCTCTATAGAACCCACAGAGATTAAATTGATACCGATGTTTGCACATGAAAGTGGTTAAGACACCCGTGTGCTCGTTGAAGAAATTACATCTCCGCTGTGGCCTTTCCCCCCAGCGTTTCACAGCTCAAGTGCTTTAAATAACCCTGACTATATCGATTTTACTGACTGAAGCGTTTTGCCTTTTCAGTGTCTCGGAGAGTTTTTTCTTTGCACACAGTGATTGATGTTATAAAAAAGAGAAAGAGGTAATTTGTTAGATTGTGATGTGAGAGGAACTGAAAGGTAATGACTGATGCTTTTTTGTGCATGTTTTTTTCAATAGGATAATAAATCTGCAAAGGGTTTATCATATTATCTGAAATCTTTGATGTAGACAGAGAAGAGAGCTTTGAAAAGAGAACAGCCTATTGGATTCCTGACACTACATTTTACTGCTAATTAGGAAAAAACACACTAGGCGGTGAAAGCGTTTTAATGCAAATTATCCGAGGAAGAGAATCTGCACTCAGGTTTCAGACTTTAAACACCCCACATAATACTTATTCTCTACACTTTAAATTTATTGTGTAAAGGCCCTTGGCATGGAATAATCTTGTGCCTTTGGTGAAAGGATTAACAATTTATCATGGACTTAAATTTTATACAGCTAATGCAAATGGATTACAGCTTGCCAATAGCTCGCTGACTGCTTCAGGACTGCGCAACAGTACGCTGGCCTGATATAACTCCCGATGTGCACAAACTGAAGCATTCACACGTGTTTTCCTGCTCATAATGCTGTCGCTATAAGAATCGGTCAGATGGTGCAGATGAAATCGAATCAAATACATCATCATAAAAGCTCTGCTGCACTCTGTGTGATTTTATTTAAAAAAACCAACAAAAACAAAATCTCACCACAGATGAAGCCCTCGTCTTCTCCATAAGGACAGTCCGTGTGGAAGTTACACACTTGGCTCGTGGCGATGCACTCTCCTGAGTGGTTGCAGTGGAAAGATTCCTCACAAATGGGACTCATTTCACCAAAATGGTGTTCTGCAATGGAGACAACCACACAACAACTGTAACAAGGTACAAAGCAGATTTAGAGGCCCGGTGAGTTAGGATGAGCGATGAGGCAGCTTTTACAGGAAGGTCGGTTGATTCTGCGGAGGGGCTTTTCTTGACTCGCTGCTCTATACCGTAGAGCAGGGGTGCCCAATCCCGGTCCTCGAGAGCTACCGTCCTGCAGCTTTTAGATGCATCCCTACTCCAACACAGCTGAATCAAATGGTTTGATCTCTACAGCATGCCATCATGTTTGGCAAAGGCCTGATAACAAGCCATTCATTTGATTCAGGTGTGTGGGAACAAGGATGCATCTAAAAGCTGCAGGACGGTAGCTCTCGAGGACCGGGATTGGGCACCCCTGCCGTAGAGACTTGAAAAATGTGAAACCACTGAGAAAAAAGGTTCAAGAAATCTGCAAAACAGACCAGGCATCTTTTGCCTGTTTGCAAATTGACCGCAAATCATGAGCTTTTAAATTTTCCTGACACCAGAGCATTTTTGTGTGCTGACATTCACTTGCAAAACATGCATGAGACAAAAAAAGTAAACCTAAACACATTTTGAGTGAATCAGTTTTCATAAGCAACCTTAACTGTAATCTGTAGAGAGAAAAGTTCTCCTGTAGCCGCTGTGGAAACGTTAAAACATGAGTATGTGCTTGTGGCGTGGGTGTGGTCCTTGGCCAGCTGCAGAGGAGGGGTGACGCAGTGAGCTCCCGGGGCGGCGCAGGGGCGGGGTGAACAGGTGTGCTGGGATCTGACAGTGATTGTGTCTCTTTATATGTTGGCAGTGACAGACGGAGACGAGGATGACAGCAGAGAAAGAGAGCGCGGGAGTATATGTGTCCACGTACAACCCCGAGTTTAATAAAAGTTCTGCATTGTCAAAGTCGCTCCGGCTGGTATTTCTTGGGTCCACCGTTACAGTGCTACTGTGAAAGTACCTCAGGTTTTAAAATAAAGTTTACAGCTGGTTCCTTTTATCTGGTCTGTACGGTTGTAGGTGCTTATCACAGGAAATGACCATGAGCATCTGGTTTGAAAGCTCTTAACGACCTGATAAACTCACCTGATTCACAGTTTATGAACTCCAGAGAGTCCAGAGCCACAGTGGCTTCTCTCTCACACGAAGTGTAGAGCAGGGTCACCTGAAAGGGTCCAGCCACCCAGCCAATCGGAACTCCAAAAATCTGCCACTCAGGCCTGCATTAAGCAATCACACAGAAACAAAATCAATCGAATTTCTCACATAAGCAGCAGCCCTGGGCCATGTACTATGAAGCGAACTCAACATACCCAGGGTATCTCTCCAATATCTAGATTCACTTGCCCTAGCATCAGCAATTTGGGTAGCGTCAGCAAACTCTGGTTTTCCCCTCTGGGTTCACAGCCAATAAGTATACTGGCAGCAGAGGGGCTGAGTTTACAAAGGATCCAGAAAGTATAAGATTACAAGAATTTAAAGAGGTTGGACTCATAATACAGACCGATGCTCATCAGTGAAACGCAAAACCATCAGCCCCTCTTACTTTCGACGTGCAGAGGTTTGAGGAGTGGTGACACGATTTAGGTGATTCATTTATACCTGATAATCTCTTACTTGGAGCATAACCTGTAAGTCACCATGGTGATTTACCCCAGGAAGAAATGAACCACCTTCATAATACAATAACCTCCGTGCTAACCCTGAAGTTCATTCAAAGTACACACTTCTGAACTTTTGTGGACCTTACCTGACGAAGGTGCACGTGAGAACCAAAGATCTCACACAGTTAGAGCTCACATCAAAATGTCAGCTCACCAGTGCAAACTACACGTATTATCCAGCTGCAGTGATTTGTAATGATGGGAGAAAGCGCAGGTAATAGACTGGTGCATTCATAGCTAGTGGTGATCTCGCTGTGACCTGCCTCCAGCATGCTCTTCTCAGACATCATCTTCACCTAAACCAAAAAGACTCTTTCCATTAGTGAAGTGAAAACTGTTTCCTGCTGTGCGCTACATTTGAAGACAACTGTGGACCACGTCCTGACTTGACTCTCCCCCACGTCTTCCAAAGTTCACATGTGAAAACAGCTACATGTGTATCTTTTTTTTCTAACTCTAATTTTTGGCTTTTATAGTTACATTAAAAAGAAGTGCATTAAAAGTAAAACAAGTAAAGGTTAAAACAAGAGTACCTTGACTTTCTTGCCTTCTTTATGCAACATTACTGCCAAGATGATTTATTTTGTATAAAAGCCTGCACTGCAGTTTCTACAGTCAAGTTTGCATTTGTTATATGTTCTGCTAAAGCCCTCTGCATTCTCTGAAATAAAGAACCTTTGTAATGTATGAAAACTGAAGCTGAATATTAAAATCCTTCACCTGCACCCTCTTCTCATTTCTCACCATAGTGTTTTACTAAATAATGTTTGAGCCTTCTTCCATCTGTCATTTATTGGCACATTTCCACTACTGCTGCCATTATCAACCATGGGAACTGCACTCCTCCATGAGCATGTGTTCCACGTAACAAAAGCACCAAACATGTCGCTATTATTCAGCATAATCCATCTGTCACCTTGTCATAAGTCCAACCTGATTGTGTTTTCACAAAGCTGGCCCACAGCTGTGTGATTATAGGTGGCGTAATAAAGCAAAGCAAATCCTGCTACCTGGGATATGTGACAGCACCCAAGATTTACCTCACACGTCACAAATCCTGCTCTCCATTTCTAAAAATACGTCCATGCTACGTAGCGCCAACTGCCTATCGCATATGCAAACTAGACTATTTTCACCATGAAAGCTGTTTAGAGATCAGTGCCTGGAAATTATGTTTGACCATTGAAACTTTTGCCTCTGCAGTGCTGCCTGATCTCCTCTGGTGTGACAAAGCAGTGATCCCTCATCTATGTATTCATTCAGAGAAAGCAGGAGGTGGTGAGCAAAGTTTGTACTGATGTGATCAGAAGAAGTTGCAATGTTTCCAACACACACGGTGGCAAATGGTGATTAAGTAGGACGCTGTGTCGACAAGTCTAACTCCTGTTAACGCATTCACACCACCTGGTCACCAGTTTGCTCCTCACACGACGCACCACCTTGAGTCTAGGAAACTTTGGACTACGTCAAGTTCTCATCACGAGGATTGTTTCTCCACACGAAATCCAGGCCTGCGGACGTTCAAGGTGAATAGGAAAATCACAGACCGCACACTGCGAGTGATTAAAAATGGCAGCAGCGATCAAAGTGGTTTTGAAAGAGAGATTAGCCTAATTCTAAGTGGTACGGGTTTTTTTTTTGCTTATTTGTCTGTCCCAAGTACACAAAACTTTTTGACAACACCTCATACAGCCCGATGTCAACTCCTGTGACCATTCAGTCTCTATTATGCACTTAACAAAATTGCGCCATATGTCAATACGCATGACATCCCACACAACGCACAACACACACTGAACTACTTCACTGAAAGATGAAGCCTGTTGGATGGTAACTGTGCTTTAAATGAAGAGTGTGTCCAGACATTGTATCTGCAGATTTTGTTGGATGAATAGCCAGCTTAATAAATAAAGTCACTGTGTGTGAGTGTGTGTGCTTGTGACTCATAATGGAATTGCACAGCCCATTACTGCGCAGCCACTAACAAACCCAGTGTACAAACTTATTGCATATGCCAATCCATCCTCCTCTGTCCTAACCAATTATATGTAACTTCATTTCCAGCCTGCTTCTAGTCTCAGGAATGCTTTTAGCTGTTCTAAAGATAGTTGTGCTTCAGCATTAGATCAATAGGAAATATCTGTCCGTGTTTCCCAAACAACACGCAGTCACAATTCTACAGTTTGCCTTAGATGGTAGGCAGGAAACATTTTTCTTACATAACTTTAGTGGGACAGAAGTGTGCCTTCTGTTTTTTTTTTTCAGTAAAGAGGACTGGTTGTGTTGCACAATAACAAAAGGTGAGTGTGTTCGCTGACCTGCGGTCGTCTCGTCCCCTGTGGTGCAGCATCTCCGAGTGAACGTCTGAATCTGGTTGAGCAGGCTTGATCAGCAGTGTGAGGTTCCCCACCACGGGGCCGGCCTCATACACAGCCACCTGAAGCAGGCAGTCCATGCTGCTTTTTGGCAATACTGGGCTCATTAAGTGGTAGTCACATTTCCCAGAGGCCTCAGCTTCAGGTGACGGGGTTAAAAGAAGGAAGTGTCCTAAGGTAATAAAACAAAGTGGAAAATTCATGGTTGACTATTTTATAGCAGCCTCATAACACTGTCTAATGCTTTAGCGTTATGACAAATTCTGGATTAGGGTATATTTGAATATATGAAGCACAGAGTCAAAGAAAATGTCAAGTGAGAAGCAACGTTTTCACACAGTAGCTCAAAGACTCTTCTAAACATATTTGACAGAAAAAAGAGGAACACTGTGTATCAGAGCACACTGATTTAGCTGCTCCTCTGTGAGTCTCTGCACTCTTACCATCAGACCTTCCCTCTGAGTTGTCAGTTGCAGGCATCATCCCAGCCTTTGTACTCTGTGGTTGCTGTGGCGACACCAATAACCAGTCACTTCGGCTGCTGTTCGATAAAGTCCAGAGACACGGTGACTCAAAATCACAGGAGGGAACTGCAACACATGAAACAACAAAGATGAAAACTCAATTTTTAAAAAAAGAGTCCATCAAATTATGTAGATTATTTGTTGTTGTTTTTTTAATGTTTTTGTCTGAATGTGTAATTACTGTATCGATTTAAAAATGCACTGATTTGATTACAGCTCCAAGCTAACAAATATACTGAAATATAAACATAAAATACGTCTTAATGGCATTTTTTTCCCCACTAGCCTGAAATAATCATATTTATACACACATGCAAAACAGCCCCAAATCTAAGAACTGAAAAAGTGTATATTTCTCACGTTATCTTTATCCCACTATGTATAAAATCTTGAAACGAACTGATACTGTATTAAAGAAAAAAACAACTTGTCCGCAAAACTTCACAGTAAATAAACAGCATCTGCGATTTCACAAAAAAAGCCTCCAAACTCATTTATATGAATGCCTGAGTGGGGATGAGTAACACCATATGTTTTTTAGGCTTTTTTTTGGGGGGGGGGGGGGGGGGGGGGGATTGGGGTGGCGGTGGTGAGTGGAAATATGAGAAATGTGTTTCTTTATTATCTCGAGACCAGAAAAATCCCAACAGAACTAAAGAAAAAAGTTAGGATGCAACTCCTCCAGTGATGCTTCTCTCTGAAAATATCTCTCTTTAATATAAAAAACTAATAAAACGCAAATTCCAAACACATAAAGGATAGATAAAACTAGACAGGAAAAACTGTGCCTGAGAAAATGAAAAGCTATGAAGGATATATATTTTAAAAAAGCCACAACATTTTAAAAAAATTGTATAAAATGTCAGCTCAAGGCCTTTAGTTCCACTAAATCAAATTTAAATCCAAAATCTGTTTAAAAGTCAAACAGACAGAGCCTTTGACTGATTTTGTGTCTGTCTGTGTGGGGGTCGATGAACAGGAAGGGGACGGAGGAGACGTTCAAGACATCATGTGACAACTGGAGAGGAAACTGCCTTAACCACTAATATGGCAGCAAGCCAGGGGAATTAGGAATCCCTCCTGGGATAAAGCACAGAATTATTAACTAATTATTTCATATTAACCCACATTCATTTCTTTAAACCAGATAAAAGAGTAGCCTTCCTCTGATCACAAATGATATAAAAATGTTGCTTTTTCACAGGCATCAACATGCTACTTGTGCTCCTGGCAATCTAACAGGGGAGTGTTGTTACAGCTCGAGTGATGCTTGCACTTGAAATTCAAAATGGGTAGTTTTAACTCAAAAATCCAGTTTTTCAGGGATAATTCCCAATGTAGTCATCTTTGACAGATGCCAGTCTTTTTGATCCTCTGCCTGCACGACAAACTACTCAGGTTCTTAATTTAACCATGCTTTCCAGTCAAAGAAATATTCATGTAGATGCATGCAATGAGTATAAGAAAAGCAATAAAAACAACCCAGGTGATAACTGGAATACAGATTTTCAATTTGTGTCAAATCATCAACACATCAGTATTCTAGATACAAACTCACAGTGGCTGTCATTGTCCAGGGGATGAGGAAGAAACTCATCTGGGAAGTCTTCGTCCAGAAATCGGTCAAAAAGGGCGTGGCAGGTACTGCTCACTAATGACAGAGACAAACAGGTTTTATTAGTTCGAGATGTCATACAAGCATTTCACTGTCTTCAGTCACTCTAGTAAACTGCAGCCATCAGAACCGCTTTAACTCTTCATGGCAAAAATTCAACAAGGTGTTGGAAACAGTCCTCAGAGAGTTTGGTCCATATTGACACGATAACATCTCGCAGCTGCTGTAGATTTTGTCGGCTGCACATCCATGGTGCAAAACTTTCCATCACATCCCAGAGGCTACAGGACTGAGATCTGGTTACTGTAGTTCTTAGTGCTTAGTTAGTAATAAAGGACCAAACCTGTGCCAAACTGTACAGAGAGAAATTCCCTAACACCATTACATCATGACCATTGATACAAGGCAGGGTTTATCTATGCTTTCACATTTACGCACATCCTCAGACCAGGCAAGACTTTTCCAATCCTCTGTTGCCAAATTTTGGTGAGCCCATGGGAATTGTAGCCTCTGTTCCCTATCTTTAGCAAGCAGGAGTGGCACCTGGTCTTTTGATATGGTCACCTTGATTGATTTGATTGATTTTCCCATTGATTTGAGATACTGTTGCCTTCCTGTCAGCTTGAGGCAGTCTGGCTTTTCAACTCTAACCTTAGGTAACAAAAAGGCATTTTCACCCAAAGAACTACCGCTTACTTGATATTTTCCTCCTCTTGGAGCATCCTTTGTACTGTAAACCTGACATGCCTAAATCTATTAAGTTGCTGTGATTGGCAGGTGTACCTAACAAAGTTGCCAGGCAGTGTATCTTTTTGTTTTGATAAACAGAATCAATAATTTTCATGGATGAGTCAAAGAGAAACACTCAGATTTAGTATGAATAGCTAAAATAAAGGAGGTTTACAGCAGCGTCTACCAATAAACCATGCTGCTGCAAACAAGACGAAACAAAGTGTAACACTGTTAAGAAAAACATCAAAGTGGTCGTCTGAATCCAGGCTGTGGAAACCTAAAAACTAATATGACGCATAATTGCCCTGAGTTTCCACTGCTGCCTCGTTAGCGCCGCAACAAAAGTGCTACAAAACGAACACCAGAATTTTCAGGTGTGAAAACATATTGTTAGCATGAAGTTTCACATGAATTAGAGGACTTTACATGTCAAGACGAAAAACGAAAGCAATTACCAACTGGCCCTTTCCCAGCTTAACTTTTATTTTATTTGATTCCTTATTTTTTTGGCATCTGTCTGAGACCTTTAATAAAACAAAGTGGGGTTCTGGCAGCACTTCACATACAAGCAAGAGTCATGGAAAGGAATAAAATTGCTGTGATACAGTAACTTTAACAGTAAACCAACGCTTTTAGATACACAAGCCTTGAATCCATGAAAAAAACAGCAGTAATTTCTGCTATGCAAGAAACTCCACACACTGGAAATTCTTCCAGCTTGTGGCACTTTCTGCAGCTCATTGTGAAACCAACCTCTCAGTCTATTAGATGTAGCTGAGTCAAAATGTTTTTACTGTCCCCCGTTTAATTCCATCCCTTTCAAAGACAGGCTTAAATGCTCACACAACCACCAAAATATAATATTTTTTATCTTTTTCTCCTCGTAGATAAACTCCTACATGAATGGAAATATACATACAGAAATAGCATTCACTGCTTCGCAGCAACAATCAACAGACATGCTCTTATTTTGGAGACGCAAGCTGAAAGAAAAAGTCACATTCAACGTATTAACTAGCATGACGAGTGGACAATGAGGGAGATGATAATATCTTAGAGGGTCACAACTCAAATGTTGCAATGGCCCCTGAACAGTGGCGTTACTGTTATCTGATGCCTGCAGGGCAAAGTCAAAAAAGCCAAGCAGGACAAATTCAATAGCTGAAATTGCTGTTTACTGAAAGCGGTTAGTGATGCTAATGATGAGGAGGTGAGGGGTCGTGCCTATGAATGGCAGCCTTGCTATTTATTGATAATTATGGAATAACAGCTGCTATGGATAGTTCCGAGCACGGAAACGGGAAAAATTAAACTGTAGGAAAAAAGAAAAGGATTCAGCCAAAAGAAGAAAAAAAAATTAACCCGCTATTATTAACATAAGCTTGGGAATCCCCCAAGAATCCAAACTTTTTATTTTACTCCCTCCAACTCCTTTCTTATCTTGTCCAGTATGGATTTAAAAGATAAAGAACAAAAGAAATACAAATTAAAAAAAAAAACACCCAAACACTCTCTTTTAAGCTAGAAAGGAAATGAAAGAATTACTGAACTATCTGCATCATCATCAGCCGGCAGCGAGTTTCTTTGATGACAATCCAGGACCCCGACTACACTGTTACTGCACCAAGGCCTTTGAGGAGAGTGTAACTTTTAAAAGCTGTCAGCTCAGTTGAAAGCAAAGCCTGCCCTTGTTAGTTTCTCTATCAAGGTACTGTGGAGTCAGAAAACTGCTGTGCGTTGTAGTTTAGCTAAGTTCAAGGACGGGGCTTTGTTGCAGATCTGAACAGCTCAATAGAAAAGGCAGCAAACTAGCAGGGGCCTCTTTGCCACCAGTTTGCTGTCTCTCCGTCACTCAGCAGAAGTGAAACCATTAAGAGTGAGCTTTTGTTTAAAAGCAAGATCAGCCAGAATCAAAGGAACTTATCATCAGGCCACAGAGCAGCGGCCTGATGATAAGGTGGATAACCTGGCCTCCATCTCCTTACCCATCTCCTGCTCTGTCATCCATCGCATACGCTGGCCTCTCAGAGGATTTGCTTTGCACTACCAGGAAATGTATGACAACAACAACAACAACAACATCTGGGCGTGCCTAGAAAGCTTTTTTTTTTTTAAATGTACGTGTGAATATTGGCTGCTTGTCAAGTCAATAAAACTCCAAAATTGCAGCTTCAGAAGGACTCGGAGCAATTTTCTAATGAGCAGACCATGAATTATACAGTTTTTATCTTCAAGGCTAGTTTCTGAGTGCTGAAAGCTATTTGTTACATCAGCCTCGGCACTTGGATAAACACATTCGCTCTCCATGTGCTCATGAAAGTGGCATGCTGTAAATGCCTGAGCTAAATTAAGCTAAGCAAGGGTACAACCAGAGCACTGCCTGATGCTATTTACACGCTCGCTCCTGGATTCTCTTTCTCTACCTGTGCCTAAATCATCATATCACCTGACTGAGGGCATTTCTCACTCTCTCTAATGAGTTTTGTAGTTTTGCTGCAAATTTTGCTTCCAGACCAACAAATTAATCATCAATCAATTATGTTGAAAAGGTATTTTTTTCACTTTTGGTGTTATTTAGATGCCACCTTCCGTTTTCACCATGATTAGGGTCTACTGGTCATTTTCACTTAACTCACAAATAATGCTGAAAATAAAGTTTGCATTATTACGGCTGTGGACGTTTTGAGTTACAGGTTGGTGCCATAATGGTATAAAACATGGACGTAGTTTCCAGGTCAGAAAAATCATGCCAGTGTACAAGTACCTTGAACCTGCATTCTACCTGAAGGCCACCAGATGGCAATAGCTGTGGTCTAAAGCAGCGGTCGCAATCTTAAGTTGTTAGCCAGTGGGTGCATGGTTTCATGGTCATACTCGCCCTCTTTGTCGCCTCTGTTTTATTGCAGCCAAGATGGCGATGGCATTAACACTCATGCTGAGGCTTCAAAACAGGACTTCAGAAACCAGTGGCTGATGTCACAGTAGCTACAACCACTTTCTATTTTGTCTGTGGTTGGTGCCTGCCAGACTTGTCTACTAGGCATCACTTTAGCTAATTTGAGCATTTGAGGAGCATTTTTTAAAAAAACAAACAATGTAATTACATGTCAAATGATATGTAGCTAGTGCACTTAATGGGCTTAAGAGCCAATGTGAGGAAGTTTTCTAAATCTGGTGAGTGAAATTCGGATATTTATTTGTGGGTTTGCGCTAATGGCTACACTTTGCTATCAAACCCCATTGTAGTTAGCTGATAACTTAGTATTCCCACTTCTCATTCAATAAATCTAGCTCCAATAACTCAACGTAGCAACAACAGTAATGCAGTAATGGGTGACAGCCCAGATGTGTGTGTTTTTTTACGATCTATATATCTGAGAAAACCAATAAAGGGAACAAAAGTGGAAAGAATAATATCTGCTTAAAGTTTTATTGTAAGCCATCCAGTAGTTCCTACAGATATTCTTAAACAGATATGTGTACTATTTAAGTAACACCTGATTAGGTGGATTTATACCTCCTTTAAAACAGCACTAGAGCTCAGTGGGACATGACACAGTTCTGCACAGCTCTCACACCTGGTAAAAATAAAAAAATGAGTGTGGAAACATTAAGTACCTACAATTTATCTCCTTGCGCATTATGCAGAATCGTCCTTTGTAGGAAGAAGCTTCATCTCTCCACACTCACCTAATAAAGTCCTTAACCTCTCAAATCTCTTATTCGCTACCAGGCCTTTATCCTTCATTCCCAAGATACATGACAGCTGAACTGGCTATAGACAGAGCCACGATCTATAATTGAAATGAAAGTTCAGCATTTCAGAAGTTCAGAAGTGAAGACAGATGGTGGTTTAGAAGGAGATTAATCAAAAAGGAATAAAATATGGAACTAATATTGTTCTGATATGGAAAAAATACAAGCCCCACCTCCCCACCCCCAGAAAAAACAATACTAGATCTTAATGTTTTGCCTTATTAGGATTTTATGTCCCACACTACAATTTATTCACCAAAGTGAACCATGCTTTTGCATTTTTCTCACACAAAATGTTACTTGATGCATATTTCATTTTTTTTTTCAGTTTCAAAACAGGCCACTTACATGAGGAATTCATTTCATAATGAGATGAGAACAAAATTAAAATTGACCATAGGCCATATATTATTCTATTCATTTTCTATATGGACGATAAAGAGAGAACTTCAAAGGTAATGCCTCACATGAAATTCACATAATAAAAGTCCTCAAGTTTACCCCTGTCCTTGTTAGCATCACTATCATGTGCATTTTAACCATTGTAA